GCCGCCTGGCCAGGCCGGAGGCCAAGCCCCGGTTCCAGGACCGGATCGCCTGCTCCAGGTCCTCCTGCTCCTGCCCCTGGAGGGCTGCGCGGGACGTAGCGCGCTGGGTGGTCGCAGAAGGAAGCCCAGCCGTCGTGCGAGGCCCGCACGTGCACCGCCTTCTCGAAGGAGCGGTTCAGCACGCGCACCAACCCGCGCAGTACCGGCGGCCGCCCCCCAGGCACCCACACCCCGGCACCCCCGGGGACCGCGCCGTGAGGCGGCAGCAGCGCCTCCAGCTCCACCATGACGCGCCCCAAGCGCTCCAGGCGGCCAGGCGCAGGCGGCAGCGAAAATGTGGGCACCAGGTAAAACCCCCCTCCAGCGGGCACGGGGCACAGCGTCGAGGGCTCGGAGCAAGCCTCCTCTTCCTCCTCCCTTTCATCCCCATCCTCGCCATCGTCGTCCTCATCCGCCCCGCCGCCATCGCCATCTTGCCCGGCCGCCGCCGCCATCTTGCCCGCCCCGGGCCCGCCCCACGGCCGGTAGCAGCGCAGCTGCGCCAGCGGCAGCCCCAGGGCCTCGTCGGCGAAGAGCACCCTCCGCGGGGCCACCGCTACCTCGACTGAGGTGCGGGGCTCGCCTGCGGCCGGCGAGGGGGGCGCGGGAGGCCGCAGCGGGGGCTCCACAGGGGCCGTGCGCGCCATATCGGCGGCGGCGGCGGCGGCGGCGAAGGCACCGACGGCACCGGCGGCGGGACCGGCGGGGGCAGGGCTTGAAGGGGCAGGCAGCCAATGGGAAGGCCGGGGCGAGGGGGACGGCTCGCAAGGGGCGAAGGCGGCGAAATGAAGAGCGATAGAGCAGCGAGCCAGTGGAGGGCCGCGCACGGGTGACGTGGACGCGAATCGGGAGCCGAAGAAACACGAAGCCAATGGGGATGCTTGAGAATGGGCGGCGCGGGAGGTGGGATGATCGGGAATCAATGGGAGGCCATTCAATGGGGGCGGTTCCGGGTCTGGGATGAAGGAAGTAGGCTAGCGAGTGCGGAAGTGTACATCCGAGTCGGGTGCGGGCGTCAGGGCAAATAGACCGGCAGGAGAAATGGGGAACAGAGGGAGCAGACAGAAAGGCCCGGAAAACGGGAGACCCACAGCTAGCGTACGAGGTGGGATGGACGATGGAAACAGAAAACATCCAATGGGGAACCACGCGCTGCAGGGAAGGGATGACGATAATGGGCTGCCGCGAGCCAATGGGGCGTCTTGTAAGTGTGTACTTGCCTTCAAGGGGCGGTGTCAGAACGGAGGAACTTCCCAATATGGAAGTTTGAAGACCTAGAGGTGGTACTTGAGCGACCTGGAAGAGAGGTAGTGACTAGCCAATAGGGATGCCATAGTGAAGGCATTTGGATCCACAGAAAGGCAGGACTGGAACGGGATGACCCAATCATGAGGCTAAACAGTGTGTCCGGAAGGAGGAACACGTAGGCGGGACTGGAAACAGCAGAATCAATCGGAGCATTTGGCGGTATGAAGGAGGGGACGAATCACCAATAAGGAAACCAAAGGAGAAAACTGTAGTGGACCATAGAATGCCGGAAACCATTTGGAAGAGTGTACCGTTCGTGGGTGGGTTTACGGACTCCCTAACCACTACTTCCCCAGGTCAATGACTGCCCAGAGCCCCCTGAAAACTTAGCTAGCACCCTAACGTGAAATCTAAGACCGCATATGGATCTTCGTGTCTTAGTTACTAAATCTTCTATGCCCACCTCTGACCCTTGCTTGAGCGTTGCTCCAAGCCTAGAACGCTTGTCACAGCCATAGCATTCTCAGGCAACACTAATGAACGGCGAAAAGAGGAATTGCTTTTCTGGAAAATTACTGTATCGTAAATTCAGATCATGAAAACATAGCCTGACTTTATCGCCACTGGAGCTGGTTGGGTATGTGGTAGGCATGCTAATGTAATCATAAATCAACGCTCTGCCTTCCCAGCACAACCCGGCACTCTGTATCCCACAGAATCCTCCTAACTTACCCTCTTTCTGTCCCCCAGCGCTCCTCCTACTGTTCCCTCTCCGAGGCTCCTCCTGCATCCTCCATCTAGTGAACGTTTATTCTTTGTGATCTCAATACCCGTGGGAACTGAAGTGTGGCTTCAGCCCACTAAATATATCCCCCCACGCACTCCCACTCTATCCTGGGAGGATTTGCTGAATACCTAATGTGTGCAAGGTTCTGACTCACGGCACACCTGTAGTATCCAGGATGTGTTCAGGCATCAGGAAGGAATGTTTTTATTAATTTCTTACATAATAATTTGCTCTGTATAAGGGCCAAAGAGATAGTACAGCAAGTAAGGCACTTGCCTAGCATGCCACCAACCTGAGTTAGATTTCCAGAAGCCTATATGGACCCCGATCCTGCCAGGACTGATACCTGAGCGCAGAGCCAGGAGTAAGTTCTGAACACAGCTAGGTGTAGCCCCAAAACCAAAATTTTTTATTTGAAAAATTTTTAAATAATTTGCTCTGCATATGTCTTGGTTAGAGAGCCCTAACTATATAAATATTATACACACACAAGTTACCACGAAATAGCGGGGAGACTTAAACAAGATAGAACCTTATTTTCTCTCACCTAAAAGTTTAAGCTGATTAGGTACTTAAGGAACTCCTTACTACCCGCTTTCTTTAAACAGTTGCTATCCTTGTCTGGCCCCAAGACTCCTTCAGTATCTGTAGCTCTCCATTCAGATTTTTCCAAACCTGCCTTTTATTCCCTTCCACCACCAGCACAATCATCAGTGTGTGCGTGAATTCCAGTTGTCTCTCTCCCATGTCTCCTGTTTCCACCCTCAGACCCAGTATCCATCCTATTCAGCCATTGAAGGGATCTGGCTAAATCCTTTCCTCTATTCAGAAACTGCACCCAGCTCCATCCCCCACTGCCAACTCCTCTCAGTGAAAAAGCCAAACTCCTTGATATGGCCTTTTAAGATCCTTCAAAGTTTAATGCACCTCTCTGACCTCTCTTTCCCTAGCTCACACACGGTGCTACCAGGACAAATTTCCCAATCTCCTTGGTAGACCTTGAGCAGATCACGCACACTCCCACATCAGGGCCTTTGCATTGACTGTTTCTTTATGATCCCTTTGGGGAACTATATCTGACTGTGCTTAGGATTTACTCCTGGATCTGTGCTCAGGGATCACTACTGATGGAGCTTTGGAGGCCAATATGAGGTGGTGGGATCAAACCTGCATTGGCCATGTACAAGGCAAGTATAATACCCGCCATACTATGTCTCTTTCCCCTGCATTGGCTCTTTCACCTAGGACCGCACAGGTATCTGTACTGCTTCCTCCTTCAAAGCTTTTTCAAAGACCCCCTTATCTGAGACTTTCACTGACCACTGTGTATGCTCCCACCCCCTCTGCCCTGGAAGACTTTCATGCCAGAGGATACAGTTCAATACCAGGAGGTAGTGATCTCTGCCCATTTGCCCCACACTCCAGCCAACCCTCCCTCTGCAAAGTTCCTGGTTCTCAGCTGCAGTGATATTCCCATCCTCCACCACAGCCCCACTCAGGTGTTACCTTCTGAGACTGGAACCACTACCAACACAGTTTAACTCCTTCTCTGAGAAGCCCTTACATGAAGCAAGTGACCAGAAGTAAGACTTTCTAGAAAAGGTGGGAAGAGGGTGTAGCCTATCCCTCTGAGCCTGAGGGGAAACCAGCCCCTTCCTCAGTAGGAGAAAGTACCTAGGAACTTTCCTTGACTTCTAGGACTGATCTGGTTTCTAGTTACACAAGAGGTAGAGAAAATGTCCAAGGGTGGAGCCATAGTACAGCGGGTAGGGTGCACCGAAGTTTAATCACCAGGACTCCATACGGTACCCCCTAACCCTGCCAGGAGTGATCCCTAAGCATAGAACCAGGAGTAAGCCCTGAGCTCTGCCAGGTTGGCCCAAAACCAAAATAAAAAGATGTAGAAAAAAATTTAGATAGAAGAGGGAAAAGTGGATTAAACTTGTTACCCCCGGCAATATCCCTAAGGTTGGCTCTCCAGTACTCTTTCCAGACAGGCACTTCTCTTGCTCCCAGCCACATGCCACAACATCGGTGGAGCCTCTGCAGTCCATGGGCCCTGCAGGCCTCCAATTTGAGACCCTCTTAACTGGCTGTCTCCCCTGGCGAGCTCTAGGTCTCAGCAGTGACCCACCCTTAGAAGCTTCAGCCAGTGAAAGTTTTGTTTTGAAGTGATGGTAGGAAGGGTTGGGTCTTTTTTTTTAATTGTTGTTTGCTGATTTTTAGAAGCTCTTTTTTTTCTATTCACCTTTTTTTTCTTGCCTTCACAAAGCCACGGTTATCAGGCCCCCACTGGGCTTTTTCCAGAGAGGTGAGTTTGAGCTAAGGGAAGAGAGTCTCCTTTTTTGGAGGGTTTGCAAGATGAGGGAGGAAAAGAAGAGAAAGGGGAGAAGGGGTGGGTTGTTGGCCATTCTATGTTTGCTGTAACTTCCAAATTTTTCCAACATCTTTCCCCAGGCCTGAAGTTACTCTTGAAGAGAAGTTAGCACAGTTGATATGTGACAGAACCCAGACCATGCAGAGCTTAGGGAAACCAGAAACTGATGCTCTTGGTCGATGCTTCTTCTAGGACTATCAGAAGAAGCCCTTGAGGCTGATCTTTATTGTCGAGCTCACCTGCTAAGGAGAGATGGTCCATGGGCAATGCTTAAATAACTTACAAAGCTCACAAAGCATCAAGTCCTCAGAAGAAGCTCCAGTTCCCTGAACCTCCCTGTCATTGCATCTTCGATTTTTCAAGCCCATGACTTCAGGCTGGGGAAAACCTGGAGTTTTCATGTCTCAGCACCAAACATGACAAGACTTCCACGCCAGCACTATGAACTAGGGCACATTGTCAGACTCCTCTGCTTCTCCATTTTTCCCACCTGTCAAACAGCCATGCTCCAAAAGGGCAGCAGTGAGGCTCAGAGGAGATCATTTTTTTAGACAAGTCCAGTGTTGTGTCAGGCACTCGAGATCCATGTCAGCCATAAGAGATGATGGTGGACATTCGGAATCCCTAATCTGTGGAAACTGGAGCTTGTTGAGGTAGAAAGTGGTCAAAGCTCCAGGAGCATCAGACCATGGTGCCCCTGACTGTGCTAGGGTTGGGATCTCCAGGACTTCTGGACATCCTCAAGAAGGGGTTCTTCCATGTGGGTGCCTGATTGGGACCTTCTCAGAGGTGGGGAGGAGGGCTTTGGCTCAGAGCTCTGGGGTCCTAAGGTGTGATATAGCAAGAATTGCTCCTCCTTTTTTCACTAGTGTTCAATGGGGTCTGGGACGCACTAACTCTCAGACTCTTGGACTCTGTGAACTGGAGTGAATAGAGGGCTCTCCCTGCCTTTTCCCCTTCATACTCCTCAGAAGGTCTGTGGGAAAATGATTGCATGAATGTCAAGAACCAACCTCCCAGGACAATAAGAGTGGTGATGAGCATGTCAATTTTTGCAAAGGGGAAACTGAGGCATGACACAGAGTGCGAACTTGGAAAGGCAGTGCCATCCCATTGTCCTGGTGTTTCTCGTCAGCACACAGAGCCTCAGCATCTCTGTTTCTTTCACCTGAGACCTCCGTCACTTTTCACACAGAATGGTGTCTGCCTGCACAGATGCCCCTGTGATTTATTTGAGTTCTTTTCCCGTTTCTTTTTTTCAACTGTGGTTTCTCATAAGCTTGTTATCTCATTGATTGCTACCTCTCACCTCTGTGGTGAGGGGAAGAAATCATATTTTCAGATGACTTGTAAAGGGCAAAGAAAAAAACCCAAAATTTCAAAATTTCCGTTTAAGTCTCATAATCAAGAAAAGGAGAAACAGAGAGTGTGTGTATGTGTGTGCGCACGCTTATGAGAACCCCACGATTATCAGTGCACACACTCATCAAAAAGAGTTGGATTATTCGAAGAGAGAGGTCTGTGGCTTCCACAACGTGGTTTTTCTTCTCAGTATAAAAGCAAAGTTGTTTTTGATATGTGACAGTTTCCCACAAGCCAAGCTGATCCTTTTCTGTCGGTCCAGTTCCTCAAGGTGAGTAGCCTCGTTCTCCACTGACAGATGCATGTGCAGTGAAGGAACAGATTTGAGGTAGGCACTGAGGGGCCAGAGGCGAGCAAGACTCCTGCAACAACTAGGGTCCTGAGCCGGTAAGTTCTTTTTATTAAATGATTTGAGTCCTAAGAGATGCCAACAGGCCCATAGGTAAGCTCCTTCCTCAGTGCTTGAGCAGAAGCTGAGATCCAGACACAGACTGATATGTTGATATGTCTCATATGTTGAAAACTCTGTCGCCTGCCTGTATCTCTGGATTTCAGGACTTTGGCCCATTGGAAGGAAATACTGTATGGGTTCAGTGGGAAATTTTAACCGTGTCTCTAGAAGTTCAGACATATCTCTCAATATTTCATCTCTTTCTTTGCTCACCCTCTCTTGGTCTTTCTGTGTTTTTCTGCCCCTCTTTTTCTCCCCTTCCCTAACACTCAGATTCCATCCCACTTCCCTGTCTTTCTCTGGCTCTCATCATCTTTTCCACCTCTTCCATATTTTTTAATTTCAGTTTTTGGCCCACACTCGGCAGTATTCAGGGGTTACTCCTGGCTCTTCACTCAAGGATCAGTCCTTGCAAGACCATATGGGGTGCCGGGGACAAAATCTGGATTGGCTGCATGCAAGGCAAGCACCCTACCTGCTCTACACTCCCTCTCACCCCTCCATCTACTCCATCTTGATCACATTCTATCTCTGCTTTCCTCCACTTCTCTCCCACCATCTCTGCTGATCTCTCATCTTGCCTCCTCCACCTTCCTTTTCAGCTAGCATAGATCTTTGTATGCCATTGACACTTAGTAATAGTGCCTGCTGTAACCTTGCTCAGGATATGGGCATTTAAAAGGCCAGGCATTGATGCTGTTTGGTTCCATGGAAGGAAGATGTGACCTTTGTCAGATGATCATTTTACTGCCATTGTGCATGGAGGTACTTGAAAGGGGAACTTCGTGGAGGGTGGGGGGTGCTTCACACTATTGTCAACCATGGTTTTGCCTGTGTGGTCCAGTCTTAGGCCTGCAGGTCCCAGCTCAGAGACCATGTCCAAGAACAGAGCAGGCTGTTCTGTGCTGGGGTGATCTTAGCTTTGTAGGTTTAACACATAGCAATGGTTAGTACATAGCAACTGCTTGCTAAATGATAATTGTGATTATTTTAACCAACTTGGAATTCCATTGTTGTTGGTTCTGCCCAATTCAGTGAATAATTTGTAGATAATTAAAAGTTATTTCAACACATGAACTTGCAACCTGTCCTCACGTTGGCATGAGTAAAGATTGGTTTGACCAAGTACCAATTGGTGAAACATTTGCCTCACTTCTAGCTTATTCCAGAATTGTCCCTGATTAATTGCTTGAATTCCTGAAAATAGAGGTGTTGGGCCAAAGGCTGTGCACATTTTAAAGGTTTCTCACCCTCCCTGCAACTCCTTCCAAAAAGTTGTCCTGGGGCCAGGGCAATAGTTCAGCAGGCAGGGTACTTGTCTTACACACAGTCAATGCAGGTTCAATCTCCTCCAGCATCCCATATGATCTCCCAAGCCTATCAGGAGTGATCCCTGAGTGTAAAGCCAGGACTAAGACCCAAGCACAGCCAGGAGTAGCCAAAAACCAAAAGAAAGGTCTTAATTTCAATTTTTTTCTCCACAAAAAAGGTAAGAAAAAATATTGTCACATGATTGACTTTTTGTATTCTTGAGTTATTTCAACTGTCTCGGCTGTCAGGGGCTTTGTCTTAGTGGTTGTGTTCTGTCCTTCGTCCTAATCAGGCACTATTGTATTGATTTGTCACAGCTTTTTATTTCAAAAGGATATTACCCTTTCATCAGCCACATATACTGAGGAAATATTTGCCCTCAGTTCTTCATTTGAGTTTTTTTCTATTGGTTTACAATGTTTGGTGATGCTTATGATGTTTTATATAGTCAAATAGGTTACTCTGTGTTTCTGTGGTTACTGTCTCTGGTTTTGTGCTTAGAAAGTCCTTTCCTACTTGAAAATGAAATCAAATGTTAGCCTCTAGTCTCCTTTATGGCTTCATTTTTTCCACTTACTGTAGAGGTTAAGAATGGGTACTGGAGCCAGACTGTCTGGGACAAACCCAGCTCACCCTAAGACATCTGTGTGATTTTTTAAAGCTGGGGTTGAACCTCTCTATACCTCCATTTCCTTGTTTGTACAGTGATGAGAGTAGAATTGACCTCAAAGGATCATTGGAAGAATCAAATCTATTAATCATCCTAAGTGCATGGTGCTTGCCATACACTAAACCCAAGATCAAGATTAAATATGATTTATCTCTTTAATGGAGCCAGAGTTTACTTTCGGGCATGTGATGATGTCAATTTTTGAGACTGCACAGAGAGAATTTGGTGAGAAAATAGACTGATTATTCGGTAACTTTACACACACACATACACACACACTGCCTAGTGATCCCAGAAACATTTGTTATACAAACCATCCTCCACATCCCCTGTGGAATGTGAAATGCCACATTCATCACAAGCTGGATTCTCTCTCTGAGTAGATCTGTTCCTGAGCTTTCTCTTCTGTTCTGTTCTGCAGTGTCTGCTCTTGTACCAGAGCTACACTACTTCGCTGACTGTGTAGTTTAATAATCCAGAGCATGACCCAGCCATAGCACTCCAGTCTGCATCTATCTCTTTGTTAATTCTTCCTTATTTCAGGTAGTATCCATTCCTCCAGCCACAAACCAGTAGCTTCCTTGGTGTTTCGTTTATTCATTTTGGGGGGCCACATCTGGCAATGCTTGAGACTTACTCCAGACTCTGGGCTCAGGGATCATTCCTGGCTTGCACAGAGGACTTTATGGGGTGCTGGGGATCATACCCAGGCCAGCCACGTGCAAGGCAAGCACCCTACCCGCAGTACTATCACTCCAGCCCCAACAACTGTTCTTACTTGGGCTCTGTATTGCCCCACTCTATCCCTGCCCTCCCTGTGTTGTTTTTCTGTCTCTCTTCTTTTTTGTGAGAGTGGAGTTGAGGTCATACCCAATGATGCTCAGAGGTTACTCCTGACTCTGCATTCAAGAATCACTTCTGGTGGTGTTCAGGGGACCATATCGGATGCAAGGAATTGAACCTGGGGCAGCCGCGTGCTAGGCAAGCGCCTTACCCACTCCTCTTTCTTTCCTCCTCTGTCCCTGTCTTTGTATTCCTCTGGCTTTCTACTTCTATGGGTTCATCTCTCCACTACCTGCCTTCATTTCTTTTCTTAGGCCCTCTCACTGTGGGTTTGTCTCTCCCATCTAGAGAGATGGGAGTATCTCCTATCTCCAGTATCTCTGTTTCTCTGCTCCTCTGTTTCTCTTTCTCTTCATCTCTATATGACCCCATCAGTTTACTGGTCTTACTTTACTAGGCTTTAGAGAGGTAGCTGTTGACTCAAAATCCTGCACACTCATAACAACTCACTGAGACACAGAGCACCAGGGTCCTAGTCTCATCCACTGAACACTTCTCCCTTCCCTTGTCTCTAGAAGGAAAAACTTGGGGCTGGAGAGATAGCACAGCAGGTAGGGCGTTTGCCTTGCATGCAGCCAACCCGGGTTTGATTCCCAGCATCCCATATGGTTCCCTGAGCACCGCCAGGAGAAACTCCTGAGTGTAGAGGCAGGAGTAACCCCTGTGCATTGCCAGGTGTGGCCCCAAAAGAAAAAAATAGAAGGGAAAATTTGAGGCCAAAAGATGGGCAGGTGGGGGCTGGAACGATAGCACAGCAGGTAGGACATTTGCCTTGTACGCAGACAATCCGGGTTCAATTTCCAGCATCCCATATGGTCCCTCAAGCACTGCCAGGAGTAATTCCTGAGTGAGTGCAGAGCCAGGAGTAATTCCTGAGTTTAGAGCCAGGAGTAACCCCTGTGAATCACTGGGTGTGACCCAAAAAGCCAAAAAAAAGAGAGAGATGAGAGGTGGGCAGGAGGGTCTCTCCCAAGGCCTCTCTATGAGTAGAGATGCAGTAGCAGAACTAAGACCTAAACTGAGAAATCTCAGTGGGACCCTTAGCCCTATCTCTCCCCAGCTGCAGACCTCAGTTTCCGTCTCAGTCGCATAATGGGGGAATGAGGTCCTGGAATCACCCTAGGTACTGCCATTTCCCTTTCTGCCTTTTGATCAGTTTATTTTTAGGGTTTTTTAAGAGAGTGACCAAACCTGGCAGTGCTCAGTGGACACTATGGGATGCTGTGAATTGAACCTGGGTCATCCCTACCTGTTGTATTATTGCTCTGGTACCAGCCTCCTCATTAGTTGGCTCCATGGACCCTACATGGGGCCCAGTTCCATGAGACTGGGCGCAGTTCCAGTGCACATGAATCAGAAAACCTTCTGTCCAGAGGAAAGAACCTCAGTCAAATAGTCTGACTGTATGTCTGGCTATAGACTGAGCCTAGCTTTGGCCTTTGTGCTCTATTTGGGAGCTCCTTCAGAGAGCTTCAGGGGGATCTCTACTCACAATGACCGAAATATCTGCTCCCTATTGTGACACCCTTGCCAACTGTGGCCTCACCCCCTCCTCTATCTCTCCATCTTCAACAGAGTGCTGTAAGTTTGAGAACACTGTGCCAAAATGGACAGGAAGGCCTCAAGGTGTCCATTTACCAGTCATGGTGTTTGGCTAAGTGTTTCAAGAGCACTGACTGGTCACTATCACTGCCCCAACTGCTGTACAAGTAGAGTTAGAACTAGGTAACAGCAAAGCCTTAGCCCCAGGTTGGGGAGCAATAGAGGAAAGGAAACTTTGCTCACCACTACACTACCAATGGAGGGACAATTCTGCTCCTCCAGCCTGCCCACAATTAAGAAGGGAAGTTGGTAGATTTCCAGGAGCAGTAGACTGAAAACTCTAAAAAGTAAATAGTGAGTTTTCTATCCTTTTAGGATTCCAAAGGAGTTCTATGGAGTTCCGACAACACATGGGCCTTCACACCCTAAGATGGTAGACCCATGAACTCAACAGAGTTAATGGGTTTGAGAGTCTGGGATCCTTTTAATTTTAAATGATTCTGATGATAGTGAAGATCCCAAGGATTCGGCTATCTGTGGGGTCTTCATGGCACTCTCCAAGCACCAAACTATGTGTCTATGTGGAGCCCCAAAAAGGCCAAGACTATGGATCCAGGGCTTGTCATAGTTGGTCAAATGGACGTCACATACCACATCCGCCACACCAGCTGCTGGATGGGCCAGCCAGTTCTCGGAACGAAACCCGTGGGGTGGGTGGGGTGGGGTGTCTGCCCCTTTCTTTTCTTCCTCCGTGCTGATGAAGCCAGGCGCATCCGGCCGCCATGACGTCAATGACGGGAAAATGTGGGGAAGTCAGGGCCGTGTGAGAAGAGAGCCCAAAGACAGACCCCGATACAAAAACACATTCTGTGTCTTCCAGGCAGGTTCTGAGAAACAGAAAGGGACGCCCCAACAGACAATGCAGGAAGCTGGCTGCCCAGCCTGGCCCCCAAGGTCCCCACCTCCAGACAGCATATCTACGTCCCCTTTCTGGATTTTTTTTTGTTTTTGCACCAGCTCTGCACCCAGGAATTACTCCTGGAAGTGCTCAGGGAACTGTTTGGGATGCCAGGGATTGAACCTCAGTTGACTGCATGCAAAGCAAGCACCCTTCCATCGGTGCTATCACTCTCATCCCTCACATCACCTTTCTAAGAATGTTTCTCTGCTTCCTGGAGTCAGGCCATTCCAGACATGTTGGGGAGACTTCCTAAGAGCTCTGGACCAGCACCAAGAAGCTTCATATGTGAGCAGAGGCCAGCTGCATGGGCCAGGGTGGTGGTAAACAGCCATTCGCCAACATGGCTTCACTTCATGGGCTCAGCTTTCTGGAACATAAAACCTCCATTCATTTATAGATAGGCTTTGTCTCACAGGTCTAGAGGCTCCAAGTCTGAGATCAAGGCGCTGGCAGAGTTGGCTACAACTAGGTCTGTGAGGGACAATTTGAAGATCCCTTTTTCTTGGCTTCTGGTGGCTTACTGGTGTTTGTTGCCTTGTAGACACATAACCATGATGCCCACTTCTACTCATTCGTCCATTTGCCCATTCATCCACACACTGTCTCACAATGACACTTCTTTCAGGCCTTCTTCCTGAGCCTCCACAGACCCAGATCCAGGCATCTGATGATCCCAGTATAATAATCCCCCTACACGCATGCACATGCCTGCCACCTCCCTCAGTACCACAACTCTGACAACTTCCAGGAGCTGAAAGCAGAGGAACGAAGGATCATATGCACCCTCACAGTCCCACTGAACTGCCTCACTTGGCTCTCTGCAGATGTGTGTGAAAGCCAGTGCTGCAGGCACAGTGTGAAGCTTGGGAGACGTGCACACATGCACGTTCTGTGGAGACAGAGGGGAGTTTGCAAGTCACCATAGAAATGGAACACTGCCCCCTCCAATGAATCCACTTTAGTCAAATAGAGCTCAGACTGGGCAGCCCTTGCCAGCTCTGGCTTCCCCTCAGACTGGAATTCCAGGATTCCCAGGTCACTAGGCCCTGCCTGATGGTGAATGTCAAGCCCTGTGGCATTGCCTAGAGCCTTTGCATAGGGACTTCTGGATAGGGCCTGGCCAGGGGAAGAGGAGGAAGTGTGGGCATAAGCATGGGGCATGGACAGGGGGTGTGGGCAGGAGGGAACAACAGGAGTACCCTTGGCCGAAACCTTGAGGGAAAATGGTTAGCATCAACTTGGGTTAAGGAAGGAATTGTGTCAGGGTGCCAATAGGCCCCTGCTTTCTCCCTACCAGGCCGGCTCTGTGAGGGCAGAAGTTCCCAGGTGACTCAGTCTTGCCCTTGCCTGATGACTTCCAGACTCTTCCTACCCTGCTGTCCCTGAGCATGTTTAATGCCAGACTCTTTGAGTGTGCATCATCCCCTGGGTCATTATCCCCAACCCTACAACCCAACCCCACCCCAACATCTCAATTTGGTCCTTCCAGCAGCCCAGACTAATACCCAAGTCTTAAGAGACCCTCCATCCCATGCAATCCCAGAGCCTGCTAGAAAATTCTCCTGGATCTACCCTGCAGCACCCTCAGAAGCCACCCACTTGTGACCAGCCCTTGCCCAGGCTCTGGTCTCTACCATTGCTTGCCTGGTACATGGTGTTAACCCCTAGCCCCACTGCATTCATGCTCATCTTCCTTAAAGAAGGTACAGCCTAACCAGGGCTTAACGGTGTGTAGAGGCATTGGGCCAATGCAGAAAGCCAGGCACATTTGTGGTCCTCACTGGAGCTGGGGGGTAGTAAATACATTCAGGTACATAGGCAAAGTTGGGGTCCAGCTCAGGAGGCTCTTTGAGCCATGCCCAGCCAAGGTGTGCTGGGACCAAGGAACAAACCCATGGGATCAGGTATTTCCAATGCACAAACATACCTAGCACAACATGTAACTCCATCCTCCTCTGTCCCCACAGCCGGCTCTTAGACAACGGCCCAATGCCCAACCCAAGGCCCACCAAGCCTTCAGCCCCATCACTGGTGCTCAACACATGCCCAGGAACTTCACCCAGCTGGAGGTCAGCAATGAAGACCTCTGACCTGCTGGGGGGTAAGGGCCTTGGAGCAACCTCCCAGAGCCGGGACCTTCGAGGGGGGCACCATGCTGCCACCTGCTCCTCCTTGAACCCCATGCCACCATCACAGCTGCAGGTGAGGCCCAGGGCCCAGGATGGGGCAGGCAGGGTGGGGTACTTGGGCCTATAGGTGCCGACCTTTACTGTGGCACTGGGCGGGGGGCCCAGCTAGGGCACAGGAAGTGGTTTTCTGGGTCCCAGGCAAGTCTGTGACTTATGCAGATGTCGCAGGGCCAAGGAAGTCCCCACTTCATAGGTCTCAGAGATCGGAGGCTCGCAACCTTCCCATCCCTTTCAGGAGAGAAGACTGTATGGTGGTGGTGGTGCAGTGGGCAAGACCCTGTTTACCCAGCCCCATATGGCAGAGGGGAAGGGCCAGGACCTCCAAGAGATAGATGAGCAGACAGAGATGAGCTGGGAGGTTTAATCCCACAAAGCCCATCACTCTGAGCACCAGTAGCCACCTTGGCAAAATAGGGATGGCCACAGGCCTAGGAGGTGTGAGCAAGAGAATAGGAATGAGACATGTCAAAGCAGGTGGAGCAGGGTGGCATGTCACCCTCCTGCCTTGTCCCTGCAGCTGCCTGCGGTGCCCCTAGTCATGATGGCCCCATCCGGAGCCCGACTGGGCACCTCGCCACACTTGCAGGCCCTCCTCCAGGACAGCCCACAGTTTCTGCACCAGGTATAAAGAGGAAACTTGCGGGGAGGAGTGCGGGAGTGGACGGGAGAGGTGGAGTGGGTCCGGCTGTTCCACACCCATGTGTGCCCCCAGCTGTCCACGGTGGAATCTCATGCCCGGACCCCGGTGCTGCAAGTACGGCCCCTGGACAGCCCAACTATGATCAGCCTCCCACCACCAACCACTGCCACCAGCATCTTCTCCCTCAAGGCCCGGCCTGGCCTGCCACCTGGTAACACTTTGCCCTGTTACTCCCCAAAGTCCCCAAGTCCCCAAACAGCACAAGCTGCTGCCCTATGACCCCCCAAAGAGGTCAGGAGAGTTGACTCTGATCATCTAGGAAACTCCAACCTCCCCCAAATGTCAGGCTCAGAACCTTAGTGCAATGTGCAGAATGTCAAAAGTCCCAGAGCCGCAGCTCTTTGCAAAGGTACTCCAAATGTCAGCCCCGGGGGCTGGAACGACAGTACAGCAGGTAAGGCACTTGCCTTGCATGCAACTGAGCTGGGTACAATCCTTGGCATTCCACATGGTCTCCCAAGCACTGCCAAAAGTGATTTCTAATTAGAGTCAGGAGTGACCCCTGAGCACCACAAAGTGTGGACCAAAAACCAAAAAAAATTAATGTCAATCCTGGTGAATGTTAATCTAGGGGCTGTTGACAGTGCCTGAGATATGAGGGACCCCAGAAAGGCACTAGGAGTCAAGGTTCAGAAGGGTTGTTGGATGCTCAAAAGGAAAGGCTCGGGTAGCTGAGTTCCCAACACCAACCTGCAGTGCCCACCGGTACCCTGCTGCTCCCTCCCTTCCTGCAGGAATCAATGTGGCCAGCCTGGAGTGGGTGTCCAGGGAACCAGCGGTGCTGTGTACCTTCCCAGACACCAGTGCACCAAGGAAGGACAGGTCAGTGGGTGTGGCTGAGAAGGGCCCCTCATGGCATTCCCCTGCCTCTGACACCTTCTGTTCCCCCAGCACCCTCTCAGTTGGGCCCCAAGGCTCCTACTCACTGTTGGCCAATGGCGTGTGCAAGTGGCCTGGATGCGAGAAGGCCTTTGAGGAACCCGAGGACTTCCTCAAGTGAGTGGCTTTGACCCCTTCCAGTCCATGGCATTGTGGGTGGAGGACAAGGGTGCAGGCCTCATCCCCATAGGTAGTAAGATGCAAGGGGCCAGAGTTGAGAGTGCAAGTTCCAATCCCCATCTCTTTCCTATACCAACTGTGCCACCTTGTACCAGTGACATCACTTCCATAGGCCTCAGTCTCCTCATCTGTATGATGGGCAAAATTAACAGATGGGTGCTTACATTGCTCTCCAGTTTACTCAGAAACCAAGGCTAGAGTGCTGAAGTGTTTTGGTCAAGGAAATCTGGTTCCTCCATGATGGAGCAGGGATTTGACCCTGGGGAGCCAGGCTCCAGAATCTGCATTTCCAACTGCTTTGCCCTACCAACACTCAAGACAGATTTTTTATTTCATCCTAATGTCTAAGTCTCTCTCACACACACACATATATTCTCTCTCATACACTTTAACACATACTCTCACTCATACACACACACTCATAAATTCTCACACAATCTCATTCTCATGCACACTCTCTCTCACATACATACACATTCTTTTTCAACATATCTGGTTATCTCCACGGTCAGTCCTTGGCACAGCACAGACTGTAGAATTGCCTTTCCTGTGATCCTCTACTCAGCCCCCTTTCAGTTCGCTTCCTCCCTTCAAGCCTCACACCTACTACATACAAAAAGCATGTGCTGATGGAACAAGTGTGGGGGATACGCAAATCAAGAGAAGAGAGAGGTAAACCATGAGCATACCCCCCCACCCGCCACGTCCTCTTGGAATGCTGAGCACTGAAGCTGGGCCACCACAATCATCCCATGAATCCTCACTTCTCAGGCACTGTCAGGCAGACCATCTCCTGGATGAGAAGGGCCGTGCGCAGTGTCTCCTTCAGCGGGAGGTGGTCCAATCCCTGGAGCAGAAGGTGATGTGGCAGTGGGGGGAAGGACAGCACTGGGGGCAGAGGACAACCCCAGGTTCTGCCCTGGGCCAGGAGTCAAGCTCCCCCAGGATGGAGGCCAGCCTAAAGGAAAGAAGAGGGCAGACACTCCCAGGCCGAGGCCTCACTTGGTATGACCCTCGCAGCTGGTGCTGGAGAAGGAGAAGCTGGGAGCAATGCAGGCCCACCTGGCCGAGAAGATGACACTGACCAAGGGAGCGTCTGTGGTGAGCCACCCCCAACCCCAATGGGGCCTTCCTGGGACTGATCTTAGAACCCGGCCCTGGGTTCACTGGTCCCTGTCCCCAGATCCAAACATACCCAGCCCTGAGGCTCTGCTCCATCCAATCACAATTGCTCTGGCCCTCAGAGCCCACAATCTTCCCTGAAGGCTGAGCACATGATCTGTGTGATGGAGGCCTGGACACCATCCCTGGCTGTACGTGGTCCCGAGGCCACAGCCAAGAGTGACCCCCTGCTGATCACCAGGGGAGTAACCCCTGAGGAACTCCTGGGCGTGGCCCTTCAAACCAACCCAAAACACACCCCGGCTTGGAAAAAAAAAAGATGCCCAAACCTCCTGGTGTCCAAGCAATCAGTCCTTCCTGAAGGCAGACCCAACTGGTAGCACTGGCTCTGAAACTTCAAGAATAAAATTGCAGGGCCCCTGTGCCAAGGTGGTAACTGCAGCATGTGGAAAGGGGGTTGAGGTGGGGTGTATGTCCAGATCCCACCTTCATGAAGCTGCCTCTGAGCACGTTTTTATTTTAATTTTGAGCCACGCCCACTGCTGCTCAGGGGTTACTACTGGCTCTACACAGGAATTCCTCCTGACAGGGCTCAGGGGACCATATAGGGCACCAGGATTTGAACCCAGGTCAGCCACGGGCAGGGAAAGTGCCCTAACCTCTGGCCCCTACTTCTGAGCATTTTGCAGGTTTCAAATCTTTCAGCCCTTGTGATGACTCTGTGAGTTTGGCTTTACTGTCTTTCCCATTTCAAATGAGGAAAATGGAGGCCACAAGGCTTAGATGACTTCCCCCATGTCACCACTTGAAATGGCAGCATACAGGAGCCCTGTCCATCCCTTGCTCAGGGTCCTAGCTATGAGCTCTACGCACACAGTATGCACCCAGTACGGAAATCCACAGCAGCCCAGGCTTGAGTCAAGACTGCCCTTGTTTTGTGAAACACTGAAGGGCCAGGGTTGTAGCTCAACCGCACAGTATTTCCCTTATTCCCTTACATGTGTGAGACCAACAGGTTGCATCTTCTGCCCCACCAAAAAAAATGCCAAAACAAAAAACATTTTAAATTCAAGTGGAGGGACTGGGCCAGTAGTACAGCAGGTAAAGTCCTTGCCTTGCATGCAGCTAACCCATAGGGCACAGCATAGGTCCCTCAGGCCTCCCAGGAGTGACCCCTGAGCCCAGAGTCAGGAGTAAGTCCTGAGAGCACCACTAAATGTGGCCAAGCACCTCCCCCACCAGTAAAAATTCAAATGGAAGGCTGAAGAGATAGCAGGAAGGGCATTTGCCTTGCACACACAGCAGACACAGGTTTAATCCCTGGCACCCCATATGGTCCCCCGAGCCTGCTAGGAGTGATCCCTGAGCAGAGCCATGAGTAAGCCTGACTTACTCCACCGACTGTGCTCCTCCCCAAAATTTTCAAGTGGAAAATTGAAGCCTATTGGGTCACCAATCTCTCTGCTCTCACCCCACTCCCAGGCTTCAGCTGACAAAGGCTCCTGCTGCATTGTAGCTGCAGGATCCCCAGGCACCACTATCCCGGCCTGGCCCGGCCCCTACGAAGCCCCCAATGGTCTGTTTGCTGTGCGGAGGCATCTCTGGGGCAGTAACGGAAATAACACATTCCCAGGTAAGGATGTTCTGTGCCCTCCACATTGGCCTCCACCCCAACCCCTCACTGGCTACATCCCATTGCCTTTTGGAGAGCACACTGATGAACAGCTTCCTCTCAGTCCTCCTGTGGTCATCAGGGGTCCCAAATGAGTGTTTCTCAGGTTTCACCCTGCCTCTCTTGTGAACTGGAGTCTTACTCAGTCTTACTCTAACCTCTCATTTGGTCATCAGAAAGTGGTGAAGGGGGTGAGACGGAATAATAATACAGCAGGTCAGGCATCTGCCTTGCATATGGCCGACACAGGTTTGATTCCTGGCATCCCATATGGTCCCCCAAGCCCACCAGTAATTCATGAGTACAGAGCCAGGAGTAACCCTCTGAGCACCATTGGGTGTAGCCCTCAAACAAAACCAAAAAACAGTGAAGGGGCTAGAGCAATAGTACAGTGGGCAGTGTGCTTTCAATCGCCAGTACCTCATATGATCCCCCAAGCCTTGTCAGGATTGATCTGAGAGAACACATCCAGGAGTAAGGCTTGAGCACTGCCGAGTATGTCCCCCCAAACCAAAAAAGTAGAAAGAAACTTTGAGAAGAATAACACATGATTTGCAGAGAGAAGTACAGGGAGTCAATTATCCCATTTATGTCAAGCACTTACCAAATAGTAACTAGGGCAAGGGTATTTTGGGGTTCCCTTGCAGTACGGAAGTTGGAGAGTGGGAAGAGGGAAAGAGGGAGATGATGAAAGTGAGGAGTCCCTGGAGGGTCCCTAATTCTCTCGCCGTCCCCCTCCCCCCAGAGTTCTTCCACAACATGGACTACTTCAAGTTTCACAACATGCGGCCACCTTTCACCTACGCCACCCTTATTCGCTGGGTAAGCAAGCAGCTCAGACCCAAGGGAAGCAAGACAAAGGGTGAAGGGGATCTGACTCCCAGAATCCTGGCTCCCACCCATCTGAGCACCCCCAGAGCAGACTCTTGCAATAACCTATGCCTTAGCTGTGATTCCCACATTGGCTTCACCCAAACCTAAACACTGCCTAGACCCAAGCTAAATTCTGGCCCTAAACATATCCCTTTTCTGATAGGTACCCCTCCACCCTACTCTGACCCTGCTCCCAGACCCCCAACTCGTCTCTATGCTCTCTGCCTTTTGGTCATGCCCCGCTCCACTCCAGGTTGTACCCTTTGCCAGCTTTTCCCAGCTGGGACATCCTTTCCCAGCTGGGACATTTCCCAGCTTTTCCCAGCTGGGACATTTCCCAGCTTTTCCCAGCTGGGACTAGCCTTTCCCAGCTGGGACATCCCTGTGAGGTCAACAATTTTCACTGCACCCCACCCTAAGGCCTTCCTCACCTCACCCCATCCCAAACCTCTATTGGAATCCCACTCAGGCTTTCCTAGAACCTTCTCCAGGGCCCACTCAGATATTCATCTGAGGCTTCCTCACACTACCACACACTCTATCCATCCTGACCCAAGCCCTCATTGCAGCCATTATCACTGCCTCTTAGTCCCATTCCTAAACCCAAACAGAGCCAAGCCTCCCTTCCCTGAGCCCCATGCTACCAACGACACTGTCACTGCCACCAACCTTGCTCGTGACCAGGAGCCTAAAAGTGCAACACAGGAAGGAGCTAGAAAATGGGCCCCACCGTGGAACCCTGACCTAACACCATACAGCTACCAACACTCACGCATTGAATCACCCAGTCAATCTGCCCTATTTGTTAACCATTCCCTTCCCTTGCCTTGAACTCTACCTGGCCTTTGACCACCACCCACCACTGCATTTACTTGTCCTCCTCCTGGCCCTTGAGCACACTAAACCTTGAAGCCTCCAACCCCGCTCCAAGAATCCGAACTCTATGCCTAACATTTAAAGTCACTGAAACCCCACCCTGATCTGGGGGGCCCCCCAACCAGGTCAGTGCTGCTCCTTGACCAAATCTTATCCTAGCCCCCCTCTCCCCAGTTCAAACCCTATCTCTGACCTGTCGCCCACATCCTCTCCCTCTGCCCATTCCAACCCCACCCCATGTCACATGACCCTTTCTAAGCCTGACCCCGCACCCTTACTTCCACACCCCCTCAACCTCCAGGCCATCCTGGAGTCTCCCCAGAAGCAGCGGACTCTCAACGAGATCTATCACTGGTTCACACACATGTTTGCCTTCTTCAGGAACCACCCATCCACATGGAAGGTGAGCGCTTCTGGAGGTGGCAAGTGGCTGGTGTGGCACTGAGTGACACCCCCCAAACATACAGAGCTGGGGCAAGCCCAGGATTAGGTGGATTTGGGGCAGGGCTTAGAAGTTCTGAGGGAAGGGCAGGAGGTCGGGTTCAGTGACCTCCGAGGATGACATGCCCACCGAGTTGGTCGTCTTCCCGTAGAATGCCATCCGTCACAACCTGAGCCTGCACAAGTGCTTTGTGCGGGTGGAGAGCGAGAAGGGCGCAGTGTGGACGGTGGATGAGTTTGAGTTCCGGAAGAAGAGGAGCCAGCGGCCCAGCCGGTGCTCCAATGCCACCCCTGGCCCCTGACCACAAAAACAAGAAAAGCAGGAGCCCAGGGGCTGAAATGGGGTTAGGCAGCAGAAGCAACTAGAGGCAGGGGCTTGGATGAGCCTACCAGGAGCAAGAAGTGAGGGGCACACTGTCTTGCCTGCCAGGGGCCCAGCACCCAGCTGACCACCCACCACAGATGCTGCACTGGGTCCCCCCCTACCCCTCTATCCCGCTACCCCTTACACACACAAGCTCTCTCCAGCCACACAAAGGCCCGCCTCAGTCATTCGCTTCAGGACCCCAAACATGAGGAGACAGTCTCGGAGACTACCTCGATGGTACCCCACCACCATCACATACAAGTCCTGTCTTGCCACCCCAAGGCCCTGAGAACACCCCCACAGCCCAGCTCTGCCCACAACCCAGGACCTCTCCAGGTGCGCACCTGGATACCCTCCCAGATGCAGCCCCAGGGCTGTCAGGACCTCGGGCCTTAACAGGCCAGCTTGACAATCTCCTCAGTCACAAAGCCTGTTGCAACACCCCTGGACACTTGTGTGTGAAAAATTTCCACAAGGGTCCCTGGCCTGGTCCTTTGCGTCTGTCACAGATACTCATGACTATAGGCACTGACTCAACAAAATGTACCCCACCTCTCGCATGACACCCACCCCCTTTTCCATCCTGAGCTCTGTGCCCACTCAATGCCTCAGCAGATTGCAGACAGAGTCCCCTCTTTATTTAGTATCCAACCCCCCACCATGTGCCCTCCCCAATAAACTACCAAGCTCCCATATTCTCCACTGTCACGCCAGGTAAGGGTTAGGGTTAGGTGGGGAGGGGGTTGGGTCTAAGGCCTCAGCCAGAGGAACTGCAAAACAACACAGGGTTTTGCCCGGACAAGTGCTTGTTATTTGCATCCAACAGCCCCAGATCTGGGATGGGGGGTGTTGGACCTTTGCTGGGGATTCTTCAGGTCTCACGGAATCGGCCCAAGAGATTCGCATTCTCCTGGCGAAGGGCTCGGTAGTCCTCACGGATCTTCTCCAGGTTGCTGAGGGTCTTCTTGCCCATCTCTGTCTCGATCTGAGGCAAACACTCATTGTCAGCACATGGGGCCCCATTCCCAGCTCCTGCTCACACCTTGCTCCATTACACATGCACCCTTGCGTGTCTTCTCACCCAGCCTCATCTGGCTGTCTACTGTGCCCTTTGCAACATGGAAGTTGACCATCCCCCCCCCCCCCACACACACACACACCCTGAACTCGAGTTCAGGTCTCTGCACATGGTCTCAGCAGGCAGGAGCTGAGACCAGGCCACCTTCCAGCAAGGAGAGGCACTGGGATTCCAGACTCATGGAGCTGTCCCCCGGGGAAGTGGGGTTTCCCTCCCAGCCCTATACCTCACCTGCTCCTCCAGATCCCGAACCTCACGCATGATGGTGCCAGTGTCCTCAATGGTCTTGATAAGCTGGCTGCAATTCTGGGGATGGCAAGAGCCAAAAGACTCACGCCCCATTCTTGTCCCCTGACTTGCAAGCCCCCCACCCTGTGCTCCACCTCCCTCCCTCACCTCATGCAAGGCAGCTAGGTACTTGTAGGCCTTCCGAACTGCATCATCCTTCTTGGCATCCTGAACAGTGAGACGGGACATCAAATTTTTATGTGGGGTATCCCACGCCCATCCTCCCAATACCATCCAGGCCACAATAAGGCCACCATCTCCTATCCCCCACCAAAAAGTTTAGCCTCCATGGGAAAGGCTCACCCAGAGCCCAGGCCCTAGCCACCATCTGGCCCCACACCTTGAATACCAGCTCATCAGTCACAGCAAATGTCCGGTCCAGCTTCCCAGAGAGGGAGTTGATTTCTTTCTGAAGCTCCTTCGTGTCAGACAAGATCTGGCAAATAACAGGGCTGGGCATGAGCCCATAGCCACAGCGGGCCAGGAGGCCAGTGAAGGGTACTCAAGGTGACACACTGCCCTCCAGAGAGAGCCTGTGTTGTCACCACAGCAGGTGCTGGAGTGGATGCCGCAGGGCTGTTGTGTGGCAGCTTCTCCGAGGAGGGAGAAGGTCTCCAAGGAACCACAAGACAGGCTTCTGGGCCCATGGCACACCTGCACCTATGGCCCACCCTCCCCCAGTTTGAGGGCACAACCTTCGTGATCTCTTCCTTCTGCTTCTGGATGTTGCCCACGATCTCCAGGATGCGCTGGGTATAAGACAGCCGGGACACATCTCTGGGCAGGCTCTCCAGCTCCACCATCTACACAGGGACATGGCAGGGAGTCCCCCAGGATGCACATCTGATCAACTCCCAGTTCCCCCACCAGGATTCCCTGCGTGGGCCTTACCAGCTGCTTATAGACATCCTCCTTCCTGCGAGCTTCATCAGCAGCTGCCCTGATGCTCTGGTGCAGTTCTTGGATCTCGGCAAGCCGTCGAGAAGATTCCAGCTGTCATCACCCCAGGGGTGGAGGGCAGTGAGCAGAGGCAGGGAGACGACCCCTGTTGAGGGCCCCAGCCTACCCAGTCCCAGAACAAACCTCTCTGGATTCCTGGAGCTGGCGAAGGTGGCGGTACTCTTCGAGGAGGGGGACCCGGTGCTTCTCCCACTGTTCTGCCAAGTGGATGACCCGCTGGGCACTGCTCTCCACCAGCATCTGTGGATGGTGGTGGGAGGCAAGAATATGTCACACACAGATGGGTCCTTCCCACTGCACACGCTGCTCCGCCACTGCCCAGCCCAGCCCAACTCCCACCCCACCTGGAGCTTGGCAAGGTTGGTAGGCCCATCAGGCAGCAGCTCCACAGCCTGGCTCTGGACGCGCAGTGCCTGCTCCCGCTCGGCCATGCTCTGCTCGTTCTCCTGACACTCGCTCTCCACCTGGCACCCAGGAAACCCACTCCCAGTCAGTGAGGAAGCATCAGCACATACCCCAGTTCATCAACCTGTACCAAGTCTGCAATGGGCTGACTTCACCCCTGTGCCCATTGCTGGTAACACCCTCTTTTAGCCCCTAGAGGTCCCTGTCACTCTTCTGGGCATGCACAGGCTCTTTTGCCTCCACACTGATGGCCTGAGGAACCCCATGAAGTCCTGCCCACACAGAACCACCTTGTTCCCCAGAGGCCCAAAGACACTCACACCCATCCCTGTTTGCCAGACACCTCAAAGGCCTCACAGATGCACACAGTTTCCTTCACTTCTCCAGGTTGACCAACCCCCCCCCCCCCAACCTCTATTCCACTCTCTAACTCCCACTGGTTTTCCTTCTTTTGTTTATTTTGGGGGGCGCTACATCTAGTAGGGCTCAGGGCTTATTCCTGGCTCTATATTCAAGGATCACTCCTGGCAGGCTTGGGAAATCATATGAGGTGCTGTCACATGCAAGCAAGCATCCTACCCACCATACTATCTCTCAGCCCCTCCACTAGTTTTTCTGAAGTCCCCCGAGCTTTACACATTTTCAGAACCCACAAATCCCATGCCTGAAATCCTCCCAGCATCTTCACACCTTTTGGCCTCCTGTCCTGCTATTTTCATTGGACCCAACTGCAGCCGCACCCCAGCCAATGCCCCCCTGTGCACCTGTTCAATGTTGAGGCCCAGTGCCTTCATTACGGCTTCGAACTCATCAATGCCGCGCTCCACCTCATCCAGCTCCCGCCGGAGTGCCTCTAGCTCCTGCTCTTCATCTGCTTGCGTGTCCTGGGGCACAGGCTAAGTGTGTGTGTGGTGGGGGAATATTCAGGCCCCACACATGGAAAAGGACCTGAGATCATACCCACCAATGCCCTGCTTACCTGTGCAGGCTGCTCGGGAGTCAGCACATCTGACACTGCAGCTGCCTGGGCCTCAGGCTCCTAGAGGACAGAACACATTTTCTGAGGGGGCCTGCTACCCCTCTGAGTCTGGCCCCCTCTGCCCCCCAAAACCTCCCACCCCCAGCGGCAACTACCACTGGCCCAGGACTCTAGCACCCTCAGTGATCTCAGAATCAAATCCCGACCTTGACCATACTCCTGAGTGACCCCCCACCCCAATCACACTGCCCAACCACACTGCCCATGGAAGGTGGGGAGCCCTGCTGGGGTGGCCATTCAAGGGGCTAAACCATGGCAGCTTACAATGCTGCAGTTTGCACACACAATGCCCTGCACCCTTCCTTCACCGAGTGCTCCAAGAACCAGTGCACCCTTCTGGGAACCCCTCCAAGTGAGGAAGAGGGCAGCCTCAGTGGGGGGTTGAATGGTGAAACCATTCTGCCAGCCTAGGCAACCTCCCCCATGTCGCCATCTCCAGCACCTCCCGCACACCCCCGCTCCCAGGTCCACCCACCCCATGAAAGGTGAACTTCTCCGAGTGCATAAAGCGGGAGCCCTTGGGAACATCGGTGTCATCCCTGCCGCCCCAGGCCTGCAGCATTTCTCCCAAGTCTTGCTCGGGTTCAAGGGCTTCCAGCTGGCTGGAGGTCTGGCGCAGATGTTCAGCCATGTACTTCTTCAGTTGCTGCTGCTGCTGCGCCCATGTGTCCTCCTGGAAACAGAGGGTGGCCGATGGCAGGGTGTGGAGGCTTGCTGGGGCCCCATTTCTTCCTGGGAGATCACACCCTGAGGTGTCATAGCTAAGCCACAACCAGAAGCCCACCTTGCCCATTGAGGGCCCGGGGCTCACAGCAACCACTGGCTGGCCAGCTCCCCAGGGCCTGGGATCTCGTTTCCCATGCCACAGAAGGCAGTGGAAAGAAGAGGCACCTGCAACCCCCAAGCCAGAAAGCAACCCCCAAAAGGCCTTGTGGGGACAGAGCAGACAGTGTCCGAGGGTGCTGGGCACAGAAGGGGCAGCGTCCAAGACCGGAATGCAGAGAGACGAGACCAGAGGCAGTGTTGAGACAACCCGGGAGATCTGCTTATGAACGCGGTGTCAGAGGGTATGAAGAGCCATCACTGCTCCTTTTTTTCAGGTACGAAAATGGCCTGGCCTTGCATGTATGATGGATTCCATCCCTGGCACCGCCAAAACACACAAAAACTGGAGCCAGAGAGATAGTACAGCGGGTTAGGCGCTCGCCTTGCACACAGTCAACCCAGGTTAGATCCCAGATACCAAATAAGAGTTCCCCAAGCCCCTCCAAGAGTGATCCCTGAGGACAGAGCCAGAAGCAAGCCCTAATCACAGCTGGGTGTGGCCCCAAACCCCAATACAAAACACACACACACACACACACAAAAACCAAGGTTTGTATTCAAAAGTGAATACCCTTCTAAGTTACAAGGTGTGTGCTTAAGTATGCAGAGTTGAATTGGTTATGTCTGAGCTTTGCTTTAAAAGAATACAGAATAAGAGCCTGAGAGATAACGCAGTGGGCAGGGTGCCTGACTTGCACATGGCTGACCCAGGTTCAATCCCCAGCACTCCATATGATGCACTAAGTCCCACCAGGAGTGATCACTGAGTGCAGGGCTGGGAGCAATCCCTGAGCACTGCTGAGTGTGACCCCCAAACAAAAATAAAAAAACAAAAAAAAATGAATAGCAGTAAAAGAGGTAGGAACAGACAAAGAAATATACAGATGTGGACAGAAAGGAGAGAATGTAGACAGAGGCAAGGGAATGGATCCAGAGGAGACAAATGGAAGGGGGAGGGCAGAAGTGGAGGAAGAAAAACAAAGTGCAAAATGCAAAGACAGGACCAGGGATGGGATTCAGGTGGTAGGGTTCGATCCCTGGCACTGCCCAGTGTAGTATCCTGGGTGGCCCCAACACCAGGAGGTGTGGCCCCCATATAATCTATTTCAAATGAAGAGGCAGAGAGAGAGAGAGGGTGTAAGAGCCAGGAGATGAGAGGGAGTAGAAGAGATAGCACAGAAATCCAGAGACAGAACACAGGAGTGGCACAGAGACAGAGATAGCACGAGACACAGAAGCAGGAGAGAGCAGATAATAGCAGAGGGAGGACCAGAGCTATAGAACAATGGGGAGGTTGCTTGCCTTGTACACAGCTGATCCCCAGCACTCCATATGGTCTCCCTAAGCCCCCTCAGGAGTGATCACTGAGCACAGAGCCAGGAGTAAGCCCTGAGCACTGCTGGGTGTGTCCCCAAGGCAAAACAACAAAAAAATTGCACAGGAAGCAGATCAGTCCTGAGGCTGGCAGCAACTGCTGAGAACATGAGCCTGCAGGTGGGGGGAGGGGGTGGAGGATGATCTCCACCACCCCCATGTCTCAGAGCTGGGCCCTCCCAGCACTGCAGAAGGACAATGGCACTGGCTCAGGGTCCCCGATCTTAGTGACTCAGGGCTGAGTGGGGGCACAAAGAGGGGAGATCATGGAAGAGAGGGGAACCACGGGGGAATGGGAAGGGCCAAAGGGCTAGCAAGATACCCAAGTACACAGCAATGCATGAAGGCTGGCAGACTAGCAGCCCAGCCAGGATCTGGGCAGAAGTGCGTACCTGAGTGGGATGGCAGGGTGCGTGGAGGACCCAGCCTTCATTCCCAGGCTGGTCCTGGCCTGTGAAATCGCTGAGCTGGAAAGTGTGGCATTCCAGGAATGATGTTGCCCTCTCAGGAGCCTCGGGCACCTGCTTAGAAGCTGGCAGCAGCTGGGCGCTGGCCTGATACTCCCGGAGCTCTGCAGCAGGAATAGAGGTGGACCAAGGGCTACCACCTGACCCCAGGGGCAGGTTCAGCTCTCCCCTCCAACTGCTCTCTCAGATCCCACTCACCTGCTTTAGAGTTCATCTCGGCCATGATCACCTTGCTGAAATGAAAAAGCTTCTCCGGAACCGTGTCCTGGGAGAGAGAAGCAGGATCAGAGATTTCACTGTGCAGCGGCAGCAAAGTATCTGAGCAGCACAGTATCTACGCTCCTCCCCGGGAACGCGGGAGGCAAGGCGGAGATAAGCCAAGATGGACAGGAGTTGGCAGGGGGTTGGGGTGCCCCACCTGGAGGTTTTCCAGATCAGGAATGTAATGGCGGGATGGGACCGAGGACAGGGTCATCTGCTGCCCAAGTTCACCGCCAATGGAACGGAAGAGGATAGCTGAGTCACCTATGGGCACAGCAGAGAGAGTGTCAAGCAGGTGAGAGTGATGGGTCCAAAACTGCAGACGCTGGGAAAGCAGCTGGTACTCCCAGATCCCTCCCGCCACCCCAGACAGGCATCTTTATGGCATACATTACCATCAGCAATAGCTTCAGCTGTTCCAACTGGCACTTACTTTACAGCTCACTGTCCCAACTCAGGCTGCTCAAAGGCACGCCCCTCCCAGATCTAGAGCAGCCTGGGACTAAGGTCAGGAGAAAAATGCTGAAAACCCACAGGCATATGGCACCTAGGAAGACTGCCCAGAGGAGGAGGCCCATAGGGCTGTGCCTGGAGCACCTCTCAGAAGTGACATGGGAAAGCTCCTGGGTTAACAATGAATAAAATGTCCTGAGATGCATCTGAGGGGTTCAGAGGGGGCTAGTATGAGAATGGAGCAGGCATCAGGAGGAGGCATGAGGTGAACTCAGGAGGCCCCTCCTAGCACCTCTCCACCTGCAGCAGCCTTCCTAGGTACCCCCTCACCCAGTCCTTTTCTGCTGCCTCGCTCCTTAAGGACCCATAGGTACCCCCACACCTGTAACACCAATATCCCAGACCCCCTCACACCTGCAGGCTGGTCTGCATCCTCAGAGGTATCAGTGGGCAGACGTTCAACCAAGAAGAGCAGGAGGTCCCGGAGGTCAGGCTCACTGGGGTACAGGAAGTTCTGGTAGCCCAGCTCCAGTGGGTAGCCCAGGTCCTGTGTGGAGCAGAAGGCGTGAGTGAGAGGTGGAGGTGCCCTTTCAGCTAGAGGTGCCCTGGGCCTAAGACCATCAATATGCTTGCCCTCACCAATCACCAATCTCTGGACTACCTTGGGGCTTTGCAAAGAATCTAGAGCCCTCTGGGGAGGGCACAGGGTGAAGAGTGACCATTCCAAAGAGGACAGAATAAGACCCAAGTGCTGATCTTTCTAGACACATTTCATAATCCAGAAGCCACCAAAGGGACACTGGGTAGTTGTGAATGAAGGAAAGACAGAGTAAGTTGGGAGAAACAATCAGAGCTCATACCATAGGCAAAGAGCAAATTTACCTCATATAGAATCATCATTCTGTTTCCCTTGCTCAAGTGTTTCCCTTGCATGCGGCTGACACACATCCACATGCAAGGTTCTATGCCTGGCATCATATATGGTTCCCTGCATCCCACCAGGAGTGATACTTGAGCACACAGGCAGGCGGAACCCCTGAGCACCACCAGGTGTGACCCCAAAAACAAAATCAGATTAAGTCTGGAGAGAGAATACAGCAGGTAGTGAGAATACAGCAGATCGTGTGCTTGCCTTGCACACAGCAACCTGGGTTCTTTCTCTGGCACCACACAGAGTCCCCAAACCCCACCAGGAGTGATCCCTGAGCACAGAGCCAGAAGCCCTGAGTGCTGCTGGTTGAGACCCTAAGCTACATATGTAATACAGATGTAACAGTAAAATAAAATAGTGCAGTCCTGTTCAAACTAGTTTACAAAAAAGCTACACAAGAAATTTTTGTAGCAAAGAAGGAAGCTTATGTGCTACTTATTAGATATGATTAAATTTTCTGAATACAAACGTGATCTTGGTGTTTGGATATGACAGAGAATGTCCTTGTCCTATTTTTTCTTTGTTGGTCATTTGGGTCATGCCCAGCAGTGCTCTGCCTTCAGAGACTGCACCTGGGGGGAGGGCTCAGGGTTCTGGGGATCAAACCCAGGTCAGCTATATGCAAGGCAAACACTTTGCCTGCAATACTATGTTGCTCATCCCTAAAATATCCTTTGACTTAGGAGAGGCACAGAAAAAGTTTGTTTTATAAGTGCGAAATGTCACATGTTTGACAGTTTGAAGTGGTGATCCAGCAAAACAATGTATGTGTGCTTATATATGTAGTTACAGAGGAAAAAAGATTGTAACAATGCAGAAGCTAGGAGAAGAGTAGGTAGGCAGGTGTTCATTAGTCTATTTTTGTGTGTTTTTCTGGGTGTTTTGTTTTTGTTTTTTAGAGGGACCACACCCAGTGGTACTAATGGCTTACTCCTGACTCTGCACTCAGGGATCACTCCTGCCACAGCTTAGGGGACAAATGCAGTACTGGGGATAAAATCTGGGTTGTCCACATGCAAGACAAGCTCCCTACTGCTGTTCTATCTCTCGGACCCTCATTGATCTATTTTCACTTTTCCTTTTTTTGAAACTTTTTTACTGAATCACTGTGAGTTAGACCAGTACAAAGCTGTTCATGATTGGATTTCAATCATATGGTATTCTAATACCCATCCCTCTACCAGTGTACACTTCCCAGCACCAGTGTCCCCAGGTTTCCTCCCATCACCCCCACCCCCACTTCCCTGCTATTTTCATTTTTCTTTACTTTTGAACATTTTTGTTGTTTGAGGTCCACACCAGGAAGTGATCAGAGGATTGACTCCTGGCTCTATGCTCAGAGATCTCCCCTGGTGGTGCTTGGGGAATATGTAGCACCAAGAATCTAACTGGAGTCAGTCATGTGCAAGGGAAGTGTCTTAACCCCTGGACTATATCTTGAGCCATTTATTTTAATTTTTAATTGGAGTCACACACAGTCTGATGGTTTTGGTGCAAGAAAAAAATAAAGAAATTACTATGGTTGAAATCCAGCCCATTCTACTACTGGTCAAAAAGGCACTGGGTGAGTTATTTAACTGGCCAGCAGCAAAGTTTCCACCTGTGAAAAGACACCAGTCCCACTTTCCCTTTGTGGGAAAGACAGGGGCAGCTTTATGGGGAGAAAGACCCCTGCAGGGTTCTAGATAGAGGAAAATCAAGTCTTTTTTGCCTAAGATGCTGTTGGTCCAGAGCTCTGGGAGACTCCAAAAGCAGATTCCTTAAATTCAAATCCCTGGTTTGCCTCTTACCAACTAAGTCCTTGGGCCAGTTCATCCTTCTGTGCTTCTATTTACTAATCTGCAAAAGGGGCTCCCAGCAGTGCCTACCTTAAAGAGTTAACAAGGGAATTATCTAAGTTGACATCAGGTTAACACAAGGCCCAGCCCAGAGTACACACTTACCCAGTATCATGATTACCATATGTGTGCGCTGGGTCATGATACGAGGTATATTTATTTAACAGGGTCATGGTCAAAAAAAGGTGTGAAAACCGCTGGCTGTTAAGCTACTTTATTTGGGGTATATATTCTAACACCTGAAATCAAAACAGTTGTCACTGACACGGTAATTTATTCCAGGAGTTTGGGGTGGGGGGTTGTGAAGTGATAGACACCAAAATATGGAGGTGGCTAAGAGGCAGAAAGAACTGACAGGATGTTCCTGTGCTTGAGAGAGGGGCATCTGGTTAGTGGCACCCATCTCGCAGTTGCCTGGAACAAAGCAATTCCTTGTTTATCCCAGCATGGCTTCTGGTCTGTGCCTGCTTCATACTTTGGACACAGAATGCAAAGTTAATTTCAGTAATATATTTTATTTAGTTCATACTTGTTCTTGGTGTAGTTTGAGTTGTTTAGATCTGTTTTCCTGTGTTGTGGTGAAAGAAATAAAATCGAAGTGCTTAAAAAATGCCAGGTGGGGCTGGAGCAATAGCACAGTGGGCAGGGCATTTGCCTTGCACATGGCAGACCAGGGTTCCATTCCCAGCATCCTATATGGTCCCCTGAGCACTGCCAGGAGTAATTCCTGAGTGCAGAGTCAGAAGGTAATCCCAGTGCATTGCCCGGTGTGACCCAAAAAGGGGGAAAAAAAAAACCAGGGGTGGGCACATACAGACAGCTGCCACTGGGTGGCAATGCTGAGCTGTGCTGCAAGGACAGAAGGTTAAGACAAAAGGACCAAACACAGGCTCCCCCCAACCCCCACCCCCAGCCACTGAAAAAAATGGTACTTGGCTAGAGTTAGTATGAGTATAGTCAGTCAAACATGAAATCCATCGCAAGAGAACGCGGAGAAGAGAAAAACAGAGAACTGAGAAAAGTCTGACCCACTCCCAGACCCTCCTGAACACCTCTGAAAACAGAGAAGTCATCGCTTCCCCTTTAGAAACTGCCATCTTCATTCGGGAAGCTGCCAAGAGCCCAAACAGGAAAAACAAGGAAATCCGGAGACCTCTGAGGTGTGTTACAAATGGAGAGAAAATACACAAGCAAATCGGGAGTCTAGGAGTTTACCCCAACCCCAATCTCAATGAAGGTATTCCATTGTCCCTCCAGCACCATGCAAAGGATGCTCAGTATGCTTCTTGCATTCATTATATTGTCACAGGTTGCTAGAATACAAGCAGCTGCAGCTGGTGGCTGCATAATATAAAGCTAATATCTCCTGTTTCATATTATCTCGCTCCTCTCCTTTGTGAAGGCACCAGGATTTAGAGTACTGTTAATGTCTCTAATGTCAAGACTGTTAACACAATCCTGCTATACCATACCACCACCAGAGTATCCCCACCCTCCACCACTGCTTTTGTAGGCTCCTCTTTTCCCTTCTCCCAACCACACTTAGCAAACTCATCTCAACAGGCAGATACTAGGGGGTCTGTATTAACTCACTTTTTCATTTGGGGGGAGCCACACTCAGTAGTGCCCAGGACTTACTCCTAGCTCCAGGGTCTGGGAACATTCTTGGACAGGCTTGGGGGATGCTGGGAATCTGAGCTCAGGATTTACTCCTGGCGGTGCTTGGGGGAACATATGGGATGCCAGAGCTTGAACCCAGGTGGGCCATGTGCAAAGCAAACACCCTACTCGCTGTACTAGCCATCCAGCCCCTTAACTCACTTTTAAATCATAGCAACCCCAAATGCTAGGTTCAATTCTCACACCCATCTAACACACAGGGAAACAAGTCTGAAGAAGTTAAGAGACTGGCTCAAAAGCGCAGGGCTAAAGTGTAAAGAGGATAAATGCCATTACTCAGAGACCTTAGATGCCTAAGTAGACATGGCTTTGTACTGAGAAGGCATGAGTGGTTCACCAGGACACATCCTGGACTATAGAGACTGTTTGGGGAATAGTCTCCAGAGAGGCAGAATGCCAGCTACTGCCTCAGGGACAATGGGGCCACCATGGGTTTAGTGAACAATACAGCTTCCTCTAGGTAAGCATCCCTCCCTGCAGCCGCATGTGATCTATAAAGAGTGACCAATCACAGGAACCCCATGAGCTCAACCATGTGATCCTGGCTGGGCCAATCAAAGATATAGTGAATGATGCATTGCAGAGGGAGTAAGTGACTGATGACCATGGTCTTTTCTGAAACTAGTAGACAGACAAAGGAAACTTTCTTGGAGATGTGCTTAAATAAAATGTGGCAGCCAGGTGCAAACTGAATCAACCTCTTTTCTGCTCAAAAATCACTCACCTTGAATCCTCTGGATTTCATGATCTGAGCCCTTGGGCAGCTTCATTCTATAGCCAGCAATTTTCTTTTTATTCTGCATTTGTTTGTCTTTTGTTTGCTTGTTTGGCGGCCACACCCGACAGTGCTCAGGGCTTATCCTGGCTCTGTGCTCAAGGATCAAACCCAGGTTGGCTGTGTGAAATGCAAGAAAGCACCTTACCCACTGTGCTATGTATCTAGAGCCCAAGCCAGCAACGTTCAACCACTAATTCACGAATCACTTCATCGTCAGCCACAGGCAGTAAGCTTGGCAGGGAGAAAAGGTGAGGGTTTCTAAGGAGCTTGGTGACTCTGCGAAGGAGGAAGAGGCTGTGTGTTTTAGGAGGGCACTCACCATACAGGCCTGAGCCAGACTCATGGCCAGGCGGAAGCGTGCAGACATGGCAAGCGGCAACAGGTGACTGAGGCCAGAGCCCACAGGAGGATTGATCACTCGCAGGCAACGCACCACAGCTTCTACGGCCATCTCCGTGTTGAAGGCCCGCAGAGATTGCACATCTGGAGGAATTTCCCTGAAGAACAAAGATGCAGGTTTGATCAGGGTGAGGTGATGTAAGCAGTCAGGAAACAGGAATCAGGTGGTGCTGCCTTCTGGAAGCCTTAGTACTCACATGCAGGTGGGTAAAACAACCACAGGACAGGCCCTTGGTGTTTGGTAGTGACTGTGACTTCTGGGGAGGAGGGATTGGGCCACACCCAGCAGTGCTCAGGGCTCACTCCTGGCTCTGGGCTCAGGAATCACTCCTGGTGGTACTTGTGGGGCCTTCTGCCGTGGATCAAACCCAAGACCTCCCCTCCAGCTGAAAGTCAAAACTTTCATTTGGAAAACTATGAAGACCTGGGAAAGTCACCCAGCCTGGGTGTAGGAAAACAAGTGGTTGGGAGAGATCTGAGTTTAGAAAATCTCCATTTTTCCCTATGCTTAAAAGCCCCACATTTTCTAAACTGTGGAAATGTGCAAAAAGGAATCATCTCTAGGTTCCTAGGTCTTCAACTTCTGTGTTCTTGACGTGTCAAAGGGTCCTAGATATTCAGCTACTAGGATTTTGAGACGAGATTTGGGAAAGTTGAGGTTTGGGGAAATTACAAATGTGAAGGCCCTGGCTATCAAGAGCTTTGGATATTGAGAGCCTCGGAATCAAGTAATGCCGAATTTCAAACAATTAAGGCTCCCTAGACATTGGAATATTGGGTTTTTAGAGCTCTTGAAAGTCAGGTCACCAAGCACCTCAAGGAGCCAGATCTTAGTGCCCTGAGGTTTGAAAAGTCCCAGGTGATGGGACTCCAGATTTGAAGGTTCTCAAATATACAATCCCAGGGTTTGGGGGTGGGTGGGGATTTTAAGTTCCTTGATTTTAAGACACAGGTTTTCCAGACATCAGAATCACTGGTGTGGACATCCACAAATTTCAAGATTCCATGCTGGAGGTGCCTGGGTTTTAATTAAGGTCTCTATATTTTATAGGGTTATCAATTTGAGGCCAAAAGGTTTGAAATTCCCTTAAAGGGTGTGGGCTGCGTATGTATGAAAAGGGAGGATTAAGATGAAGAACATAAAGCCTTGGATGTCAAGGTTGGGGGAGGAGTAAGGTTCCCAGGTGATATGGATTCCCAGTTTCCCAGTCCCGGTAACGGGGTAATAGGGATTCCCAGTTTTCCAGTCCCGGATGTGGGCATTCCGGGCTGGCTGGGGGTTAAATCCTTACGTGCCAGCCTGGCGCAGGGAATGGATGAGGATTCGGTCTGCTTCTTCCATGATGGAGCGATGTCCGATTATGGCGCTGGGTCCAGAGCCGGTGAGGGCTGGACAAACGCTGCTGCAAAAGCACCCACTCTGCAGTCCTGGTCCTAGTTAGTGTCACGGGATGAATCGGGGAAGCTGGGAAATGTAGTTCCGGGAGCCTCCACAGCAAATAAGAAATCAGGCTAACGCGCGCCCCTAGAGAGAATATGCGCGCGCACTCTCGGTCCCGCAACGGCTGCTGGAAATTGTAGTTCTTCCTCCTGCCGTTCCGCGAACTGTTCCCGGTACATACATTGAAGGCAGCGTTCAAAAGGGTACAAATTAAGGGCAGGAGTGTAGAAGAAAGCGGGTGGGTTTGTGTTTCATCCCTGCAACTTGCTAATTTTGCAACTACGCGCAAATTGCTCAACTTCCCTATTTCTTTGTTTCCTCTGTAAAATGGCATCATTGATAGCAGGGGTGGCGTCCATATTTCTGATCGGATAATCAAAAATGTGTATTTTAGCGTCGAAGAGATACACCTTACGGCGGATAAGGCGCTTGCTTTGCATGCAGTTCAGTCCCTGCCTCCACATTTGGTACCCGCCGGGAGTGATCCTGAGCAGAGCCAGGAATAAGCCCTGAGCACAGCTGGCTGGAGCGATAGCACAGCGGTAGGGCATTTGCCTTGCACGCAGCCAACATGGCTGGCCCGAGTTCGATTCCTCCGCCCCTCTCGGAGAGCCCGGCAAGCTACCGAGAGTATTCGATATGCCAGACACAGTAACAACAAAGTGGAGACGTTACTGGGCCCGCTCGAGCAAATCGATGATCAACGGGAGGGCCTTTACCTTTACCTTTACCTACAGCTGGGTGTGACCCAAAAACTAACAAATAAGCGTGTATTTTATAGTGAGGCCTCTGATGGTTGCGTCTGTACTGAACATACGCAGCCTTATTGTCTTGTTATTACCTATACAAAACAGATTAACAACTACAATTGACCCTTGAAGAAAGGGAGGGGGAGGGATCTTAATTAGCCAACCCTCCCCACTGCCTCCACAGTAAAACATCTACATACAACTCTCACTTAAACCCAGAGACTCATCCGGGCAAGGCATGCATGCACTCTATCACTGAACCACGTCCACCCCCCCCCCACAACTTTTTGATTACCCCCAAATTTATTTGCTTATATAGCCTGCTGTAAACAGAGAACCTTACCAATGAAACAAGCCACTAATTTACAGCTATTTTGTGTTATATGTCATATTCTGTACTCTTATTACAAACTCAGCTAGAGAAAAGAAAAATGTGACCAACAAAATCATTAAGTACCTCTACACAAATGGTAGGGCTGGAGCAATAGCACAGCAGGTAGGGCGTTTGCCTTGCACGCGGCCAACCCAGGTTAGATTCCTCTGTCCCTCTCGGAGAGCCCGGCAAGCTACTGAGAGTATCCCACCCGCACTGCAGAGCCTGGCAAGCTACCCGTGGCATATCTGATATGCCAAACACAGTAACAACAAGTCTCACAATGGAGATGTTACTGGTGCCGCTCAAGCAAATCGATGAACAAGGGGAGGACAGTGCTACAGTGCTACAAAAATGGTATCTAGAGGCATTCAGAATGGGCCAGTGTTTGACATACCATTGTAGGCTTTCCTACAATATAGTCCCCAACAAAATTAGGCTCCCCCAAACTTTTGGAAATATAATTATTTACCTTCATACCAAAAAGAGTTGGAATGGCACCAAAATCTGCATGTGGTGTATGCCTGGGTCAACTTTGAGCAGTTAGAAAGCACAGTGAGACCTATAGTTTTTTATTTGGGTGGCGAGGTACACCAGGTGGTAGTCAGGGCTTACTCCTGGCTCTGTGCTCAGGAATTACTCCTGGCAGTGCTCAGGGGACCATATGGGGTACTGGGGATTGAACTCCCTCCAGTCATATGAAAGGTAAGTACTATCTCTCCAGCTCCAAGACATAAAGTTCTTAAGAATCAATCTAAAACAGGACTGACTCCTGAGCTCAGAGCCAGGAGTGATCCCTGAGCATCACCAGATGTGACCCCAAAATAAACAAAAATTTCTACCTAAAACCAAAAATTACAAAAAGATTTCAGCAGCACCTATGGCAATTTCAGGTGTGCTATGTGTGTATCAGGAAGGATCAAACATGCTTTCCTTATAGAGGAGCAAAAAAATCATTGTCAAAGTGTTAAAGGCATAAGCTCAGTCAAAAAGCAACATTTTAAACATGACAACATTTTAAATAATAAAAATACAAGACCCCAAGTGATAGTACAGTGGATAGGGCATTTGCCTTGCACACAGGTGACATGAGTCCAATCTGTGGCACCCCATATGGTTCCCAAAGCTTGCCAGGAGTGTACCTGAGCTCAAAGACAGGAGTAAGCCCTTGGCATAGCCAGGTTTTCACCCAACAAAACAAAACAAAATAAATCATTAACTGGATCACCATGAAGGTCTTCACATTGAGTAAGCTGAGGAGGAGGAATAAGGGTTGAAGAAAATTCAAATATGTGACTGGGGATGGAGCAATACTATAGTGGGTGGGGTGTATGACTTGCATGTGCCTCATCAGGGTTCAATCCCCAGCACCCATATGGTCCCCTGAGCACCGCCAGGCATAAGCCCTGAGCACAGTCGGGTATGACCAAACTTCCCCACCCTCCACAAATCCACATATATGTGGAACCACACAATTCAAAGTAGTGTTAAGAGTCAACTGTGTCCACATCATGCATATATTGTGTTAAGCATTATAAACTCTACCCCTGTTGTTAATGCAGCAACTTCATACATTGTACCAAGTGTAAGGAACTGAGAGATTTGTTTGCGGGCTTTTCTGGGGTTTTGTATCTGTTTTTGGGCCACACCTAGTGGGCTCAGGAGACAATCTGGAGTGCCAGAATTCAAGCCCATATAGACCTTGTACAAGGCAAACACTCTATCACTCCAGTCCTTTAGAGATGATTTGAAGAATACAGAATGATGTGTGTAGTTCCTATGCAAGTACTATACCATTTTCTATAGAGAACTTGATCATTTACAGATTTTGGTATCAATGAGTATTATGGAACCAACCCCCCTCAGATATTAATGGAGCAATTGTGCTCGCTTCCTAGGCTTAAAAACAAATTAATTCACATAAACCACATTGTACTATGTGTTTGACACATAACACAGTAAGAGAGTAGTATGTCTGGCTAGAGACCTAGTTTGATGGACTGGAGTCCACTGCAGGAGACCCAGGGCACCTCACAATCCCCTAAGCACAACTGAGTATCACTCAAGGAAAGCAAAAACATGGCTGGAGAGATAGTATAGGAGTTAAAGAACTTGCCTCACACACAGCTGATGCAGGCTTGATCCCCAGCACCACATAGGGTCCCCCCGCAACCCCACCAAGAGTGATCCCTGAGCAAAGCTGGATGTGGCCTAAAATCCAAAATAAAAAAAGAAAAAAATGAAGTAAAACAAAAAAGAAAGCACTAAGTCACACAGTTTCTAGTATTCAAACATTCAATAAAATAATTTAAAAAATAAAAATGGCAAGAGGATCTGAGCAGACATTTCTTCAAAGAAGACATTCACATGGACAATAGCCAAACAAACATTCATCATCAATGATTAGAGAAGTGCAACACAAAACTAAAATGAATATCACCTCATATCTATTAGAATGGGCTGGAGCGATAGCACAGTGGTAGGGCGTTTGCCTTGCATGCAGCCAACATGGCCGACCCGAGTTCGATTCCTCCGCCCCTCTTGGAGAGCCTTGCAAGCTACCGAGAGTATCTCGCCCGCTCGGCAGAGCCTGGCAAGCTCCCTGTGACGTATTGGATATGCCAAACACAGTAACAACAAAGTCTCCAATGGAGACATTACTGGGCCCGTTCGAGCAAATCGATGAACAACAGGAGGACAGTATACAGTATCTATTAGAATGGCTATTATAAAAAAGACCAAGAAACAAGTGTTGACATGAAACCCTGGTATACAACTAAGGGGAATGTAAACTGTTACAGTCACTGTGGAAAACTCAATGAAGAATCTTCAAAAGAATTAATATCAGGACCAAAGATCTAGTAAAGGTGTGAAGTTGCTTGCCTCACATGCAGCTTCCCCCTGTTCATCCCAAATACCACATATGGTTTCCTGAGCAACGCCGGAGAATAATCCCTGAGCCAGAGCGAGGATAAAGTCCTGAGCACAGCAAGGTGTTGACCCCAAACAAAAATGTATTCTAGATGAGATCAGAGAGAGTCTACAGGCTTAATATGCTTGTCTTGCACTCAGCCCTCCCTGGTTCAATCCCTGGAATCATATATGATGCCCCAAGCACCACCAGGAGTAATCCAACCCTGAGCACCACCGGGTGTTGACCCCCAAAATTATTCCAGGGGCCAGTAATGAGGCTTAGTAGTAGAGCACTTGTAAGTTTGAGGCCTTGGATTCAATCCCTGCCACTGCAAAGTTGCTAATTAAATAAATATAAATATATTCTTTAAAAATGCCCCCACACTCAGAAAAACAGATCATGGGCCATTGGTGTTTGCACATGCCTGTCTGCAGTATCTGAAGATAGCACATTCTGTGGTGTGCTAGGGTGAATATTGCAGTTCAACTGAGACACTCCACATGTGGGTGGCACTAGAATTCTAACTCACCCCCTCACACCTGTAAGGTGTTTTTGCCACTAAACTGTATCCTAGGTTTCTTTGTTCTGTTTTGAATTACCTGCAAGGAAAGCATAACAAGGCCTCCAATCTTGTGTGTTTTCAAAGGAGGATGATTTTTCTAGATCCTTTTGATAGTGATACACATTTTCAAATCATTGTCAAATTCCATGAAAAATGGTAGGGGGTACAGAGAGATAGTACAGCAGGTAAGGGATTGCATAGGGCTGATGCGGGTTTGATCTCTGCACCCTATGGTCCCCCAAGCCCACCAGAAATCATTGAGTACAGGTCCAGGAGTAAGCTTTAAGCACAGCTGGGTGTAGACCAAAATCAAAAAATAAAATAAAATATTAAACGTAGGGGGTGTGGATTTTGTTGGGGACTGCCTTAAATCTTTATGTTACTTGGGAAAGAGTCAACTCCCTTATAATCCACAATCATCCTATTTCAATGAGTTTATTGACTAGATACATTTGTTAATTTATTTTTATTTGGTTTTGAGGTTTTGTTTTTTGGGCCACACCGGGTGGTGGTTAGGGCTTGCTCCTGGCTCTGCACTCAGAGATCTCTCCTGACAGGGCTCAGGGGACCATATGGGGTTCTGGAGATTGAACCCATGTCCACCACATGCAAGGCAAGCACCCTACCCAGTGTACTATCTCTCCAGCCCAAGATCTTTTCATTTATTTAGGGCCTCTTGAATCACTTGATAAAATGTGATTTTCCCAAGGAAACATTACACATCTATGATGTGGGACCTATTCCTAAGCACTTCCAATTTCAAATACATGGAGAAAAATACCACTTTTCCTATTTTAGTTCCTGACTTTTGGTGTGGGTATGAATTTAGCACATTTTTTAAAAATCAATGGCTTGGGGGCCAAAGAGATAGTATAGAGGGTAAGGTGTGCCTTGCACACAGCTGACCTGGGTTTGAGCCCCAGCATATGCTCCCTGCCCCAACCCTGCCAGGAGTGATCTCTGAGCACAGTGCCAGGAGTAAGTCCTGGGCACCGCTGGCTGTGGCCCAAACCATCCCCCCCAAAAAACACAAAGAAATGTATCCCTTGCCATCCTGAAGCTGGCTTGGAACTCACAACAATACCTATGTGTTCTATTGACTATAAACAATTTCAGAATCACCAACATTAAAAAATGTCACTATGATTATGATGGATCAAGACCAAACTAAGAGTCGATCATAACCACTCCAGCAAGGAAGATACTTTCCTTCCACACATCTGAATTGGATTTAATCCCTGGTACTTCATATGCCATTCTTCTCTGACCCCTAGCCCTGCTAGGAATGATCCTTGGGTACAGAGCCAAGAGTAAGCTCTAAGCACTGCGAGGTATGGTCCAAACACAAACAAAAAATCAGGACCAGAGCAATAGTACAATGCGTAAGGCACTTTCACATAGCCAAACCAGGTTCAATTTCTAGCATCCTGCATGGTCCCCTATGCACTGCTAGAAGTGATTCCTGAGTGCAGAGCCAGGAATAACCCCTGAGTATTGCTGTTTGTGGTCCAAAAGAGAAAAAAAGAACAAAACAAAACAAAGCAAAGCAAAACAAAACATTGTCTTCTATTACTGAACTCTAGCCCACGAATTTCCATCTTTGCTCCAGATCATCTGTCATCCAAGCCTGCTTCCAGCCCCTCCCTATGACCTTAATTCCTCTAAAGCCTGGGGAAGAGAGGAGGCTGTGTGCAGATGGCTCTTCAACCTCCAAAGGAGGAAGTCATGTCGACGTCTGAAGGCGAAAAAGGTAAGAGTAACCATCCACCCCTGTAAACCCTTGGAGCAAGCCCAGACTCTGCTCTACCCTCAACTCCTCTGAGCCCTCCCCCTAGGATCCCCAGAACCCCACTCTCAGAGAGCCTTCAGGAGAACAGAATCACATCAAGCATCCCCAAACACAGCCTCCCTGCCACCTGGCTGGCCTGCAGGCTAACCGAGACACTGCTTCCTATGATCCCCAATCCCACCCCCAACCTGAGTCCCAAACTGCAACCCAGGCCCAATTCCACACAACTCCACGCACTCCTGCACCACTCCAACTCCACGCACGGTCAACCCCAACCCCAACCTTCATCCGAATGCAAACTCAGCCCCAGCTAGCACTAGCTGCAAAAGTCCAGATCCTGATGTAGATTCAGTGTTCCCTCAAATGGGCAATACTTCCCTATTCCCAAACCTGCCCCCCGAGGAGGCACTGGAGTGATGGCAGTGTAGAAGTAGCCTCAGTTGCAATGGGAGTTACTTTTAGTCTGTGCCCTTGTAGAGCCAGAGTGGCATAGCAGGTATGGCACTTGTTTTGAACGGGCCCACTGGGGGTTCAACCCCCAGCAGCCCCTAAGGTCTCTAGGAGGGGTTCTGAGTACAGAGCCAGGAGTAAGCCTTGAGCACCCTGGGGTGTACCTTGTAACAGTTAATCCCAGTTTGAATGCTCTCCCCTACTAAAAGGTAGATTTCCAGGGGGTTCCTCTGAGTCTTTTTTTCTGAAAATGGGGTGCTAAGCCAAACAAATTCTGATACAGACTTTACCATATGTTCTCGGCTCACTTCAGCTAAATTCCCAACCCCTGGATGGCAATTCTGTGATTGAGTGGCTCTCTGATTTTCAGGAAGCAGAGAAATTGGGGGAGAGAGAGGTAAAGAGGGAGATAAGGAAGGAGAGGAAGAAGAGGGGAAAAGGGGAAAGGGAGGGAGGGAGAGGGAAGGAGTGAGAGGAGGGAAAGGAAGAGGGAGGGAGAGAGAAAAAAGGAAGATGAAGACTGAGACAGAAGGCCGGAAGAGGGAGAAACAGGGAGAAAATGCTGGATGTTGGTAGGAAGGTGTGAGGTGTAGTCAGAGAATGCCTAGGTTTGGCTCTCACCTCATCACATCAGTTCACCTCTTCTTTGGCATTAATTTTCTCACCTCACAAAATGGAAAGATTGCATGCCAAATTTTCCTCTGAATGCTGAACTCTGAATCCTCAAAACAGATATACTGAGCATCCCAGCATTTTCCTAATTCGCTCATAGCTACCAAGCAGTAGAGTCAGAGCTTAAACTCAGAGAGCTTGTTTCGTCCTAAGCATCTTAACTAGGCCAACCTTCTCTGACCCTTGAGGGCTAAAATAAGGCCAAAGTTTCCACTCACTGGGAGTGGCTTTAATTGAAAACCCCAACTCAAAATTCAAATCCCACTCAAGTACAACTATAAACTCATTCTAAATTCTAACCCCAGTGTATCCAAATTCTTAATCTTAAACTCCCCAAATGATCTCACATACAACCCACTTCCACCAGTACTTAAATCCAAACCCAATCTACCATTTGAATTCAACCTTAAATTTGCCCAGAGCAATAAATCTGATTCTTCATTTTTTTCATTTCTTTGTGTCTGAGGGTGAGGGTGGGGTGGGGAGCACAACTGGTGGTGCTCAGGCTTTATTCCTGACTCTTGAGCTCAGGGATCATTCCTCATGGGGTTTGGGGGAACATATGAGGTGCCGGGGATCAAACTGCCACATGCAAGGCTGTACTATCCCTCCAGCCTGATTCCCCATTATATGTATCCTTTCCCAGTTTATTCCACTCTACCCTTCCCTTTTTGGCTGGTGTGTGGAGACACTACAATATACATTCTTGAATGTAGTGCACAATGAGTTTGCACTTTACAAAAAAAGGGAGGGCAATGGTTTGGGGACCACACCTGACAGTGTTCCAGGGCTACTCTTGGTTCTGTGCTCCTCTTGGCTCCAGTGGTACTTGAGGATCCATGTGATGCTGGGACTCACACCCAGGACTCCATCATGGAGAGCATGCATTGCAGCCCCATGAGCTGCCTCTCTGCTCAGGGTCACATCCTTAGGAGGGGTGTTCATACCTTTTCTGCTTATAGTGCTATATGGGGTACTTGGAGAGAGAAAGCCCTTCAGGCCCACACCCTAAGGAGTATATGGACAGGGTTGCTAAAAGAATTTACCCTTGGACTGGAGATATAGTACAGAGTGTAAGGTCCTTGTCTTGCATACAGCCAATTGGGCTATGACTCCCTGAGCACCACCAGGAGCTCCAGAGCACAGAGCCAGAAGTAACCCCTGAACATTGCCAGGTGTGGCCCTTGCTCCCCCCAAAAAATTTACCCTTAGGCCACAGATATAATACAGAGGTTCTGGTGCTTGCCTTGAATTCCACAAACTCCAGTTCTATCCTTGACACCCAATGGAGTCCCTGAGCCCTGCAGGAGTGATCCCTGAGCACAGAGCCATGAGTAAGCACTGAACACAGCCAGGGGTGGCTTAAAAATTTAAAGTAATACAATAATGAAAAGGGATATACATGATAACCTTTCAATACCTGTATTGCAAACCTGTATTGCATTAGCCCAAAAAAGGAGAGAGAGAGAGAAAGAGAAAGAGAGAGAGAGAGAGAGAGAGAGAGAGAGAGAGAGAGAGAGGAAAAGTGCTTGCCGTAGAAACAGGCTGAAGGGGGGGTGGCAGGAGGGAAACTGGGGACATTGGACATTGGTGCGGGGGAAATGTATATTGGTGAAGGGAGGGGGGTTGCAACAATGTATGACTGAAACCCAATCATGAACAACTTTGTAATTATGTATCTCACAGTGAATTAATTTTAAAAAAGAATTTACCCTTGAGTTAATTTAAAAAAAAGAATTTACCCTTTAGTCAGATGTTTAGGTGAGAGAAAAAAATATTAAAGCTTACACTGATCAGAGAAGGACACCGCTGAGAGATTCCAAAGAGGGAATCTCAGTAGCATTCACGAATCTAACCCCAGAGACACCCCACGCCAGATTTCTTGGGTTGGAACCATACCAGGAGGTGCTCAGGGTTTGCTCCTGGACAGGGGTCGTGGGACCCTATGGGGCACCGGGGACTGAACCAAGGTAACCCACGTGCAAGGCAAATACCTTAGCCTCTATAATACCTTTTCACCCCATGCCATTTTATATTAAAATTTTTTTGGCTTTTTTTTGGGTCACAACCAGCGATGCTCAGGTGTTACTCCTGGCTCTGCACTCAGGAATTACTCCTGGTGGTGCTTGAGGGACCATATGGAATGCTGGGGATCAAACCTGGGTCGACTGCGTGCAGGGCAAACTTCCTACCCACTGTACTATTGCTCCGCCCTCCACTTTTTTTGCCCCATACCATTTTTTAAACTTTATTTCAATCAATTTTTAAACTTTATTCAATCTTTGATTTAGAACACTGTTAATGGTGGTTCCCCATATATAATTCCAACACCACAACCCTCACTGGTGTACCCACCTCCCTTCCCCAAGGCCCTTTTCAATCTACCCCACCTCCAACTCAGTCCTGTGGATTAATTCTCCCAGTATGTTGTCTTTGGACTTCTGTTGCCACCTTAAGGTATATTTTTAAGTTCCACACTTCTGTATTGATCCCTTTCCTTCTGACTAACTTCACTCTATCTATGTCATGAGAAATGGAATGATTTGGCACTTTTTGAGAGCTACATAGTATTCCATTGTGTATACATACATCACAACCTTTTAAAAAATTTATTTTATTTTAGGCATTTACAATACTATTAGGAGCTAGAGCGATAGCACAGTGGGTAGGGCGTTTGCCATGCATGCAACCGACCTGGGTTAAATTCCCAGCATCCCATATGGTCCCCTGAGCACCACCAGGAGTAATTCCTGAGTGCAGAGCCAGAAGTGACCCCTGTGCATCGCTGGGTGTGACTCATAAAGCAAAAACATACAATACTATTAATAACAGGGTTCCTTGCATAAATTATTCCATCACCATTCCTTCTACCATATGTTCATTCCTTTCTACCACGTCCCAGTGTTAACCAACCCCCCCACACACACACACAAAAATACCTATTTTCCCAATCTTAATTCTTTTGGCTTTTTGTTTGTTTGTTTAGTGGGAGAACACACTCAGCAGTGCTCAGGGGTTATTCCTGGCTCTGCACTCAGGAATTACTCCTAGCCATGCTCAGGAGACCATGAGATACTGGGATTGAACCTGGGTCAGTCAAGTGTAAGGCAAGAACCCTACCTGCTGTATTATCTCTCAAGCCCTCCTAAACTTAATTCTAATGCCAAATCTCACCCATCCTTAACTCAGATATCTCCAGTTTTTCCTAATTTTGCACACTGCCCCCCTTTATTTCAGAGGGATGAGGTCAGGTAGGAGACAGTCATGATGGTCGCAATAGCCTATCCTCCCTGGCTTGATTTCCCAACACAGGTTTCCCCATAGAGATGCCACCTATTCCAGCCCCTGGTCCTGAATGGGGTCTGAATCTGGGGCCTCCAACATCAGAGACTGAAAATGGTGGCGCATCGGACCCAGGGACCCGTAGGCGAAGGACTCAGCACAAGACCGTGACAGTGACCAGCACTCAGAGGTCACCTCGAGCTCTCTTCTGCCTGACCCTGGCCAACCCCCTGCGTCAGTCATGCATCAGCATTGTGGAGTGGAAGCATCCTGGAAGGTCTGGGTTATTGTTTGGGAATTGAGGGCCATCAAGGAACCAAGAATCAAGGATTGAGTCAGGGTTGGAATAGAGAAGGCCTGAGGTCACCAGGGATCAGGACTAAGGGTTAAGAATTGGGTTAGGGGCTGGAAAGCTAGTACAGCGGGCAAGAGCTTTGCCTTTCACGCAGCCATCCCAGGTTAAACCCCTGGCATCCCATATGGTCTCCTGAGCTGGACCAGAAGTGATCCCTGAGCTCAGAGCCAGGAGTAAGCCCTGAGAATCTCTGGGTATGGCCCCCAAACAACAAGAACAAAAGAGTTGGATTAGAGAGGAAGTTGAGAGTGGGAAGGGTAGCACAGTGGGTAAGGTACTTGCCTTCTAAGTGACTGACCCTGCGTCAATCCCAGAATGCCAGAATCCTCCCAAGCCCCACCAGGAGTGATCCCTGAGCACAGATCCACGAGTAAGCCCTGAGCACCTCTGAGTGTGACCCAAACACCAAAGGGGAAGTGAAAGAAAGTTGAGAAGGATGGTCATCAAGAGGTCAAAAGTAAATAATAGCAAGAGTGAGGATGGCCAGGAGGTGGTCAGAGCAGGAGTTGGTAATGCCAGGGTGAGTGACCTCCATCCAATGGTCAACATTGGGTGGGAAGGGCCCCAAGGTGATATGGGAGTTTTGAGGTTGGTCTGCCTTCATCCTTGACTGTGCCCACCTGAGGCCATTTGACATCCTCATCCTACTGACCATCTTTGCCAACTGTGTGGCCCTGGGTGTCTACATCCCCTTCCCAGAGGACGACTCCAACACTGCCAACCACAACCTGGTAAGGTTTGCCCAGGGTTAACAGCCCTCAGACCTAGTCACGCTACACCTCAAGTCTTCCAGCCAACCGCCCCCCCATGTCTCTTGGGTCCAATCCACCCTCCCCTGCACCATGTGCCTCTAGGTCCCAATTCTACCTCCCCGCAGCCCCTGCCCCCCTTAAATTTCACCTCCAGATGACTCCCTGCTCTGCTGCCCTGTCGCTCAGGAGCAGGTGGAATATGTATTCCTGGTGATTTTCACAGTGGAGACGGTACTCAAAATCGTGGCCTACGGGTTAGTGCTCCATCCCAGCGCCTACATCCGCAACGGCTGGAACCTACTTGACTTCATCATCGTAGTGGTCGGGTGCGTGTCTGGGAGGGATACCCCACCCTAATTCCATTTCATCCCACCCTAATACAGCTCTCCCCACCCCCCACAGCCCACTGAATTTGGGGCTCAGAGAAGTGACTATTGAAGACTCTACCCCCACCCACTTTTCTCTCTCCACCCCGTTTGGCAGCCAAGATTAGGAGTAGTAACATTTTTAATAATATACATAATTTATAAACTATATAATATTTCTAATATATGACATTTCAAACTTTCATGGAATATTCGCAAAAAGGAATCTCATTAAAGAAAATTTTGTTGAAATTGCAACAACAACAATAAAATAGTATTGTCTTTTATTTTTTTAGATTTTTATTAGTGAAACACCATGAGGTACACTTGTAGATTTACAAATTTTTGTGCTTGGGTTTCAGTTATACAGTGATCGAATACCCATCCCTCCACCAGTGCCCATTCTCCACCACCACTGGTCCCAGTATCCTTCCCCCCCACCCCGTCCCCCCCATCCCACCCTGCCTCTGTGGCAGGGCATTCCCCTTTAGGAGCAGTAACATTTTTAAGCTTGTCTGCTTTCCCGATGCGAGTGCCTCTTGCTTTTCCGAGGAGAAAGGTAAAGTGTGTGTGGGGGGGGCGGGGGTGGAAGTGTCTGAAGGTCTTATCCCCGCCTCTTTGCTTGTGCTCGCCCAATCAGGCTATTCAGCGTGCTCCTGGAACAGGGTCCCGGACGGCCGGGTGACACCCCTCATACTGGGGGAAAGCCAGGGGGCTTCGATGTGAAGGCATTGCGGGCATTTCGGGTGCTGAGACCACTGAGGCTGGTATCTGGGGTCCCAAGTGAGTGGCCCGTCCCCCGGGGTTGGGGGAGGGGAGTGCAGGGAAAGAGTCTGGGTTGATCCCATCCCTCCCTGGCCGGCTTCTCGCTCCCCTCAGGTCTGCACATAGTCCTCAATTCCATCATGAAGGCGCTGGTGCCGCTGCTGCACATCGCCCTGCTTGTGCTCTTCGTCATTATCATTTACGCCATCATCGGACTCGAGCTTTTCCTGGGACGCATGCACAAGACGTGCTACTTCTTGGGATCGGGTTAGATAGCCCACCCATCTCGGAACAGAAAAGGCTGCTTAGGTTCCTAGGGTCCAGATCCGGGGCTCGCTGAAACCCAGGATAATTCACGAGACCCAGCCTCCAGGCTCAAACTCCACCCTCCGGAAAAAGCAGTTCCCTATTCAAGATCTTGCCTGCTCCCCCGGCACTGCCAGGAGCGACCCTAGAGCACAGTGTGCCTAATCCCCCCAAAATAGATTGGAGTAAGAGAGATATTACAGCGGGTTGTTCAATGCCCGGCACCCCATAGGGTCCCCTGGTCCCCCCAGGCTTGCGCGCCTGCGACAGAGAGAGAGACAGAGACAGAGAGAGACAGAGAGAGAGCGAGCTCGTGATCTCAATCCCTACCAACAGCTCTGCCGCAACACCAGACTCCACCCACAGGTCAATATCCTGCGGGTCATTCTGGACTAGATCCTTCATCCAGCCTCCTCCCCAACAAGCCCCCACCCTCTTGCCAGAGACCACCCACATCCACAACACTCCACCGGACTCCTCCCTGTCTGTGACTGACAGGATACCTCCCCAAACTTTGCAGCCACTCTCCCCAAATGCCCTAGGATCAAAAATCTTACCCCATCTTCCTCTGGGAGATGGCTCAAAGGGCTGGAGCAAGGGTGTTTTACAGGGAGCTCTGGAATCAGGTTCCACACCATATGGTCCCCTGTGCACCACTTAAAGTGCCCCACATCCCAACACCATGATGTGTGACTCAGAAACAAACAAAACTCCCAAACAAACAAGAAGGGCCTGGGGTCAAGTGATGATAATACAGCAGGTAGGACACTTGACTTGCACATAGCCCGCAGGGGTTCGATCCTCAGCATCCCATATGGGTCCCCCTAGCACTGCCACTAGTGATCCCTGAGTGCAGAGCCAGGAGTAAGCTCTGGGCACTGCCAGGTGTGACCCCCAAAACCAAAACAACAACAGTAAAAAGGATCAGAGAGAAAGTAAAGCAGTAAAACATTGGTCTTGCAGGCAGCTGACCCAGGTTCAATTCTCATATAATCCCCAAAGTCCACCAGGAGTGATCCAGAGCCAGGAGTAAGTCCTGAGAAACACAGGGTATGGCTCCCAAACAAAATCAAACCAAAAAAGTAAATTCCTGACTGGACCTTCCCAGATGGGCTCTGGTGTGGCAGGGACTGTGGATGAGTTGCTTCGGAGTCCACAGCTCCTGTCTCCCAGCAGATGTGGAAGCAGAGGAGGACCCATCACCCTGCACATCTCTGGGCTCTGGGCGCATGTGCAAACTCAACCAGACTGAGTGTCGTGGGCGCTGGGCAGGGCCCAATGGAGGCATCACCAACTTCGACAACTTCTTCTTTGCCATGCTGACAGTCTTCCAGTGTGTCACCATGGAGGGTTGGACAGATGTGCTTTATTGGGTGAGGTGATCCGCTGGCTGAGGGGGTTCACAGCTTTCCCCCTCTGACCCTGAGTGTCGGGGAAGTGACTGCATACCCTGAGGACACCTGCTTTCTCTCTTCCTAGATGCAAGATGCCATGGGGTATGAGCTACCTTGGTTGTACTTCGTGAGCCTGGTCATCTTTGGGTCCTTCTTTGTCCTCAACCTGGTCCTTGGTGTCCTGAGTGGGTGAGAAGTGTAACCAGCACTCCTTTTATCTATCTCTCAGCTCCTTTCTACATCCCAGACATCCTTCAAACTTCATTTGAAATACCTCTGCAATTCCCACCTTTGCACATTGAACATTTACTGTGGACAAGGCACTGTCTTAGGAAAGAAATCACATGGGACCAGAGTGATAGTACAGTGGGAAGGCCATTTGCCTTGCACATGGCCAACCCAGGTTCAATCCCCAGCATCCCACATGGTTCCCTGAGCACTGCCAGGAGTTAAGTCCTGAGTGCAGAGCCAGGAGTAACCACTGAGCATCGCCAGGTGTGACACAAAAAGCCAAAAAAAAAAAAAACCAGGTATGGAATTGGAATTACAGATCAACATTTCTACTTTCTTTTTCTTGGCGCGGGAGGGGGGGGATTGGGTATTGGGCCACACCTGGCATTCTCAGGGCTTACTCCAGGCTCTGTGCTCAGGGATTACTCCTGGCAGTACTCAGGGGACATACTGGGTGCTGGGGATACAACCTGGATTCACCGCATGCAAGGCAAGCATCCTACCTGCTGTGCTCTTACTCCGGCCCCCAAAGTCCTATGTGTTACATTCTGGTGGAGAGGTGCTGGGTGCAGGAGTCTTGGAGATGGCAGTCCAGCGCCTCACACAGGCACATGCCTCATTTTTCAAAAACAATCACAGAAGGTTACTTCTATGTCTGTGCCTAGAGAGGTCTTTCACTGCAGGGGTGCCCAGCCTGGCCTTGGCTATAAGTGGACACTGCATGTCCACCCAGGCAGATCACTCCTAATCTCCCTTAATCCAAGCAGACATTTTTAAAATTTTTTTATTAGGGAAACACCATGAGGTACAGTTATAGACTTACAAATTTTTGTGCTTGGGGTTCAGTTATACAATGATCAAGTACCCATCCCTCCACCAGAGCCCATCCTCCACCACCACAGGTACCAGCATCCCTCCCACCCCCATACCCCCCATCCCACCCTGCCTCTGTGGCAGGGCATTCCCCCCTGTTCTCTCTCTCTTCTTTTGGGTCCTGTGTTCTGCAAGAGAGGCATTGAGTGGCAATCATGTTTGGTCTATAGTCTACTTTCAGCATGCTTCTCCCACCCTGGGAGGATCCTCACAACACCCTTTATTTGCCAAGCAGACATTTTTAAGAATCCTGGCCCGATGCTTTAAAACAGCAGCACAGGCTCAGAGCGCTGAGGGCAGGGCTATGCAAATGAAAAAAATAGAAATAACAATAGCATAAATGTGTGTGTACATCTGCATGCACACATACATAAGATTTTATACTTTGAGGTAATTTGGGTGGATACATCTGGTGGTGCTTGGGGGTCTCTCCTAGCAGTGTTTGTATGAATGTTCAGTGCTAAGAGATCAAACCTAGGCCTCCAGCATCCAAGGCCTGCACTCAACTCATTGGGCTATCTCTCCAATTTATATGTGGGATTGTTTTCTATGGAATCTATGTGAATGAAAGAAAGGAAAGCTAAAGATAGGAATGAGGAAATCTTGCAATTATAAATAGGAACAGCCAGGACAGGCCTCCTGGAGAAGGTGTTATGAGTAAAAATGGGAAAGAGATAAGGGAGCAGCCGCCAGGTAGTATGAGAGGAACGGGTGTTCCAAATAAAGGGACCAGGCAGTGGTCTAAAGTTAGTATGTGCTTCAGACCACAGCTAGGGGTCTAGGGAGTCCCTCACCTTGTCTCTGTCCTCTTCTCTCTCAGGGAGTTTTCCAAGGAGAGAGAGAAGGCAAAAGCACGTGGGGACTTCCAGAAGCTTCGGGAGAAGCAGCAGTTGGAGGAGGACCTCAGGGGTTACCTGGATTGGCTCATGCAGGCTGAGGAGCTGGATGCCGAGGATCCCTCAGCTGATGGCCACTTGAGTTCTACGGCTGAAGAGGGCCGAGCTGGTCACCGTAGGCACCCCTAGCTGACCCATTCCCTGCTCTCTGTATGCCTGCTACCCATGTAGGCTCCTCTTCTGATACCCGGCTCTGATCTATCTCAACTCTAGACTTAACCACTATAATGGGACCTAAAACAGAGAAACCCAACCAGATCCTTGTCTCTTTCTCAAGCTGTAACCAGAACCAAGCCAGAACCAAGACTCCAGATCCCCGCCCCCACCTACACACACACACACACACACACACACACACACACACACACACACTTTTACACATGCAGAGCCCTAACCCAGTTTCCCACTGTCTCCTCTCCTTCTCAGGGCCATGGCTGGCAGACCTGACTGGTAAGAGACGTGGTCATTTGCGCTGGTTTAGCTATTCCACCCGCTCCACACACTCCACGAGCAGCCAGGGTAGGTGGCCAGTTGGGCCAGGGTTGGGATGATCCCACAGTAAAGAAAGCCAAAGGCAGAACTCTTTATGGGTCCTCTTAGCCTGACTACTGTTCCCATCCTGCCTACAGCCAGTGATGTTGCTTCCATGGCGGAGATCCCAGGGGATGAGGAAGATGAAGAGGGGGCTCTCTCCAACTGTACACGCTGCCTGTAAGGGAACCCAGGCAGCCTAAACCTCTGATCCAGTTCAGAAGCTAGTCCAGACCATGACTTTAGTCGTGACTTGAGCCTCATCTCCAAACCCCAAATGTCCCAACCTCCCAACATAAACCTCCCAACCCAGCTTCCCCCATACCTCTCAGCCCTGTATGACACCCACTTTCTATTACCATCTTTTCCAGAAACAAGATTATGAAAACCAGAGTCTGGTAAGCTGGGAATGCTGTGGGACTCCTGGTCCCCATGATTCAAGTCCCACCTCTGAGCCCACCAGCAACAACTTAGGTGATCTCAGCTGATGATGACCCACTTTTTCCCACAGCCGCCATCTCCACCGAGCCAACCGAGGCCTTCGTCTGCGCTGCCGACGGGCTGTAAAGTCCAGTGCTTGCTACTGGGCCGTGCTGCTACTCGTTTTCCTCAACACGCTGACCATTGCCTCTGAGCATCATGGGCAGCCCAGGTGGCTCACCCAGATCCAGGGTGCGGCGCCCAGCCTACCAGCCCGCTCCCTCAACTCCCAATTCCCTCCCATAAGGAACTCAACCCCGGGATCTCTACAGTGTCCTTGACAGAGTTTATGAGAATTTCCGCCCCCCACTACTTGCCACCCCTTTTCTTTTTCTTTCTTGCGAGGGGTCACACCTGGCAGTGGTCAGGGCTTGTTCCTGGCTCTGTGCTCAGGGATCACTCCTGGCGGGCATTGGGGGACCCTATGCAGGGCCAGGGATCAAAGCCAGATTGCAAGCAAGGTAAGTCCCTGTGGTATAGATCTCCAACCCCACCACACCTTTTTAACTTGAAAAATACAACCCTACTGTAAGAACTGTTTACAGATTCATTATGTGGTTTGCTTTATTATTATTTTATTAATTATTATTTTATATATGTCTCAAAATGGAGACGTTACTGGGCCTGCTTGAGCAAATCGATGAACAATGGAAGGACAGTGACAGTGACAGATTATTTTTATAAGATTACCATTTTGTTTTGGGGCCACATCCAGAGGTGCTCAGAGCTTACTCCTAGCTCTGAACCCAGAGATCACCCCTGCCTGGGCTTGAGGGATCATATAGGGTGTTGGGGATCAAATTCAGTTTGGTTACATACAAGGCAAATGTCCTACCTGCTGTACTATCTCTATGGCTCCTACACAGTTGATTTTAAATGAATTGTTGGTCACTGCACATCAGAAGCCTTTCTTTGCCAAAACTTTCAGGAGTCCCACATTCAGTTACCCCTCTTTGGGGTCACAACCCACAGTTTAAGAAAGGTCCCCTAAACACTTGCTTCCAGCTCAAATGAATTGAGAGGTCTTTGCCCTTTACATCCTGCCTCAGAGCTACACAGTGTAGCACCTGTTGTATTTTCAGCACTTTATAAGTACTAATTCAGGGATCGAAGCAACAGTACAGTGGGTAGGGCACTTGCCTTGCACTCAGTTGACCTGGGTTCAGTTCCCTGCATCTCAGTGGTTCTCCGGGCACCTCCAGGAGGAATTCCTGAGTGCAGAGCCAGAAATAATCCCTGGGCATATCCAAGTGTCACCCAAAACCAAAAATAAGTACTAATTCAACTTTTTTTTCACCACAAGCAAACATAAATTAAGTACCAACAAAGGCACAAAGTACTAAGCACAAAGTGCTAAGTGATAATGTCAGAGAAATAGCTGGGTTGGCTGGCTAGAGTGCATAACTGTCTGTGGCAGGCCTGGGTCAAATTCCTGACACAATATGATACCCCAAGTACTGCCAGGAATGACCCTGATAGTAGCTCCCAAACACTGTAGGATGTGACACACACACACACACACACACACACACATACACACACACAAGAATAACTACTTCCCAGATTCAACTAGTGCCTAGCAAATGGGCTCCAGAGTTCAGGTTCTTTTGGAGTGTACATGGGGCCAAAGGGACTCCCAAGCAGTGCTCAGGAGGCCTAGGGGCCCCACCATTGATTATATATATATATAGATATATAGATTGATTTATGGGTCACACCCAGAAATGCACAGGTGTTACTCCTAGCTCTGCACTCAGGAATTACTCCTGGTGGTGCTCATATGGGATGCTGGGAATCGAACCCAGATTGGCCGTATGCAAGGCAAACGCCCTACCCGCTGTGCTATCGCTCCAGCCCCTGATTATATATTTTTAAAGAACATGTTATTTTATTTCTTATTTTTGTCTTTGGACCATGCCCAGCAGTACTCAGAAGTTACTCCTGGGCTCTGCACTTAGGAGTCACTCCTAGTGGACTCGGGATCATATGGGATGCCAGAGATTGAACCCAAGACAGACAGATGAGTGCAAGAAAAGTATCCTACCCACTGTACTCTCTTCAGCCTTCCACTTAGTCTTGACCAAATAATCTGACTGTTCAGTGCAAGGACCAGATTACAGTGCTGCTTGGGCCCTGCAGTGCTGGGAATTATCTAGGCCACCACCCTGCCTGCACCCTACCCACTGTACAATGTCAGCCTAGGGGTCCATGTTCTCAACACAGCATTTCTGGAACAAGTTAAACCCATGACTCACTCGCCTGCTGTACCCAATGAGGCATAATAACAGTATCCATTACAAGGGGGTAAGGAGGATTCAATGAGTTTAAGTGAAAACTGCTTAGAAAAGTATCTGGTTTACAAAGTTAGCTAATCCTTACTGTTCATTTTAACTTCCCCTCCAACACTAATAACTGAAAACATTTCTCACTGCAATCCTCAAACCAGCTCTACTTCCAACAAATCGTAGACTTGAACACTCCTTGATTGGGAGTTTGGAAGTTTTTCTATACTTAAAGAGACTGAGGGTTAAAAGCCATAGTATGGTCTGTAGGGCACTTGCTTTGCACATTGAAGGTCCAGATTCAATCACTGGCACCCCATATGGCACCCATGAACCTTCTAGGAGTAAGCACTACCAGATGTGGCCCCAAGACAAAACAAAGTGACTGACTGGGGCAACCCACCCCAGAGATAGTACAGTGGGAAGGGTGATTGCCTTGCATGCAGCCTACCTGGGTATGATTCCCAGAACCCCATAGGGTCCCCTAAGTTTTCCAGAAATGATCCCTGAACACAAGACCAGGAGTATGCCCTGAGCACAGCCAGGTGTGTCCCCCAAACAAACAAAAAACCTTGTCCACTCTGACCTACCAACTCACTTTCACCCTTAACCCTAACCCAATATTTTGCCTGAGCCTGTTTTGCTATTTATCCCAGCATCTCCCCATGGCCCGAAGCTCCCCACATAGCTCCATGAAAGCTGGCCAGCCTAGTTTACCCTCCTTCTCTCTCCACAGAGTATGCCAACAAAGTGTTGCTCTGTCTGTTCACGGTGGAAATGCTTCTCAAGTTGTACAGTCTGGGCCCCTCTACCTATGCCTCCTCCTTCTTCAACCGCTTTGACTGCTTTGTGGTCTGTGGGGGCATTCTAGAAACCACGTTGGTGGAAGTGGGTGCCATGCAGCCCCTGGGCATCTCTGTGCTTCGATGTGTGCGCCTCCTCAGGATCTTTAAGGTCACCAGGTGTGTGTGTGTGTGTGTGTGTGTGTGTGTGTGTGTGTCTGTGGTGATGAGTGAGGCCCCAAACATAGCTCCCACCCCAGCTCTAATGAGAATTCTGTTTCAGCCACTGGTCATTTAGTGCATTCAGAACCCCTTCCTGGCCCTGGAGAATCCCCAGGAATCAGGGAAAACCAAGTGTTTCCTTCCCTAGAGATCTGAATCCTTTGCAACAGGTTTCTGCTACCTCCCCATCCCCTTCCTGCACCTCACAACTTTCTGATCTCAATTTCAACATAACACTCACCCCCAGCCCCAATACCATCCTCAATGTGCAACCATAATAGTATCTCTAACTCCACCCCCAAACCACAAATTTCTTCCAAGCTCATTGACAGTCCAAACACATAATCCCAAATCCATCTACAATCTCATCTTTCCCTACCACTAACCACAACCCCTGTGACTCCCATTCTTGATTTGATGTACACCAGCCTTTCTCCACCCTCAGCACTGTTCCAAGCCCCAATCTCATCCCCACCCTCTCCTCTTTCCTTCCCCTCAAACCACAATTTTATCCCAACTCAGTCCTTATCGCAAATCCTTAACCCTGATCCCTGATCCCAGATGAAACCTAGTTCTAACTTCACGATCTTCTGTTTAATCCTCCATTACATTCCTAACACCAAGCCTACCCCCAAATTCAATAGTATCCTTACCTTTTATTTTCACCCCAAAATCTGAAACCAATGGTCCCTTTAACCCAGCCCACGCCCTCTTGCACCTCTAGACAGCACCCTGCCCCAGCTTCTGACTCCAGGCTAGCCTGCCAATCCTCCCTCTCAATCTCTGCTGCAGGCACTGGGCCTCTCTGAGCAATTTGGTGGCGTCCCTGCTCAATTCAATGAAATCCATCGCATCCTTATTGCTGCTCCTCTTCCTCTTTATCATCATCTTCTCCCTGCTGGGCATGCAGCTGTTTGGGGGAAAGTTCAACTTTGACCAGACCCATACCAAGCGAAGTACCTTTGATACATTCCCCCAGGCCCTCCTCACTGTGTTTCAGGTGAGGCCTAGAGACCCAAGAATGGGTAGGTTCATGGTGGGGACTATGTTGGAAGAAGGGTCCCTGGAGCCCCACTATGATCTTCCACCTTCAGATCCTAACAGGAGAGGACTGGAATGTGGTCATGTATGATGGTATCATGGCCTATGGGGGCCCCTTCTTCCCAGGAATGCTGGTGTGCATCTATTTCATCATCCTCTTCATCTGTGGCAACTGTATCCTTGGAGACTTGGGAGACCAAATAGGGATGCAGGGGCTTGGGGAGGGGCCCATAGGGGAACCTGGGTGACTTATGGGCAGGCTCTTCTCCATCCTTTGCAGTCTGAGCTTACCCCAGACATCCTGTTGAATGTATTTCTGGCCATTGCTGTGGACAATCTGGCGAGCGGAGATGCAAGCACTGCCAAGGACAAGGGCAGGTGAGTTCTGGCTCTACCCCCAAGACAGTTGTTCTCAGGATCTCTAAATGGAAATTTCCCTCAACACATCTCACATCACCAGAGATGCCTTAGTCACCCTGGTTAGCTTGGTCTCCAGGGCCAATCTGCCAGTCCGCATTCATTCACCATACATTTGTTGATAGACTTGGGACAAATTCTGAGAAGCCAGTAGGGGTCAAGGTAGGCTGAGAATAGTTGTCTTCTAGGGATGACATTCTAATTGAGGAGGGCAGGAAAAATACCAACATATGTATAGATAACAATACAATTTAATTTAACATTTTGGGGGTTAATTTGGGGGCCATGAATGGCAGTACTCAGAGTTTATTTCTGACTCTACACTGAGGGATCAGTCCTGGCAGAACTTGGAGAACCCTATAGTGTGCTAGGATTGAATCCATGTTGTGTACATACAAGACAAACCTGCTGTACTATATCTCAAGCCCTGAGTCATACAGATTTCTCAGGGAAGAGCATTCCAGCAAGAGTACAGCAAATAAAAAGGTCCTGAGATGATAATATTCTTTGCACATAGAAAAATGTCATAGAGAGATAAGATAGTACAGTGTGTATGGCACTTGCCTAGCACACAGCTGACCTGGGTTTTATCTATGGCATCCCATATGGTCCCCTTAGCACCACCAGGAATAATTCCTGAGTTCAGAGCCAGAAATAACCCATGAGCGTTGCCAGGTGTGGCCCCAAAACAAACAAAAATAATATTTGGGATGATAAATATCATCGAGGGCCAGGAAGATGGGTCAAAGAGCTAGCATACATGCTTTACATGCAGGAGGCCTAGATTGGCTCCCCTTCACTCCATTATCTCCCAAGCACTGCCAGGAGTGACCCCTGAGGTACCTCTGAACACAGTCGGGTGTCACTGTCACTGTCACTGTCCTCCCGTTGTTCATCAATTTGCTCGAGCGTGCCCAGTAACATCTCCATTGTGAGACTTGTTGTTACTGTGTTTGGCATATCGAATACATCACGGGTAGCTTGCCAGGCTTTGCCGTGCGGGCGAGATACTCTCAGTAGCTTGCCGGGCTCTCCGAGAGGGGCGGAGGAATCGAACTCGGGTCGGCCATGTTGGCCGCTTGCAAGGCAAACGCCCTACCTGCTGTGCTATCGCTCCAGCCCACTGTCGGGTGTAACCCAAACAAAAACAAAAACAAACTGAAACACTTAGTGGACAGCATGGAATGGACTGAGCAAAGAGGAGAGTGATATAGAAGAAAAGGTCATGGGGGGAATAGGGAGGTCAGATGAAGAGCATAGGGGATCACAGATGAAGAGAATAGGGGTCAGAGATAGCCCAAAAGGTTTGAGCAAAGGCTTTGCTCCCAGGAGGCCCAGGTCCAATCCTTAGTATCATATAGTCCCCCAAGAACACCTGGGAAGGACCTTTGAGCACTGAGCCAGGAGTAGGTCCTATACATCACTGGCTGTGGCCCCGAAATAAAAGAAAATAAAATGGCCTTCAGATAAAAGGCATTGTGGCACATGCCAACACTAGGTTTGCAGTTTGGTTTGGGTTTTGACTTTTGTGCCATACTTGATGATGCTCAGAGCTTTCTCCTGGTTCTCTGCTTAGGGATCACTCCTGGTGGGGTTCAGGGGACCCTATGCAGTGCTGGGTTTCAAAGTGAGGCTGGCCGTATGCAAGGCAAATGTCTTACCCACTGCACTATCTCTCTAACAAGGTTGTTTTGCCCTAAATTATGGGAGCTATGGTAGGTTGTGAGCAAAAGAGGATTTGACAGGACCTCCATGGCTTCTCTGAGGGCAGACTGTGAGGATGAGGGCAGAAGTAGGGAACTCCCAGGGGGCCTAGGGAAAATCTGTTCCTAGGCAGTGGCCACCCCCCACCAGCCTTGCCCATCTGCTATGACCTTTAGCAAGTAGCCCCATATCCTCCCAGGGAGAAGAACAGCGATGGGAGACTCCCACAGGAGCACGGCGGGTTGGTGAGTTAGAAGTCTGAGCATTCACTGTCCCACATCCTTTCTTCCGTACAAGATCTGTGTGTGTATGTGTGTGTGTTTGAACGTGTGCTTTTTCTTTTGGAAAGCTGTGTGCTTTGCATCACCCACACCTGGTGATGCTCAGGACTTTTTCCTAGCTCTGTGTTCAGGGATCACTACTGATAGGTCTCAGGAGACCCTATGTACTGGGGATTGAACCCAGGTCGGTTGTGTGCAAGACAAGTGCCTTACCCACTGTACTCTCTCTCCAGTCCATGCATGTATCTTTAATTCCTGTCCCAGTGATTTTAATGTTGAGTCATTCCACATAACTGTGTCCATCCCATGCTGATCAAGTGTACAGTCTCTTTTGTCTCACCCTGCCATCAGTGAACCCCATCTTTCTGCCTCCAGATACCTAATGGGAAGAATGAGGAAGAGGAGAAAGCCACAAATGAAGGAGCAGGCAAGTGGTCAGGGTCCAGTGGAGGTGGGATGAAACTTTAGGGACAGCTCTCTTAGGAAGAGCCCTGAAGCTGGGTCCCTGGAGAGCAGCCTTTTCCAAGATCAACTTGAAAAGAATGGCGTTGATTATAGATGAATGGTTACCAAAATTGTGATGTAGCCGACCTGGATTCGATCCCCAACATCCCTCAGGAGTGATTTCTGAGCACAGAATGAAGAGTGACCTCTGACCTTTGTCAGGTGTGGCCCAAAAACAAAATAAACAAATAAAAAAGAGAAGAAAAGAATGGGTTTGGCATGTGGCTGTGGCATTGGGCCGCTGAGAGCAAAGATGAGAAACAGAGGACTGTTTGTCTGCAGAACATCCCTGAATCTTTGTTCCCAGGTGGTATGTTTGTGACTGTAAGTGTAGCAGCACTGGTGCCACACCTTTCCCAATCTACTCCTATGGCCTCCAAAAGCTCCAAGGGTCAGGGGCACCACAGTGAACCCACAGACTCCCAGGCTTTCTCTGAGCATCTGCCACTCCAGCTGGGAGGTGCGAAAACTCTACCAGACCAAGCTCGGTTTGCTAAGACATTATATTCACTGATTATAATGTCTTTTGTCCCCCACTCCAGTTCTCTCTATTTTGATTTTGTGCCAGGCATGGAGGAAGATGAGGAAGAAAAAGACGGGGAGGAGGAGAAGGAGGAGGAAGGTGTGGGGCATGCAGAACTCCTGCAGGAAGTAGTGCCAAAGGAGAAGGTGGTACCCATCCCTGAGGGGAGTGCCTTCTTCTGCCTCAGCCAAACCAACCCGTGAGTGCCTGAGAGAGGGAAGAACCAGGGCAGGAGGGCTGTAGTGGGTGGAGTGTCAGGGGTTCTCCAAAGCTCTCTCAGTGCACACAGCCTGTGGCAATAGGTCCTGAGCTGTGGGCTTCCCCCACACTACCCTCACTTCAAGCCAGTGTTCCTGGGTACTAACGCCAGTCTGCTCTCCACTGCCCAGGCTGAGGAAGGCCTGCCACACCCTCATCCACCATCACGTCTTCACCAATCTCATTCTGGTCTTCATCATCCTCAGTAGCGTGTCCCTAGCAGCCGAAGACCCCATTCGGGCCCACTCCTTCCGGAATCATGTGAGCATTTGGTGGGATTTGGGAGGGCTCCCCAAGGTGAAAGCAGGGCCAGGTGGAGAAATCAGGAAAAGATTCTTTATTGAGATGAGAGGGGGAGGTAGTAGTGGCCGCCATGGCAGTGCCGACCACCTCCAATGGATGAGCCACCCACTTGGGGAGCATCAAGAAGCGGTTGTAGTTGACTAAGGAAGCTGAGCTGAGGGAAGTTGAGTAGGTCAAGGAGGACCATGCCACCGGGTAGACACAGGGGGACCCAAATTTACCCCTGGTCTCTTCCATAACCAAACCTATTGCCTCAAAGAGAAGTCCTGGATGGTGGTGTCAGCTTTGGAATGTGTGTGTATGTGTGTGTGTGTGTGAGTGTATATGTGTGTGAGAGAGAGAGCAGGGAATGGAGAAAGATATAGCAAAACTCAGAGAGGCATTCATTCAGGTTCATCTGTATGAACACAGACAGACAGACAGACACACACCCCTATATACCCTCTTGGCCCTGACTCAGTGACTCCCCTTCTCTCTTATTTTCCCAGATTCTGGGGTACTTTGACTATGCCTTCACCTCAATTTTCACTGTGGAGATACTACTAAAGGTGACTAATGGGCTTTCAATCACACCCCCAGTTGTCCAGCCCATTTCCCCTCCTGCCCAGGCCCACCTCCACAGCGCATTTCCCCACGATTGGCCTCTTCTGCTTTCCAGCAACCCCCAATATACACACTTTATCCCTTCTTCTTCTCTCTGCCTGAAGCTCTGCTGTCTTACTCCATCTCCTCCTACCCCCTAGATGACTGTATTTGGGGCCTTTCTGCACCGGGGCTCCTTCTGCCGTAGCTGGTTCAATCTTTTGGATCTGCTGGTGGTCAGTGTGTCCCTCATCTCATTTGGGATCCAGTGAGTGACCTCCACCCACCCCATTGCTCCCAGAGCCCAGGCGAGACACAGGCCAGAACTTGAGAACACTCCTCTCCCCAGCTCTAGTGCCATCTCAGTGGTGAAGATTCTCCGAGTACTCCGAGTCCTCCGGCCCCTCAGAGCCATCAACAGGGCCAAGGGACTCAAGGTATCCTCATGTCACCTAAACCTGCAGGTCCCAGACCCAATTTTCCTCACCTCACCCTGGAGTCATCATCATGGATCAGACACACCTTTTACCCCGACGCATGGCCACATATTTGGCTTTGGTCTTTTTATTTTGGGGTGGGGGGAGGTGATAGAATCCTGTGGTGATCAAGGCTTACTCCTGGCTCTAAGGTCAGGGATGGGGCTCAGGGGACCATATCAGATGCCAGAAACTGAACCAGGGTCGGCAGCATGGAAGGCAAGCACCTTGCCTTCTGTACTGTCTCTCCCGCCCTGGCCACATAATCTGGATCTGCCTATAACCCTGGTGCCCAACCAACAGGGTTCCATACAGGTGACCATGCATTCCCTAGAAAGCTCACATTTCTCTGATCCAATTCCCTCGAAATGTTGTCATGTGTTCCATCATAGCAAACACTGTCAGTGCCTGGCCCCTTGAATCATGTATTCCTGACCATCAATCACATAGCCCTAACCAAGTCCCCAAGCACCCTTCACACCCAAGTCTCTGCTCCTGGCCACTCTGGCCTTCAAAGGACACAAGTCATGTCTGTGGATCCCTGCAGCATGTGGTACAGTGTGTGTTCGTGGCCATACGGACCATCGGAAACATCATGATCGTGACCACGCTACTGCAGTTCATGTTTGCCTGCATCGGGGTACAGCTCTTCAAGGTGGGGAGGAAAAACAGACTGGGTGGGGGAAATGGCAAGTGGGGGGTTGGGGGACTGGCTTGACAGATATCTTCCCTGTAGGGGAAATTCTACAGTTGCACGGATGAGGCCAAGCACACTCCCCAAGAATGCAAGTGAGTGTTGAAAATGGCCTCCCTGGAGCCCAGGAACACTCCTAAAAGCCATACAGGCTTTTTGGTCTCCCAAAGGCCCCAGACGCCCCTAAACCACCCTCCCCAAAGCAGTGGAAACCTTCTCCAGACCTTATTAAGAACGCCTTTCCCAGAATTCTCTAAAGTCCCAGGGTACGTCCCCAGAACTCTCTCAAGAAGTGCAAAGGTCCTCACAGCTCACCAAGCCCTAAGATGTCCCCTAGAATCTTTCCAAAACCCCTTTGCATGTTCCTCAAAGTTACCAACATTTGACTCCAGATCCTCCTATAGTCCCTGGATGCAGCCATCTCCCAGAGTCTATCTTCCATCTTGAAACTTCTATAGAGGGTAGTGATTTGAAACAATAGGCTTTGGAACCAGACATTCCAAGCTGAAACCCATTTTGGCTACATTTCTCAATTTTTCGGAGTCCCATTTCCCTCAATGGAAATATGGGAATAGAAGAAATGTAGTATCCCCAAGGTAACTGTGAGTAGTAAGTGAAAAATTACTACATGTAAATTTTACCAAAGTTCCTCGCACATAGTTGTTGATTAAGGTTGGCGATTTTTAGCACCCATTTTTTTTCCTGGTGATGATTACACTAACAATGATGATAATATCTCTCATGTATGGTATCAACTATATGCCAGACACCATTCACAGTGATGGGGTTATATTTCCAGTGATTTTGTAATCCTTACAAAAATCCAGGAAATATTTAGTTATTATTCCATAGATGGGCAAACCTGAGACAGCAGCATGAAATGCCAAAGGCCACCCATATTGTAAATACAGAGGCAGGATTTGAGCCCAGGTTATCCAGTTCCACCACTCCATGTTGGGCACCCCAAAATACTCCAATACTGAAGGCCCCAGACCCCTTTCCACAGCTTCTCACCCCTCCTTATCAACATAGCTTGTCTGCAAATCCACAGGGGCTACTACCTCGTCTACCCCGATGGAGATGTATCACGGCCTCTCGTCCGAGAGCGGCTCTGGGTCAACAATGACTTCAATTTTGACAACGTCCTTTCAGCCATGATGGCCCTGTTTACAGTTTCCACCTTTGAAGGCTGGCCTGCGTGAGGGGCGGGCCCCGGGAATAGGCGGGGCCTGGTCAGGAGCCTTTCGAGGATTGGCTAGGGTTCAGCTGCGAGTAGACAGGAGTGTATCGTAAGATTTGATGAAGGTCTCAGCCTAGATAGGGCTTTATGGAAACTGGTGGAGGTATCAGAAGACTGGGGGTTGCGGGGGGTGGGGGTGGCAGGGAATCTCTTGGAAACTGGCTGGGTACCTCCAAGGAATTGCACGGAAGATTTCCCAGGAGTCGGTGGGTGTCTCAAGCAGATTTAGTGGGATTTGTGGAAAACCAGGGAGAGATCTGGGAGGACTGGGTGGGGTTCTTAGAGAAGCTGAAACTTACAGAGAACTGTAATGGTATTTAAGGGAATACCTGGAAATATCAGAGAGTGAGTGAAAGGGATGTGGAGCCAGGCATTCAAGTGGGTAGGAAAGGGAATTAAGAGACTTGATTGGGGGCGGGGGGGGGGGTTGTGGGGAGTTTTGGAAGCTGTATGGATATCTACAGGTATGAAAGGGGATTTGGTGGTCTGGGAAGGTTTGGTGGGAGTGTGTTTTGTGTGTGGAGATCTCGTGATTAGGTCAAGGAGGTTAGGGAATTTTGGGGTGCCACAAGCTATTACAGTGTGTGGAATGTTCTGGGTCAGGTCTGAGGGCATTAGGCCTTCCCCTGATTGGTTCCAATTGGGTCCTCAGGCTTCTTTACAAGGCCATCGATGCACACGCGGAGGACAAGGGCCCCATCTACAATTACCGCGTGGAGATCTCAGTGTTCTTCATTGTCTACATCATCATTATTGCATTCTTCATGATGAACATCTTTGTGGGCTTTGTGATTATCACTTTCCGTGCCCAGGGAGAGCAGGAGTACCAAAACTGTGAGCTGGACAAGAACCAGGTGATCTCTGACCCGCTACTTAGGGCCACCCCATGACCCCACCTCAATACACCATTCATTTACTCACTCATGCCCTGTATTGGTATGCAGCGCCAGTGTGTGGAGTATGCGCTCAAGGCTCAGCCACTCCGCCGCTACATCCCCAAGAACCCGCATCAGTATCGAGTGTGGGCTGCTGTGAATTCAGCTGCCTTCGAGTACCTTATGTTCCTGCTCATCCTGCTCAACACAGTTGCTCTAGCCATGCAGGTGTGAGCTCTTCCCTCCCCTCCCAATCCCTGACAGATAACTGACATCCACAAAATCCCTAGAGAATTATTTGGAACACTATAGACCAGGTGTTTTCAACTACCTGCCTACAAACTGGTCCCATTTGGTGGTATAATAGTTGAAAACCACTGCTTTTAACTGCAAATAACAAAACTCCCAAATGACAGGGACTTAAGCTATAAAGAAATGTACCACATTTCTCTAAATATAAGGCCAATAATTGAGATTGCATCCTGATTTCAGAGAAGAAATGATCCGTGTGTGAATGGTATATCACATTTATGACTTGTCATTGGTTATAAATATGTCCCAATTTTAGAGAGTCCGAAATGAAAAAAGATGTGTATCCTGGTAACACAAAATGTTAGGTTACTTCATGTAATGGGCGATGTGGAGTCAGGCTGCTTGCTTCATTAGGGACCACATTCTATCTTTTTGCTCCACACTTCTTTTTTATTTTCAATGCCAGGTATTGCACCCAGGGTCTCACATATGTGAGGCAGGTGCTCTACCACTGAACCCCATTCCCAGTTCTACATTCAGCCATTCTTAGAGAGTTGGCTTTCATTCTTAGGATTGTTCATGAACACAAGATGGTTCCACAGCTTCAGTGTTCAAGACAGGAAAAAGAAGGATAGGTTGCAGTGGACTCTTCTAATTTAAGAATTTTTATTGGAAGACAAAAATGTCTGTCACAGAAGCTACCTAACCAGCAGTTGACTTGAGTTTCTAATTTCATTAGTCAGACCTAACTATAAAGAAAGCTAGAAAATCAAAAACTTGTCTGTCTCCTATTCACAATGGGACAGAGACAATGTAAAAGTTTGGTCAACCCAGAGTTCTACCACACCCCAGAGTCACTTCAATCCAAGTCAGAGTTGGTTTGGGTAGGGAGATCTCTGGCTCAGGCTTTGTTCCCACGCCTGGCTTTCTCCCTCAGCACTATGAGCAAACTGCTCCCTTCAACTATGCCATGGACATCCTCAACATGGTCTTCACTGGTCTCTTCACAGTTGAGATGGTGCTCAAAATCATCGCCTTCAAACCCAAGGTATCTCCCAAATCTAAACCTACCCTCGAAGGTGAATTCTTTGGCAGTTTGGGGACAGAGCTTATTATCGTATTTGCATGGGACTTGTGACACACTAAGAAGTGATTGGGATCCAGATGCAGCTGCATCGTGTGATACAAACCTAGCTCTGCGTCTCTAATGTTCCCTACTCCTGCTGACCCCCTAGCTTGGCCTCTAGCTCTAAGAGAACATTCCACTGCTTTTCTTCTACCTACAGCATTATTTTGCTGATGCATGGAATACATTTGATGCTCTTATTGTAGTGGGCAGCATTGTGGACATTGCCGTCACTGAAGTCAATGTAAGAACTGGTCTCTCCACCTTATCTCCCCCTACCAACTTTCCCCACCTCAGTTCCAGCACTCTCTTTCGCATGGGTTTGTGTCTTCCACTTATACCCCAGAAACTTCTAAAGACTTGGTACTCCTCATTCTAGCTTATCTCATCTGAGTTCCTGTTGGACTCAGCCAAAGTCCCCTTCTATCAGTTTCCTCTTCCCATTTGCCCCATTCTTTGATTCCATCATCTCCTTAAACAACTCTCCTATTATTTCTATTATTTCCTCCACTGCCTCTACATTCTCCTCCATTGGCTCCATCATCTCTGCAAACTCATGCTTCGGCTCCATCAACTCTTCTTACACCTTCACTGGCTCCATTTCCACCACTGATTGCATCATTCCAACATTGGCTCTTTCCCGGTTCTTTCATCATCACTGATATCACTGTTGGCTCCATCATCTACTGTGCTGGATAATACATGGTTTTACTACCACAACCAACCATTCTGCTGGTTTTCTATCTCCTTCTATTGCTTCTCCATTGGGTCCTGTCCATCATCTCCACAATACCTCTAGCTCCATCGTTTCTATCCTTGGCTCCAATACAACTCATCCATCATCTCCTGTACCTTATCATGTTCATGTCCTCTTAACCCACATTATCAACTTTCTCCATAACCGTCTTGACTTACTACCAAATAACCTCTTACATTATTCCTTGAATAATGATTCTCCCCCTCTCCTATATCTTTCCATAATTTCTTTCCTTGTTCATTTGGGCCTCTGATATCATCATCTCCTCTATGACCACTATTCTGATTATATCTACTCCAGAATGGTGGCCATCTCGGTGAGGTAGTTCCCCATCTCTCAAGAGGAATTTGTTTCTTACTTCATCCACCTCCTTTCCTTTTTTTCCTGGGTTTCCTGAGAAACAGTCTCTAGCCACACTGAGGACTGAGTTCTGAGAGATTTGGGAGCTGGGTGGGTTAAAACATAAGGTGGTTGAGTGAATGTGACCTGAGTGTACCCATTGTATCTCAACCTCAGAGCTCTGAGGACAGTTCCCGCATTTCCATCACTTTCTTTCGCCTCTTCCGGGTCATGCGACTAGTCAAGCTCCTTAGTAAAGGTGAAGGAATTCGCACTTTGCTCTGGACATTTATCAAGTCATTCCAGGTAACTGTACCATTACTTTGTTCTTTTGAGCACCCCTCACCCTATCCTCACAGTCTGCCCTTTTACAAACCTCAGAACTACAGCCCCCAGCACATTTTACCCATCTGCAACTTACCATAGACTGTTTTCTCTTTTCTAAACTCTCAATTTACAATACACCTTGTACTCACTGACCTTACTTGCCATATTTAATACTATCTCCATATTTGGGAGGCACTGAGAGTAATGGGCAATTAAGAGATAGACCACATCTTTCAAGTGGCTGGGTCTGAGGGAGCAATGCATTCTGGGGTTTTGTTTGTTTTGTTTTGAGTCACACCTGGCTATGCTCAGGGGTTATTCCTGGTTTTGTGCTCAGGAGATACTCCTAGAGGGGCTCGGGGGACCATATGGCATGCCAGAGATTGAACCCAGGTCAGCCGCGTGAAAGGCAAATGCCTTATCCTCTGTGCTCTCTCTCTCCCTGGCCAGGAGAAATGCATTCTGGGGCTGATAGTTTTTAGCCTGGATCTGAGTGCTTATCTTCCTTTCCATACCCTTAGGCTTTGCCCTATGTGGCTCTTCTCATTGCGATGATATTCTTTATTTATGCAGTCATTGGGATGCAGGTAAGTCGGCGGTCCTAGGGATATCTCTGGTGTGTGTCCTCCATTGCTGTGGGATATTTGGGTAGGAATAGCCCAAGATAGTATGGCATGTGGGAGAACATACAAGCTGGATGGCCCAGAGTCAATCATAGGATCAGCAGTGCTTGCTGGTCAGAGTTGTGAGAATTCTATAGCTATTAGAGCTAGAAACCTATGTGGTGAACAGGCTAATCCTCCTGACACAGCTCCTATGTGCCCACAGATGTTTGGCAAGGTAGCTCTTCAGGATGGGACACAGATAAACCGAAACAATAACTTCCAGACTTTTCCACAGGCTGTGTTGCTTCTATTCAGGTGATATATAATCCCTCCTCTGCCTCCTCTGTCTCCAGCATGCCCTCTGGTGCCTGTATACCCTCTCTGGGTCCCAGATACCCCCAACGTTCAAAATAACAAGACAGCAGGAAACTCCATGCTACCTGAGACCTTTATGGCTGCGTTCTGAGAACTCTTTTAAAGTAGTCTCCTATTCTGGAGAGTTTAAATATTAGTGCCAGAAAATGATTTGTATCCATTTTCCAGCTTTCATATGTATCCCTCCCTCAGGTCTCAGTGCCTACCTGTTAAATGCAAATACAGCCATATTCAACAGGGCCAAGGCAGCCTTTCAAATACTGAAATGATGAGGCTGGACAGATATTACAACATACATGGTGCTTAACTTGCATGTGGCCAACCCGGATTCAATCCCTCTGCATTCCATATGGTCCCCCGAGCCCTTCCAGGAGTAATTCCTGAGTAAAGAGCCAGGAGTAAGCTCTGATCATTGCCAGGTATGGCCCCAAAACAAATATAAATAAAGGAAAGTAATAAAGTACCAAAATGCTTTCTGTTGGATGTAGCTCCTAGTGAGAAGTGGGTCATCTCACTCCTCCAGGTTCCAAAGTTCCACTTGTCAAGGCTTCATTGTGATCCACAGGTGTGCCACTGGTGAGGCATGGCAGGAGATAATGCTTGCAAGTCTTCCTGGGAATCGCTGTGACCCTGAGTCTGACATCAGCCCTGGCGAGGAGTTTACCTGTGGGAGCAATTTTGCCATTGCCTATTTTATCAGCTTCTTTATGCTCTGTGCCTTCCTGGTGAGGACCATATCCCCACAAGCTACACTACTGCCATCAGAGCTGGTCTTAAGGAGTCTGGGGATATGGGCCAGACTGTCAGAGAGTGGGTGAAAGGGCTACCCTGACAACAAATTCATTCATCACATAAGGTGACCTCAACTTCCGACCACCCTTCCCCACATGCATGATTATATGTGTGTGTGTGGTGTGTGTGTATATGCGCATGCACACACTTACATACACTATGCTCTGCCCTTTGTCTAACCCCCTCTGCTCTCTGGACTACAGATCATCAATCTCTTTGTGGCTGTGATCATGGACAATTTTGATTACCTAACCAGAGATTGGTCCATACTGGGCCCCCATCACCTCGATGAATTCAAGAGGATCTGGTCTGAATATGACCCTGGGGCCAAGTATGCTCCCTATCCCATACATGGAACTCCAGGGGACAGGACACTGCTCCCACAGTCCACTAACCCCAAGATTTCTAACTTGTGCCTCCCATTACCCAACTAGTATATGCCCCAAGTTGCCTACTGTTCTATCCTCTGCCGCCTTATCCTGACTACTGCCTCCCAATTCATCCCTGGTATATCCAGACAGGGGTGTTAAAAGGCAGGGAAGAGTAATGAATTGGTTAGGCCCAGAGAAAGACTTAAGGTCTTTCTCCAGTTCACTGGTGTCTCCTACCCAATCCCTTATCTGCTCCCAGAGGCCGCATCAAGCACTTGGATGTGGTGGCCCTGCTGAGACGCATCCAGCCTCCCTTAGGATTTGGGAAGTTGTGTCCACATCGAGTGGCCTGCAAGGTTTGTGTCTTTGCTCACCCTACCATCCCAAAAAACAGTGAGCGATCTCCCAACCACATGGCAGGGGCATTTACCCCTGCATCCACGACATTTGCCCGAAGTGAGTCCCGTGTCCCTGGTGTGTACAGAGGCTTGTGACGATGAACATGCCCCTCAGCTCAGATGGGACAGTCACATTCAATGCCACACTCTTTGCCCTGGTTCGGACATCCCTGAAGATCAAGACAGAAGGTGTGTGGGGGATAGGAGAAAAAGGGATGGGGTGGTCAGGGACAGGTGTCAGAGGATCCCTGGGGAGGGTTTCAGGAGCACACTGATTAATGGGCCCCAATACTAGTTCTGGACCTCAATAGTGTGGCTTCTCCTGGCCTGTTTTACCACCTGTCCAATGGGGGAAGAGTGTGGCTGCAAAACTTGCAAAACACCCTCCAATTGTGAGGCTGTGGTTACCAAGGGTTCTCCCTATTGGTTCATGGCCCAATGCAGGGAAACTGGAGCAAGCTAATCAGGAGCTGCGGATTGTCATCAAAAAGATCTGGAAGCGGATGAAGCCCAAGCTGCTAGATGAGGTCATCCCCCCTGCTGATGGTGAGCTAGCCCCACCTCCAGATGCCAGGAGCCCTCTTCTGACTTCTAAGAGGATTTCCAGGATTGCAAACCCCACAAAACCTGCCCTACTGATGGGGGGAAGGGGTGGCAGGCAGGCATTGAAACTAAGAACCCCTATGTAACCTATTCCTCTCTACCCCCAGAAGAAGAGGTCACTGTGGGGAAATTCTATGCCACATTTCTAATTCAGGACTATTTCTGCAAATTCCGGCGAAGGAAGGAAAAAGGGCTACTAGGGACTGAAGCCCCTCCAAGTACTTCCTCAGTGCTTCAGGTCAGGTCTTCAGAACTGGGTCTGAAAGCAGGGTGGTAATGCGATTGTTGTGGCTGAGGGTAATAGCCTTCTTGACCTCCTAGGGGTCATCTCATCAATGAGAAAAATGAGGTCCAAGGACCTGATGAGAATCAGGGTGTTGGAGCCAGAGCAATAATAAAGCGGATAGGGCACTTGCCTTGCCTGCTGTCTCCCAAGTTCTATCCCTAGCATTCCATATGGTCTCCCAAGCACTGCCAGGAGTAATACCTGGTAACAGATCCAGGAAGTAACCCCTGAGCATTGCCAGCAAAGACACAAACCTTACTCAGTGCCCCAAAAACAAAAGAGATAGAGAATAAGGGTGGCTGAGGGGTTCCTTCCACCAGCCCCAGCTCCTGCCTGAAGAGCAGGCCCCCAGAGAAGGATGGAGCCAAACCACGAGTTGTCCTAATTCTTTATCCTCAACCCCATAGGCTGGTCTGAGGACCCTGCAGGTCCTGGGCCCTGAGATCCGGCAGGCCCTCACCTGTGACACAGATGAGGAACAGGAGGAAGATGAGGAATATGACAAGGACCCAGAAAAGCACAATGTGAGTGCCACAAGGTTTCATTATCTAGCAGACTTTTAAAAAAATCTGTAAGATAATTTGTCCACTTTAATGTTTGTGGGCTGGACTGATAACACAGTGGTAGGGCATTTGCCTTGCATGTGGCCGACCCGGTCAACCCAGGTTCAATTCCTCCATCCCTCTCAGAGAGCCGGCAAGCTACCGAGAGTATCTCACCCGCATGGCAAAGCCTGGCAAGCTACCCATGGTGTATTTGATATGCCAAACACAGTAACAAGCATCATAATGGAGACGTTACTGAGCCCACTCGAGCAAATCGATGAACAACGGGAGGACAGTGACAATTACAGTAATGTTTTGTGCAATAACATGTGCTTTTTTCCTTCTGTTGTGGTGGGGGCCAGGCCCTGTAGTTCCGGAGTGGGGTGGGACACAGTGCCTGGGCTGGCACCCAGAGCCTGGCACAGAAAACATATTCTTCAATCTTGAGGAACTTTGTCACTACCTGTGGGAGGGGGAGTCTTCCAGAGACATCACTCCACCCCCAATAGAATATTTTACAATCAAGAGTCAGGAAACTGGATGTGATCCACGTAGTAAAACACATATGTTTTCTGTCCCAGGCCCTGGGTGCCAGCCCAAGCACTGTGACCCACCCCACTCCATATATGGCCAAGTGACTTAGAGTGAATAGGGATGCAACACTTGGTCCTGTGATTTCTACAGACCCCCATGGAGTCCCAGCTTCCATCGCGTCAGGATGCCCTGATTTCTGTGTCTTTGCCTATGGGGACCAGACTTGCAGATTTATACTCCCCTGAATCCAGTGATGATGACAGGGAAGTTCCTGACTCCAGGCAGTCCAGTGTATCCCAGGCTGGATCCCATACCCTCAGGTACAGTCACGGAACTGGTGGGAGGGTGGGAGGAAAGCAAAGGTTAGACATTGTGTTGTGGTGGGGTGACTCAGAGGCCAGAGAAGGGGGTCAGAGAGGGCCTATGAGTAAAAGTTTGGGTAGAATGGAGACTCAGGACTGAAGTGGGAAACTAAAGAATAAGAAATACATATGAGGGTCAGAGAGAAAGAGTACAGCAGATAGGGTGCTTGCCTTGCACACAACCAACCCAGATTCAATCCTTGACACCCCATATGGTCCTTCAAGGCCACCAGAAATGATCTCTGAGCGCAGATCCAGGAGTAAGACCTAAAGACAACTAGGTGCAGCAAAAAAGAGAGTGATACCTATGAAAAGGTCAGGACCAGGGAGATAATTCAAAGCACTGAGCATGTGCTAAGCACCCACAAAACCCAGATCCGATCCCCAAACCTATGGTTCTTCTAAGCACTACTGGTAAGGACTCCAAAACATAAGCCCAGAGTCGGCCCTGAGCACCACCAAGCGTTGCCCCAAAAAAAGGGGGAAAAAGTCCAAGGCAATGCAAAGACTGGACAGATCACATAGAGGTTAAAGTACTTTGCATGCCTTGCATTGTAGCTGACTACAGTTTAATTCCTGACACCCATATAGTCCTCGGGCATCACCAGGAGTGATCCCTAAACCTGGAGCCCTGAGTGAGGCCCAACCACCCCTAAAAATAAAACAAAGCAGCAAAATGGGACTGGAGCAATAATGGGAAAGATATTTGTTTTGCATGCATCTGACCTAGTTTACCCAGCACCCCATATGGTCTTTTGAGCATCACCAGGAGTGATCCCTCAGTGCAGGGTCAGGAGTAGTCCCTAAGCACAGCTAGTTGTGCCCCCCAACATACACAAAAAACAGCAAAATGACCAAACTGTTGGTATTGATAGTAGAGTTTCATAAGTTTCCCAGATCAACCTATAAAAATCAAAAGTCATTTATCTACTTCAGTGTTAACGAATAAAAAAATACTATTTTAGGGCCACAGAGATTGTACATGAGTTAAGGAGTTTGCCTGTCCTGTGGCTGAGCTGGTTCTAGTCCCTGGCACTTCATGTGTTCCCCAAGTACACCATGAGTGATCCCTGAATGCAGAGCCAGGAGGAAGCCCTCAGCAGTGCTGGATGTGGTCCCCAAGCCAAAAACAAACAGTAACACAAACACGGCGCAAAGAAGTTCAATGATGTACATGATTAGTACATGTACATGATACAGAATCTAAGTTACTGCGTGGAAGGGATGGCTGGAGCAATAGTAAGGTGGGCAGGGTGTTTGCCTTCACGAGGCTGACCTGAGTTGGACCCCCAGCATCCATATGGTACCTCGAGCACTCCCATGAGTAATTACTGAGTGCAGAGCCAGAAGCATCTGAGCATCTCTGGGTGTGACCCAAAAGGCAAAAAAAGTGTGCTTGGGCTAATCACTTTGTCTCACTGTACTTCAGTTCCTCTCCTGTGAAACGGCTATGCGTACTTCAGAGGACTAATGAGGGGGAGGCAGTCACAACTGAGGGGAAGTTTTCACATGTAGCAGTTTGGCTGTAGGACAACACCCAGCGCTGCTCAGGGCTTACTCCTGGCTCTGCACACAAAGATCAGTCCTGGTGGGCTCAGGGCACTATAATATGAGTACTGGCCATCAAACCCAGGTCTCCGCATGCAAGACAAGCACCTTACCCATTGTATCATCACCCCTTACACACCTAAATTTTACAGCCTTTTCCTCAGTGACCTTCTGCAACTCATTCCCAGTCCTCATGTTGATGACTTATCTTCAACAGCCAACTTTGATTATTTTGAAAGTTTGTGCCCTTCCTATGAGACATATTTTTTTTGCTTTTGGGGTCACACCCGGCAATGCTCAGGGGTTACTCCTGGCTCTGCAATCAGGAATTTTTCCTGGCGGTCATTGGGGGACCATATGCATAGGCAGGACTGTTGGCATCCTGACATCATGCACTTTCTTTTTTTTTTTTAAAGAAAGCCCTACGTTCTCTCTAAATGATGACTAATTTTAGGTTATGTGAATTTTTCCAATGAAAAAAATGTTTGGGGCCAAGGAGACAACTCAAGGGGCTGAAGCATAAGGAAACTCGGGTTCAGTCCCCAGCACTACATAGTCTCTCCAAACACTGCCAGGAATAGTCCTGATGACTTTGAATGGGGGCCGGAGCAATAGTACAGTAGGTAGGATGCTTGCCTTGCATGTGGCTAACCTGGGTTCAATCCCCAGTATCCCACTGGGTCCTCAGAGCACTAACAGGAGAAATTCCTGAGTACAGACCCAGGAGTAATCCCTGAGCATTGTCAGATGTGACCCAAAAACCAAAAGAGAAAAAAGCAAACCAAGTACTCTGAGCAATAAGCCAAAAGTAGCCCCTAGTATGCCAAGCTGTGGCCCCAAACCTCTCCACACACACAGAGTAAATTCTAGTGTTTCTGTAAGGGATGAGCCATGGGGTGAAAGTGAACCAAGGGCTCAGGGCTACACATATTGGGGAAGCTGGTCAACCTTACTTGCTCACTTTCCCCAGGAGAAATTCTGGGGCTCTGGTTTTCACCATTCCAGAAGAAGGAAGTTCTCAGCTCTTGGGAGGGAAAGGAGAAGATAAGCAAAATAAGACAGAGGAAATCCTGACTGGGTTCTCTGGATTTGACAGGTATGTAGGCTGAATCCATAAGGCATGGGTAGGAAGGCAGGACTGTTGGCATCCTGGCACAGGCCAGCACTCACCCTTAGCCCACCTCTGTACAGCCTCTTCTACCAGAATGAGCAGGCAGAAACTTCCCTACACACCAACTTTTGGCCACCTCATAGACTCCAGAGATATGTGGAAGTGTCTCATGTACCCCACCGCCGTTTGCTGCCTCCCACACCTGCAGGTGAGATCAGACATGGACTATAGGGTCTTCCCAAGTGCCAGCAGGCAAATCACTGAAGAGACATTGACATGGTTCTCTGCTCCCCTTGTCCCCCAACTCCCCCGCCACTGCCACCCACCCACAGGTCGCAAACCATCCTTCGCCATCCAGTGTCTACGGCGCCAAGACAGCTGTGAAGATCTGCCCATCCCAGGCACCTACCACCGTGGGCAGAACTCAGGGTCCATAAAGGTGCAGGTGACACATGGAAAGGGATGCTGAGTTCTTGAGGGGGGTGTCTTAGCCAGGCGCTTCTGGAGGAGGGGACACTGTGCATTTCCACAGTGCTCTAAGTACCATTGAGGTGATTCTGCTAGGAGCTGCAGTTTACAAAGGAGGAAGTTGGTCCACAGAGAGGCACCTTCAGAATCATAGCTTGGGCTGAGAGTTATTGCTATACTCCTTAGGTTTCTTTGCTTTTCTTTTCTTTATTTTTGTTTTGTTTTGTTTTTTGGGCCACACCTGGTGGTGTTCAGGACATATTCCTGGTTCTACACCCAGGGATTACTACTGGCAGACTCGGGGGACCATATGGGATACCAGGTATTGAACCTGGATCAGGCGCATACAAGGCAAATACCCTACCCTCTATACTATTGCTCTAGCTCTGCTTTTAGTTTTTGTTTATTTCTGGTTTTTCTTTTCTTTTTTTTATTAAATCACCCTGAGAACAGTTACAAAGCTTTCAGGTTTAAGTCTCGGTCATACAATGATCAAACACCCATCCCTTCACCAGTGCACATGTTCCACCACCAAGAACCCCAGTATACTCCCCATCCCACCCCTCCCCCTGCGTGTGTGGCAGATGATTTTCACTTTAGTCTCTCTTTACTTTGATTACATTCAAATTTTCAACAAAAGACCCACTATTATTATTTGGAATTTCCCCCCAACGATCACACCTGCTGAAAAGGCATCATTAGATGATTTGTTTTCTATTGCTGAAAATGAAGAGCATATGATATCACGCGGCTGCTGTTTTGATTTTTGGTATTTTAGTAATTAAGTCCAGAGGCATTTCTGCCAGAAGCAGCCGGGTTCTCAGATTGGTTTGTGTGCCTCTGGAATCATGGCTGTTCCGGAGTGGAGGAGGCCTTTGTGGATAGCAACTCAGGGTCTGGTCCTGGTGGGGGAAAGGGCCAGTTCCGCCTCCCCCGCATCCCGAGAGGGCCCGCATGCCCTGTCACTGCAAGCCCGTACCTCTCTGTCCGATAGGCTCTGAAAGTTGGCGGTCGCCATGTTGCCGCCGAGGGGGAAAAAGTGGAGGGACAAACACCCTTCCCCTCCCGGGGCTGCATGGGGCCATAGCTTAGTTCTCAGTCCAGAGGCATTTCTGCCAGAAGCCGCTGGGTTCCCAGATTGGTCTGTGTGCCTCTGGAATCATGTTGTTTTGTTTTTCTTTCTTTCTGGACACTCCCAGAAGAACGCAGGGCTTACTCCTGGCTCTGTGCTCAGGGGTCAACTTTAGCAGTAATTAGGACTATATATGGTGCTGGAGATTGAACCCAGGTCAGCCACCTGCAAAGCAAGTGCCTTACCAACTATAATAGATCTCTGGCTCAAGTCATCTATACTTCTTTTTTGTCACACCTGGAGGTTCGCAGGGGTTACTCCTTCCTGCCTCTGCACTCAGGGATCACTCCTGGCAGGCTCAAGGAATCATATCAAGGATCAAACCCAGGTCAGCCACATGTAAGTCACCCTACCCACTGTACTATCCTCCAGTGCTCCCCTGTAAATTTATTTTTTAAATTTAACCATAGTGATTTACAATCTTACAACACTGTCAACTGTAAGGTTTCATGCATACAACATTCTAACACTAGACTTGCTACCATACTGCCTGTTTCCCTATACCATTATCTTAGAGTTTCCCTTTCATCCTCCCTCCTGCCCTTCCTCACCATCTCATTCCACTCCCCCATCTCAATTCCCTGATAAACTCTATTCTGTAGACCATTTCTTAGATTCTGTAGGTTTGGATCATGTGTTGTTCCCTTACTATGGGTTTTAATATTATACATATGAGAGAGAATTCTATATCTCTCTCCTTCTAACTTCACTCATCATTATAATCTCCACTTCCACCCAGGTAGTAGAACATTATATGATTTCATCTTTTCTTATAGCTGTGTATATGTACTCTAGTTTCTTTATACAGTCATCTTTTCTTGGACATTGGCTTGTTTTCAGATCTTGCCTATCGTGAATAGTGCTGCAATGAATATATGAACACAAATGTCTTTTGTGATTAGGGTTTTTGGGCCCTTGGGGTAGATGCCCAGAAGTCAAAATTACTGGGTCTTTTGGAAGCTCAGTTTTTTCTAGAAGTGTTCATATCTCACACCAGGCTTAAAAAACAATTTCAAATGGATTAAAGACCTCAATATGAGGCCTAAATCCATTAACTATATTAAGAAAAACATAGGCCAAGCCCTTATGACACCGAATCCAGAGATATCTTCAGTAATTCAATGCCATTGGCCAAGCTAACAGAAGCAAAGAGGAACAAATGATACTACATCAAAATAAGAAACTTCTTCACTGCAAAATAAATGATGACTATGGGGCCAGAGATAATACAGCTTGCCTTGCACATGGCAGACCCAGGTTCAATCACCAGTACCCCATATCATTCCCCAAGCACTACCAGGAATTATTTCTGAGCACAGAGTCAGAAGTAAACCCTGAGTACCTCTGAGTGTGGCAAAAAATACCAGAAAAAAGACACTCCACAGACTTGGAGAAAATATTTGCCACCACCCATCGAACAAAGGGTTAATTTCCAAGGTATATAAAGCACTGATAAATCTTAACAAGAAAAAATATCAGTCCCATCAAAATTGGGGAAAAGAGATGAATAGAAACTTCCTTAAAGAAGATATACAGATAGCTAAGAGGTATGTGAAAAAATGCTCTGTTCCACTTATCAGAGAAATGCAAATTAAAACAACAATTAGGTATCATCACACACCAGTGAGAGTGGCACACATCACAAGAACCAAAATCAATCAGTTTGGGGGTGGATGTGGGGAAAAGAAGCTCTCACCTACTGTTGGTGGGAATGTTGACTGGTTCAAGCTTTTCTGGAAAACCTTCTATGCTCTTAACTCAAATTTAAGGATCAGAGAACTTTGCCTGTGGGATCAATCCCCGGCACTAAATGAGCACCACCACTTATGACCCTCTGCACACAGTGTGAGTATCCCCCGCAAAATACCCTCAAGTTTGACTTACTTTCACTTTGGCTGCAGTTGTATTTTAGTTTGTTCCTATTTGGTTTGGAGGGCCTCACAGTTCTTGGTCATTACTCCCACTAGTGCTAGGGTGGAATCAGGCTTTTTCTGTGCAAGGCAAGCACTCCAGAATTTTGAGCCATCTCCCTGACCAACTGTACAATCAACTGTTGTACTTGGAGGATAAGAAGTACATACAAATGGGGGGTAGATAGTACAGGGGTTGGTGTGCTTGCCTTGCATCCTGCCCATCTCAGTTTGAATCCCCAGCACTCCCTATGGTCACCCAAGTGCGGCCAGCGGTCAGTCCTGAGCAAAGGACCAGGAATAGCCCCTGAGAATCTCTGGGTATAGTCCCTGCAAAAATAAACAAATAAGAGAAGTATGCTCAGAAGCGAGTCCTAACCCTGTTCACTCCACCCATCATTCACAGTTCATCAATGTTATTCTGATCCAGGGTTCCTGGGCAACCCCTCCTCAGAGAGGCCGGCTCCTCTACGCCCCGCTGTTATTGGTGGAGGACCGGGCAGCGCCGGAGGGATACCTTGGCAAAACCAGTGATTCACTGCACACCTTCACCTGTCTACACGTGCCTGGAACCCACCCGGAACCCAGCCATGGCAAGAAGGGTAGTGCTGACAGCCTGGTGGAAGCCGTGAGTCCAGAAGGGGCATGGGAAAGAGGGACAGGGTTGGAGAAGTGCTGGCTGTTTGGAGTGGAAGAGAAAAAGGAGTCTCAGGTCTTCATCCCACTCATGTCCCTTTGCTATGCAACGTCTGCTCTGCCTTATGCTCACCACTGCTCCCTGTTAACTTTCCTGCAAGCCGGCCTCGGCACATCCTTGATGCACACTGATACTCCCCATCCCCCCTCCCACCAGTCTCTTTGGTAGCTGCTTTGATTCCATCCATGTTTTCAATACTGAACCCCCATCTGTGACCCCTCAGGTGCTCATCTCCGAGGGCCTGGGCCTCTTTGCCAGAGACCCACGCTTTGTGGCCCTGGCCAAGCAGGAGATCGCCGAAGCATGTTGCCTGACACTTGATGAGATGGACAGCGCTGCCAGCGACCTGCTGGCACAGGGGACCAACTCCCTCTACAGTGACGAGGAATCCATCTTCTCTTGTCTGGATGAGGAGGACCTAGGAGATGAGATGGCCTGCGTCCATGCCCTTTGATTTCCCAGCTGTCTCCCATTGCTCAAGAAAGCTCCTGCTCCAACCTTTTCCAGAGGAAGACAGGCTTGAAACACACACACACACACACACACACACACACACACACACACACATCCTGCAGGCTTTCCGTGTCTCTGCACTGGGGGGTCTTGGGACTACCCGGTGCCCCCTCCCCATCCACCCCATCCCTTGTTTCAGTCCTGTGCCACTGCCCACACACGGGTATTTCCAGAAACCAGGACAGCCAGGCCTGATTATTCAGCGTCAGGGAAGGAGGGAGGAGTAGAAGGAAGAGACAGCAGCCAAAAAAAGCTGGGGACTGCATGGAGGTGGGGGAAGGGGAAAGCGCTGGCTTGAGATGGAGAAATGAAGGGAGGGAGGGCCCTGCTTGGCTGCGGAATATGGGAATGTCTGAGATGCCACAAGGGGCAGCATGTCAGGTGTCACTGAGAACAGATGGGGGTTGGGGGTGGGAGGGGGTGGAGGTGAAGGGGGTGTTGGTGGGTGGGTGGCAAGTGCATGGGAGGTTAGAACTGACCTGGCAGGGGATTTGTTTTAGACATTGTTGGGGAGGGGGCTTCTCTGACACCGTTAGGAATTTCAAGGAGGATACACGGAGACAAGTCTCTTTCCCACTTCGGACTGAGGGAGAGAAAAAAAACCTCCGTGGAGCCAGAGCAATAGTACAGTGTATAGGGTGTTTGTCTTGCACAGAGCCCACTGGGGCTCAATCCCCAGCACCTCACCTAAGCTCCACCAGTAGTGATCTCTAAGCACAGGGCCAGGACTAAACCCTGAACACTGCAGGATATGACTCCGAAACCAAAACAAAGGATAAAACCTCCATTTCTTAGTTGAATACAGGTGACATCAAAGGAGGAGCTCCCAGACTAAGGCCATGCATTTCTTGTCCATCTGGCTTTCCCTGCAGCCTCTTAAGCATACCTTCCTGATAAAGGATGCCAGAGATCCTTTTTGCTTCTTGCCAAACTCTAGGATTGCTTTCATTCAGTGAAGGTTTTACTGGGCATTTCCTTTGTGCCAGGCACTGTTCTGGGTTTTCCATAAAGGAACCTATTTTGCTAGGAGATGGTGTTTGTCCGTAGTGTCAGCCCCTAGTAAAAGGTATGAGGGACTAACCTGGAATCCTCTCCCAGCTCCTGCACTCAGGCTACCCATTTGTATAATTTGTATCCATCAAGGTAAAAGGTTTATGGGAACCATCATTGAGACAAGAACTCTGAACACAGCATTCCACTGAGTCTTGAAACAAGAGCTTATGGTAGTTGGGCTTGTTGGGATCTGGGGCACATGCAGGACAGAGGGTGAAAGGAAACGTCTGAGTGATGAGGCGGGAGGACCGAGGATGTGGTCCCTTGAATACCAAACCCATAAACCTTGGATTTTTCCCTAGAGAAGAAAGGAGCTCTGGGAGGAATTTGAGCTGGGTAGTGACATACTTAACTTTGCATTTTAAATAGATGCTCTGACGGCTGTGCTGCAAACAGGAGGGGGGAGAGACTAGAAATGCTAAAATTGGCAGGAAGGATGGTCGCCTTAGCCAGGGGAGGTGGCAAATGAGATGGGGAGAAGTGAGTGGATTCTAGAGATGTGTAGGAGGGAAAATGAACCACTTATTGGGCCCTGTGCTGAGTGCATTACTGTGATTATCTTGTTTAATCAGGGAAACAACCCTGTAAATTACCATTTGAAACCACCTTACATGTCCCAAGTCAGAAGCTTAAATATGAGGAGTTCAGATTCAAGCAAAGCACAGTCCAAACCACACTCTTCACCCCCATAAACACTAGGAAGTGTCCATTACCTATTGGTGTGAATTTGAGTGTGTGTGTGTGTGTGAGCATATACGCATGTGATATATTATATATATATATATATATATATATATATATATATATATATTCAGGACCCAGGAGATAGTATGGATGTTTAAGCAGGATGTTTAAGCACTTGCTTTGAACACGCTGACTCCAGTGTTGATCCCCAGCATCACATAGGTCTCCCAAGCACCACAGGAGTGACTCCTAACCAGAGAGCCAGGAGAAAGCCCTGAGCACCAGTGGGTGTGGTTTCCTCCCCTCCCCAGTAAAAGAGATATACATTCAGATGGTTCAAAATTCCCTTCTTTCTGGAAGCAACTAGGGTTATCAAGTATCTTTTATACACATAAAGGATGCTATAGTGAAGTTAGCTGAAAAGTGCTGAAGACTGAAGCCTGGGTTCAAACAGAATCTACCATTAAATCAGTAACATGACTTTGTACAGATTTCTTCACCTCTCTTCTCCATAGTTTATTCAGGTGCAAAATAAGAATAGCAGAGGTCCCTGCCTCATAGGGTTACTGTGAGAATTTAAATCAGCGATAGATGTGAAATTCACAGAATAGCACTCTACCCCAAAGAGACACAATTAAAACTCCAAACTCAGGGCTGGAGCAGTAGCACAGCAGGTAGGGCATTTGTCTTACATGCAGCCGACCCAAATTCAATTCCCAGCATCCCATATTGTCCCATGAACACCACCAGGAGTAATTCCTGAGTGCAGAGCCAGGAATACCCCTTGTGCATCGCCGGTGTGACCAAAAAAGCAAAAATATAAAGAAATAAAAAGTAAAATAAAACTCCGAGCTCTGCTCTCAATCATGATATAATCCTTCTCTTGTCTTTGTACACAATTCCCACGGTTCAGCATTTTCCATTTCTTAATATCTTGGCTATAATTCCATATCTTTGTTTTTATTATTAATTTTAGCTTTGTGAGACTGCCACAAAATACCCCAAGTTGTGGAGGTCTCAGAATTGATACATTGCCCATGATGGATCCAGAAGATGGCTCAGTGACTGCCCTGTCCAGCAAGTTCAAGGCGGGTAAAGCAGTCCAGACAGCCCTTTAGTGTCCCTTGAATGTTAAGCACTTTGGGAGAGTTCACTATTGTAAGCAGTGCTGCAGCATATCACATTATACATCCATCTCTTAGCACATGCATGAATCTCTAAGCTAAATTCCCAGAAGTGCAAATGCCAGGTCAAGGAAGCATATACATTTGTTACTTTGCTAGATTTGGCCAAATTACTTCTATAGTGGTTATACCAATTTAAGTTCTTACTGGCAATGTATGAGAATACCCAGTTGGAGGAGGTGGTGAGATAGTACAATGGGTAGGGTACTTGTTTTGCATGGAGCCAACCTGAGTTCAATTCCTGACACCCCACATTGCCCACATTGGTTCCCCGAGCACAGGCAGGACTGATGCCTGAGTGCAGAGCAAGGAGTAAGGACTGAGCACACATCACCCCAAAAAGGAAAAGAATACCTGCTTAAGGCCGATATTCAGCATTATGAAACTCTCTTATATTCAAAACTCTCAAAGATAAAAACTGGTATCTTAGCATTTATAGGCATTTCCTATATCAATTTGGGTGAGGTTGAGCTTTTTAAGTCCCAAGTGTATTTGTTCATTGGATTTTACAATAGGAAATCTCCAATGACTTGGTAGTCTTGGTTTAAGCAGCATGAAGAAAGGGTAGTCCCCCTTTTTCCTCTGCCATGTTGTGGTGTGAACGTGACTCTTCACCATGTCTTCCCAAAAGACTTTCAGAATCAAGCAGTTCCTGGCCAAGAAACAGAAGCAGAATCAGCCTATTCCTCAATAAAATCAGATGAAAACTGGTAACAAGATCATGTACAACTCCAAGAGGAGGCACTGGAGAAGAACCAAGCTGGGTCTGCAAGGAGAGTCAAAGGAGACACTTGCGCATTTGCTGTGATAGGCTGCTAGGATCTTGAAGACAGCAGGTGGAAAGGCACCACAAGTCTGAAGTCATGTTTCTTTGATTAGGGAATCTGTTCCTCTTCTCTAGCTTCTGTACCTTGTTGCTAACTCAGTAATAAATCTTGTGATACCATGGGGAAAAAGGGTAGTCCCATTAAGACTACCGAGCGATAGCATAGCGGTTAGGGTGTTTCCCTTGCACGCAGCCGACCTGGCCGACCCGAGTTCGATTCCTCCGCCCCTCTCGGAGAGCCTGGCAAGCTACCGAGAGTATCTTGCCCGCATGGCAAAGCCTGGCAAGCTACCTGTGACATATTTGATATGCCAAACACAGTAACAACTCTCACAATGGAGATGTTACTGGGCCCACTCGAGTAAATCCCTAATTACAAAGTAAAAATTAATAAACATGTTACATAAACTATGTAAGTGGTGCAAAGTATAGAGCTTGAAGCAAGCAAGAATTTGACCAAAAGGGAAAGAAAAATCTGCGATGGTTGGAGAGAAGAGTTTCTAAGATGTATTTTAAATAGAGCAGAGGGGCTGGAGAGAGAGTAAAGCAGATAGGGCACTTGCTTTGCTCCAGGTTGACCTGGGTTTGATGATCCCCAGCATCCCATATGATCTTCTGTGCACTTCCAAGAATGATTCCTGAGGGCAGAACCATGAGTAACCCCTGAGCATCCCCAGATGTGGCTCGAAAACAAAAAGAAAAAAAACAACTGAGAAGAAACCTTTAGGACCTTGAGCTATGTTTAAATTTCAGGGTCTTTGGGGTCCAATAGAAATATATGGGAGAGTTAATCCACACAATTGAGTTGGGGGAGGGTTTGAGAGGGAGGGGCTTTGGGTCCTCAGGAGAGGAAGGTGGGCACACTGGTGATAGATGTAGTGCTGGAATTATGTGCCTGAGAACTATTATTAATAGTATTGCTAACCACGAAAATCAAACAATAATAAAATTTAATTAAAAAAATTTCAGAGCCTTTGGGCACTGCCAATTTCTAGCTGAGCAACCTTAAGCAACTCACCCTCTCTGGAGGTTCTCATCTATAACATGGGACTATCAGACCCTATGCCACACAGCTGCTGTAAGGTTCAAATGAGTGAGAATATTCAACAAACTCAGTAAAGGGGCAAGCAAAAATGCCATGCCGCGGGATCTCTTCCCTGAAAACTTCTAGCCGTTTGGAGGGAGAACGAGTTTCCTACAGCATCTTAAGGCTCTGGGTCGCAATGGCGGAAGGTGAGCATTAGGCAAGGTCCCTTATGCGCAAGCGTGCGCAGAGAATTGGGCGGGGTACTCGAGGGGCGGAGCTGCGGCGCCCCGGCTGTTCCGACGATCGCGCACCGCCCCCGCCGCGCCCTGCGCCCGCCCTTGCAAGCAGGCGCCTCCCGCCCCCCGCATTGCTGCTGCTGCTGCTGGCAGACATGGACGTGGTGAATCAGGTACGCGATCCAGCACCGCGGACAGAGCCTGCTGCTGACCGGCCACCCCGCCCCGGGCCCGGGTCGCAGCGGCTCGCCCACCGTAGGAGGTGATAGCCAGGGTCCTAGCAGCGGACATCCAGATCCCCGGCGCTGGGGCGGGGGTCTGCGGCAGGCGAGGGAAGGATGGGGGAGGTGGAGAAGCTGAGTGCGCCCTTTGCCGCAGCGAGGGCCATCCTCCCTGCCGCAGGGGGCGCCGCCAGCTGCCCAATACCTTACCGGGCATCGCGACAGGAGACATAGGGGTCTTGGGACTAGGGTGCCAGGCAAACGGGAAGGGAGGGGAGAGTGGAATGAAGATGAGGGTGCTGCGGCGGAGCTAGGAAATAGAGCGACAGAAGGTTTGGGGGTTGATGGGGGGGGGATGGCACCTACCCCTCCCAAACAGAGCCGGTACCCTAGTGGATGGACCACCTCTTGGACCGGAGCAGACCAAGGGAACGATTCTGTTTTGCCTCTCCCAAACCCCCAGTCTCCCCTCCAACATCGCAGACCCGCTGAAGCCATGTCCTAGCCCCCACCCCACCCCCATCTTAGGCAGTTCAGACCCTCTCTGCCATGTCACTCTTCCTTACCAGCTCAGAACCTCAGCCCACTCTAACCAGTGCCAGACCCTCCCCATCGTCATCACCTCAGACCCCCCCCCCCCATCTGACTCACCTTTCCTGCTGCAGACCCCCTCCCTCTAACCAGCCAACTCCCTCCCCATTATGACTCATATTCACCATCAAAGACCACTTCCCCCACCTCGGAAACCCTAATTCTTCTCACTCTCCATCCCATCTCCTGGGGCATCTGACTCACCTTTACTGTTTCCGACCTTCCCGCAGCCTAACCAAGACAGACTCCATCTGCCTTTTCCCTACCCCTCACCCTTCTCACTGCCTCACCAGGTTCCCAGGTCTCCAGTAGTCCATTCCCCCATCTGCCTCCCTGGGAGTCTCCCGCCAGAGCTGGCTGTGCCTGCACCTTCGACAAAATGTCACTTTCCTCCTTCTCACCCTCTCTCCACACGTCATTCCTTCCCTGAGGTCACATGCCCTATTCCCAAGGGTCATCGCCTGGGGGCCTTGCCCCTTACCTTCCTCTTCATCTCCCCAAACCCTTCTCCCTCCCCGCCATTTTTTCTCCTCAGTTGGTGGCTGGGGGTCAATTCCGAGTGGTCAAGGAGCCCCTTGGCTTCGTGAAAGTGCTGCAATGGGTGAGTGTGGTCTGGGCTATGGAGCGAGGGAGGTAGGATGGTGGAGTCTGGGGGGATGAAAATGGGATGAAGGGGAGAATAAAATCCAGGTATTGAACTCTCTGGGGATTACAGCCAGAGAATATATGGCTGTGATGTGACATCACATAAGGTTAAGGATATCTCTGTTGTGAAGCAGAAGATTGTGACATCCTGCCTCTGCTCCAGAGGTGAGAATCGGGGGAATGGGGGGGGGGGAGAGGGTGGAGCCCAAAGCTGGCTGGGAGGGGATGAGATGTCCAGACAGATAAATCCCCAAGGCAAAGAGAATGAGAAACAGGGCCTGGGGTGGACAGAGATGAGGATATGGAGAAACAAAGTAATAGGGATGAAGGGCTGAACAGATAGTACAGAGGGTAGGGTGCTTGCCTTGCATGTGACCAACCTGGGTTCAATCCCTGGCATCCCATGTGGCCCCCTTAGCACCGCCAGGAGTGATTACTGAGTGCAGAGCCAGGAGTTATCCCTGAACATCGTTGGGTGTGGCCCCAACATGTAAAAAGAGAAAATAGAGGACAGAAAGAGAGAGGACAAACAGAAAGGAACAAAGGGAAGGTAGCCAGAGGAATAGACATGGACATGGAAGCTACAGAGAAACAGACAGAGGAAGAAAGACAGGAAACTGGGCTGGGGGGAAATCAGAGACACTCCCAGAGATAAATCAGAGACACATTCAGAGAAAACACCAGAAGAAAATCCAATACACAGAGAAAGAGATATAACGGAGACAGAGAGCATCATAGAGAGACCTCGCAGAGAGACAATCCAAGAAAGATAAGAACACAATTTGAGAGAGATATATTCACCCAGAGAGAGAGAGTGTGCTCTACTAAAGAGTCAGATACTTGGGGCTGGAGTGATAGTACAGCGGGTAGGGCGTTTGCCTTGGACACGGCCAACCCGGGTTTGATTCCCAGCTTCCCATATGGTCCCCCGAGCCCCGCCAGGAGTAACCCCTGTGCATCGCCGGGTGTGACCCAAAAAGCAAAAAAAAAAAAGTCAGAGACAGACACGAAGCTGAGAAACAGGTACTGAGAAAAACAAAAGCACACCGGAAATGAACAGAGAGACACCAAGAGAAAGAGAGATGCAGAGACACACAAGAAACCCAGAGATAGAGCTAGTCAGAGAAATATACTGAGACATGCAAAGGGAGAAGATAGGGGTTCAGAGCATGGAAAGTTGGAGATAAGAGACACTGGAAGAAGAGACAGCCACACCCCTATAATCAGCTTGTCCTTGGACCCAGATGAGCCCTGATTAGGGGACATGGGAGGGGGTGAGAAAGACCCGTCCATCTGCTACTGCCTTGCTGGGCCCCAATCTGTCCAGTGGAGGGCACCCCCTCCCATCCATATGCACATAGGCTCATTGTGGCCATCCCTATTCCTCCTCCCCAAGGTCTTTGCTATCTTCGCCTTTGCCACATGCGGCAGTTACAGTGGGGAGCTCCGGCTGAGCGTGGAGTGTGCCAACAAGACTGAGAGTGACCTCAGCATCGAGGTGGAATTCGAGTACCCCTTCAGGTGTGCTCCCAGCCCAGTCCCTACTGAGGGAGTCCCAACAGAGCTGGGAGTGGGGTGGGAAAACCAATGCCCACTCACCCATCTCTGCCTGTGGCTCTGGTCCAACCCTCACTTCAGGAAACCATACCCATTCGGGTCACTGCACAGGCACTGAGAGACTGCCTTGTGCCTGGCATTACTCTAGACTTCCAGGACATGTGGTGAGCAAGACACAGACAGGCATCTGCCTTCTGGCTATGTTCTATGAAGGGAAGGCACAGAGAAAGACAGTAAACAAGATTCAAGGGGGCAGAAAAATAGTTCAAGAATGTATTTGCCTTGCACTCAGCCAAGCCTGGTTAGATCCCTAGCACCGCATAGGTTCCAACAAGTACTACTGGATGTGACCCCTGAGCCAGGAGTAAGCCCCAAACAGCAAAGTATGAGACCCTCTCACCAAAAAGCATTTTAGGGGCCAGAGTAGTAGTACATCAGGTAGGGTGTTTGCTTTGCATGCATCTGGCCAGGGTTCAATACCCGATACCCTATATGGTCCCCTGAGCACTGCCAGGAGTGATCCCTGAGTGCAGAGCCAGGAGTAAGCCTGAACACTGCCGGGTATAGCCCAAAAGACAAACAAAAACCCAATTCAAAAGCAAAATATAGGGACCGGAGAGATAGCACAGCCTTGCATGCGGCCAACCCGGGTTCGATTCCCAGCATCCCATATGGTCCCCTGAGCACTGACAGGAGTAATTCCTGAGTGCAGAGCCAGGAGTAACCCCTGAGCATCACTGGGTGTGACCCAAAAAAGCTTAAAAAAAAAGCAAAATATATATTATTATCTATGTATTTTAAGGATATATAAAGAACATATTTTATATGTTTTATATATACATATATCCTTAACACAGTAGATGCTCAAATAATGTCACAAATTTTTGTTTTTATTCATTGCATACACTTTTAAAAAAAAGAACCTATTGTATGCAGGGTACTGTTCAAATGACTGGGGCTATAACAGTGCAATAACAGACCCACCATCATCCCCTCAGGGAACCAATACTGCAGCAAATAAATTAAGAAAGAGGATTATGCTACACTAGAAGAAATTAAAGCAAGGGATCCTCCTGCAGGTTTTAGGGTCAAGAGTAACAAATGGTGATGCCTAGCAATGGGCAGTGATCAAACCCAGTTACATCGCTGGGATATTGATAGAGCCCCTCCTGTGTGCCAGGCACTGTATGTGGCTCTAGGTTTGTGGCAGTGAGTACAGCCAGGCAAGGTCCCGGTCCTCACAGAAATGCTTAACTCTTAGTTTGGGGGAATGCAGAGTCCGACAGGCACAATTTCAAATGAAACTTCTGATTGCTTCTCTTCTACTCAGACAAATCACATCACAACTCCAGCACTCAATGCCCTGTCTCTCTAAGAGAGAAAAATTATACCCACTTCACAGACTCCTGGAGAACATTTAGTGTGTTAATAGTTGAAAAGCCTTGAGAACGTGGGGCAGGGAACACAAGAAGTGCTTCCCTGAGTATGTTAAAATAACTTTTTAAAAAAGCAACTTTAGAGGCTGGACAGATAATACAGCAGATAAGGTATGTGCCTTCCATGCAGCAGATCCAGGTTTAATCTCCATATCCTGAGCCCTGCCAGTAGTGATTTCTGAGCACAGATCCAGGAGTTACCCCTGAGCACCCCCTGGTGTGGCCCCCCAAAATAATAAGAAGAAGAAATTTAAGGGACTTTGGAGCAAAGTCGGGGATGGAGCCGGAAATGGAGAGGTTTTGAACACTAAGGGAAAAGTATATTCAGGAGATTCCTTAGGGTGAGGGGGATAGAACATGGAAAGAAAATGAGGTCTCAGGGGACTGAAGCAATAGTACAGTAGGTAGGGTGTTTGCCTTGCACGCAGTCGACCTGTGTTCGATCCTTAGCATCCCATATGGTCTCCCAGCACTGCCAGGAGTAATTCCTGAGTGAGAGCCAGGAGTAACCCCTGAGCATCTCTGGGTATGACCTAAAAAGCAAAAAAAAGGAAAAGAAAAATAGCAAATGAGGTCTCAGGGGTCAAGGGAAGAAACTTGGAGTAGGAGGGGAAGTTTGCTGCAAGGAGTCAGCTGAGAACAGCCCCTGGAATTCACAAGCGCACTATCTCCCTTAGATGCTGCCACTTCTAGGATCTCGGGTTCTGAGGTCCTGCCCTTTAGCCACAAACCTGGGGAGGAGTACTCTTTGTCCTAAGTTTTCCTGAATATCCCTTCCACTATCCTGATAACCCCCCAAGGACCTCTTATCCCCTGACACATACCCCCTCTGCTCAACCAGCAAACTAGAAAGCTCCCAGCTCCAGCTTTTAGAAGCTGCACTACCTTGATCAAGTAAGTTTCCCTTCCTGAGCTCATCTGCAAAATGGTTATTACAGAGCTACCCTAGGGAACTGCAGAGGTGGGTGTTAGTAAAGCAGACAATGAGGTAGTGTTTAAGGGGTGACCAAGAAGGCTGAGGCCCTTCCCTGCATACAAGGACACTGGAACATGTTTTATCACTGCTTCCTGTCCCCCAAACTGAGGCCAGAGAGCTCTGGGACCCTACTCCAGCCCTTCTCCCCATGCACAATATCTCTCTATGTGCCACCAAAACACCGGAGCCTCACCTGATCCTTCTTCCCTTCTGTCTTTCTCCTCCTATGTTGTAGTTGTTGGGCTCTTCTCAACATATATTTCTTTTCCTCCCAGAGACTGGAAGTGGCTTAGGGATAAGGTCCAATACAATGTGGAGCAGAGGTCCCCAAACTTGTTGAGCCTACCACCTCCTTTTCAGAAAAATATCACTCAGCACCTCCAGTTGCCCTTCTTGGAACCTGAGAGATAGTATAGCAGAGAGGATGTTTGCCTTGCACTTGACTGATCCAATTCCATCCTTAGTATCCCTTAGGTGTTTGCCTTGCACTTGGCTGATCCAGATTCCATCCCTAGTATCCCTTTGGTCCCCCAAGCCCTGCCAGGAGTGATCCCTGAGCACAGACAAGCCCTGAACACAGTTGGGTGTGGTTCCAAAACAAAAAAAATTCCTTCTTTAAGTGAACAAATAGAAAGTGAACCTCCAATTGCATGAAAGACTACTGCTGCCTCTCATCATTGTTTCAGTGCTACCCTGAGAGGGGGCTGTTATCACCCACTTTGGGAGGCTCTGTAGAGGGAGAACATAGGGTTCAGGTTCCAACTCTGCCATTCTCTCAAGAGCTGGGTGGCTTCAGGCTAGAGAATGTATTTCACTCTACCCGTTCCCATCTCTGGATGGTTTGTTTCATAAACACTTCCTTAGCGCAGCGGGCAGCCCTGTTACAGGCTCCAGGGATACAGCAATGAACACAAAATAGGAGAAAACCCTGCTTGCTTGTAGTTACAGCAAAACTCAAGGGATCAAAAGGAAAATGCAACCATTGGACATAGATAATATGGCACCAAAAAACAAAGAGGGATCAGAGAGACAGTTTGAAGGGCTGAACATGTATTTTGCACGCAAGAGGCCTGGGTTCTATTACTGGCTCCACAAGGTCCCCCATGCACTGCCAGGAGTGAACTCCAAGCAACTTGGAAATGTTTAATTTATGCTAATTTAATTGGGCAGGATACTGGGACTAGAGAGATAGTACAGAGGGTAGGCACACAGCCAACCCTAGGTTCAATCCTCGGCACTTTATATATTCGCCTGAGCCCTGCCAGGGAATGATCCCCATGTGTATAGTCAGGAGTTAGCTCTGCAAACTGTCGGGCATAGCCCTAAAACTAATAATAATAATTTGGGATCACAGTCATAAGTATTCCAGGAATATCTCCACTTTAGTGCCCATGGGACCATGCAGTGCTAGGGTTGGAATCAGGCCTTCTGCATATAAAGCAGGCATTCAGTTCAATAAGCTCTGTCTCCAGCTGTCAATTTCATTTTTAACAATGAAATCAGGGGCAGAGAGATAGTACAGGGGGCAAGCCACTTGTCTTACATGTGGCTAACCCAGGTTTGATCCCCAATACCACAGAGGGTTCCACAAGCCCTTCCAGGAGTGGTTCCCAAGCACAGAGTGAGGAGTAAGTCTTGAGTACGGCCAGGTGTGCACCCACAATCCAAAATAAATAAATAGAGAGGTCAGGGAAGGCCTCACTGAGAAAGTATCTGTGGGGCTAAAACTAGAAGGTGACAGAGTAAGATGTCTAGAAAAGCATTTCATTTACAGATCCTGGGGTGAGATGGTGCTTGGCTGATGAACCAAGAGGCTAAAAGGGGGACTGGAGAGATAGTACAGCAGGTAGGGCACTTATCTTGTACATGGCCAACCTCAGTTCAATACCTAGCGCCCCATAGGGTTCCTTGAGCCCACCAGGAGTGATCCCTGCATGCAGAGCCACCAGGAGTAAGCTTTGAGCACTGTCAAGTGTGGGCTAAAAAACAAAACAAAGCAACAGAAGGGAGCTGTAGTGATAGTACATAAGGTAGGTTATTTGCCTTACACACAGCTGACCCAACTTCAATCCTCAACATCCCATATGGTCCCCGAAGGACTGCCAGGAGTGATTCCCAAGTGCAGAGCCAGGAGTAACCCCTGTGCGCCTCTGGGTGTGACTTAAAAACTAAACAAAACCAAAAAAGCATAAATAAGAGGCTAAAGGTCTAGAGTGGGAGTAGGGATGAGTAAGACCTGTCTCTCCAGGAGACTGTGAACAATTATTAAAGTTGCGTGGGTACACAATCAGTGCTCTGTGAATGGGTATGGTTTCCTCTTCCTGTGACTATAAGAATCTGGGGGACCCATGACTGGGCAGAGGAGTGGGGGAGGGGAGAGGTCCATAGGTTCTGGGCAGTACCTACCCCCCTCTCTCCACAGGCTGCACCAAGTGTATTTTGATGCACCCACTTGCCGAGGAGGTACCACCAAAGTCTTCCTGGTAGGCGACTACTCATCATCAGCCGAGTTCTTTGTCACAGTGGCTGTGTTTGCCTTCCTGTACTCCATGGGGGCTCTGGCCACCTACATCTTTCTGCAGAACAAGTACCGAGAGAACAACAAAGGGCCCATGCTGGTGAGCACCCCCCAGCCCCCAGACATGTGCATGTAGAGGCCAGAGGCCATGGAGCCTCAGGGTCACCACCCCATCCCTCAACTATACACCAAACACCATCCAAGGGACTGGGCAGCAAGTAGGGCATTTGCCTTGCACATTGCCAACCCAGGTTCAATCCCTGGCATCCTATAGGTTCCCCAGAGTCCACTGGGAGTGATCCCTGATTTAAAAATCAGGAGGAGTAAGCCCTGAGCACTGCAAGGTGTGGCCCAAACCCCCATTCAAAAAAAGTCCCAGCTAGGACCCTATGTCAGCTATTGCCTTGCATAGAAATCTCACATTTTATTGCTGCTATGGGTAATAGGGATACCAAATCAGACAGTGGCAGGACCACATTCAGATCCATACAGGCCTACAGTGGAAACCTGCCACCTCTCACAGTGCTACAGATGAAAGCAAAGAAAGGAACTCACAGAACTGATCATACTAGTCATGCTTGTCCTCAAGCCATACAGACACTGATTCCTACACAACTGAGCTCGTGTACCCCCGTCCCAGACATGAAATGACACACATTCCCACATTCAGGAAAATGAAGACCTGGAGCTTTTTATGGACTCAGACATCCTCCTCACAGAAGTGCCTACACCAACACCTACAGATCGAGGCATGCTTCCACATTCTCTTTGTCCTGGCCATGTAGATAAGCCTGAAAGAAGGAAAACACCCTCACATGAAAGTCTGAGGGTATACTGAGTTGAAACGGTAGAGGATGGGGCTGGAGAGATAGAATAACTTGCCTTGCATGTGGCTGATCTGTGTTAGATCCTTGGCACCCTGTATGGTCCCCTAATACCTGCCAGGAGTGATCCCTGAGCATGGAACTGGGAATAAGACCTGAGCACCGCTGGGTGTGGCAAAGAAAGGAAGGAAGGAAGGAAGGAAGGAAGGAAGGAAGGAAGGAAGGAAGGAAGGAAGAAGAAATGGTAGACAAAGGGACCAGAGAGAGTATAGGGGTGAGGCATTTACCTTATATGTGGTTGATCCAGGTTCAGTCATCCCTGGCACTGAATATGGTCCCTTGAGCCCTGCCAGGAGTGATTCCTGAGCACGGAGCCAGGAGTATACCCTAGGCACCATTGGGTTTACCCAAACATCAAAATAAAGAAGGAAAGCAAAGATAGGGGAGGGTTGAGGAGATAGCTCAAAGCTCTGGAGCACAAGCTTTGCATAAGAAAAACCTGGTTAGAATCCCAACACCATATGGCTCCCTGAGCACTGGTCAGGGAGTAGCCCCTGAGCACTTCTAGTTGTGCTCCCCCAAAAGAAAATAGTGGTAGGGGTGATCCAGGACTCTTCTGGAGCCCTCTGCCAAAAAAGACAGTGGTCTGAGGAGTTTTACAGCCCAGCAAGAAGCAGCCCTTCACAATGCCTTTGCTTTGCTCCCTGCCTGCCCTAGGACTTCCTGGCCACGGCAGTGTTCGCCTTCATGTGGCTGGTTAGCTCATCAGCATGGGCTAAGGGTTTGTCAGACGTGAAGACAGCCACTGACCCAGAAAACATTATCAAGGAGATGGTTATCTGCCGCCAGGCAGGGACTACCTGCAAGGAGCTGAGGGACCCTGTGACCTCTGGCCTCAACACCTCGGTGGTAAGCCCTGGGAAGCTGGTTGAGCTGCTGGGGCAGCTGTGGAGGGAGGCTGGGGAACGTACAGTCTATCATGGGTAATGATGGAGGGAGAGAATCAGAGGAAATCCAAGAGGGCTGTCTAAAGGAGGCATGCCAACAACAGATTTGTAGTCCGTGAAATAGCACTGTAATATCAAAGATTGACCTAAGAGAGGAAGCCAAGAAGTGCTATTCAGTTTGGTTTGGGTGACCTGGATCTCAGGCCCAGCCTTAGGTTCTCAGAATCTCTGGCAACTCACTACCCTCTTGGGACCTCAATTTTCTTCCGTGCAAAATGAATGGATGCCCCCTACTGGCCCAAGTCAGGCTGTGACCTCAAATCTTAGCGCAGCTTCATGACCTGAAATGAGTCTCAGGACTGCTGCAATGTGTCAATTGAAAGCCGATAGGTCAGGCTTTGCACACCCCCCCCAAAAAAATGTGTACACGATAATTCATGGCACATGGTAATCCTATATATGCATTGCACATGTTAACTTCTAACTCACAAAACACACTTGATGGTTTTGAGACTTTGTGCAACTCAGCTTCTCTGGACCTCTTTTCTCAACTGAAAAGTGGAGACACTACTTCCTGTCCCAAGATGAAAATTTCAGGGCCAGAGAGATAGCACAGCTGGCAGGGTGCTTGCCTTTCATGAGGCTGATCTGGGTTCCATTCCTGGGACTGGACTCCTGAGCACTGCTTGTTGTGGCTAAAAAACAAAAAAAAATTCTAAAAATTTGCATAAGAGAAACCTGGTTAGAATCTCAACACCACATGGCTCCCTGAGCACTGGGAAGGGAGTAGCCCCTGAGCACTGCTAGATGTGGCCCCCCCAAAAAAAGAAAACAGTGGTAGGGGTGATTCAGGACTCTTCTGGAGCCCACTGCCAAGAAAAACAGTGGTCTGAGGAGTTTCACAGTCCAGCAAGAAGCAGCTATTTATATAAATTTTCATATATTTATTAATATTAATGTGTATAAGGTCCAGATGGCTCACAATGCTGGAATGCATGCTTTGTATGCAGGAGACTTAAGTTTGATCCTTGGCACCTCATGGTTCCCTGAACACTGCCAGGAATGACCCCTGAGTACAGAGCTGGGAGTAGCCCTTTAGAGCGCCATGTGTGGCCCCCCAAAACCAACCCCCAAAAGTTTATATTATATATATGATATATGTGAACTTATTTTTGTATGTCCATATGTGTGTTTATATTCATTAGTGGCTCATCAACAAATTTAAAACACTTCACATTTTGCTATATTAGAAATTTACATTTGACTATTTGTACATGTATATGCATGTGTGTAATATGTACATATGCACATATATAAACACATAAATGTCATGAAAGACTGCAAAGTCCCGGAAATCTGAATTCCAACACCCCTTGCCTGTTCCCCTCGCCCTCGAAGTGATATTTCTGTGCGTGCACGTTCAAAAGCAGGGGCTCAGAAGGTAAGCGGTTTGGAAACCCCTATTCCCCAGGAACAGCTTCTCCCCTGGCGCAGGTTTGGAAACCCCCATCCCCCACCCTCAGGAACTTGTGCAGGATTCTCCCCGGGGGCCGCCAAGGCAATGGTCGCGGGACTTTTTCTCCCTGGCTTTTTCTCCCCGCAGGTGTTCGGCTTCCTGAACCTGGTGCTTTGGGTGGGCAACCTGTGGTTCGTGTTCAAGGAGACAGGCTGGGCCGCTCCATTCCTGCGCGCTCCTCCCGGCGCCCCCGAAAAGCAACCCGCGCCTGGGGACGCCTACGGCGATGCGGGCTACGGGCAGGGCCCCGGCGGGTACGGGCCCCAGGACTCGTACGGGCCCCAGGGCGGCTACCAGCCCGATTACGGGCAGCCCGCAACCGGCGGTGGCGGTGGCTACGGGCCTCAGGGCGACTATGGGCAACAAGGCTACGGCCCTCAGGGTGCGCCCACCTCCTTCTCCAATCAGATGTAGTCTGGTGAGTGATGGGCAGGCAGTGCGGCCAAAGAGGATACAAGAAAGGAGGGCGGGGGTCCTATAAACCAATAGGAATCAGGATTAAATGGTACTTCGGGAGAAGCCAGACTAGAAAAGGTGGGAGGGGGGAGGACAATGGGCAGGTGGAGCTACAGCCTAAGGACGGAAAAACTAGCCAATGAGTGGAGAGCTGGGACGGGTGCTTGAAAATAGGCAGAGTAAAGAACCAATGGAAGAGAGTTGATGAGCAAGCTCTCGCACAGAGCGTAGGGAGAGAGAAGCTGGCAGAGAAACCGGTAGTCGCTAGCTAGAGAACTTCCGTAGCGTATTAAAGTACGAGTAGAACACCAGAGCCACAAAATAGGAGAGGGGGTGGGTCTAAGATGTGATTGATGCGCTTGTAAGTCATGATACTACTGGTGAGTGTAAATGGGCTTGGCTCAAGCTCGCCAAACCGGATGAGGTGCTAGATCTGTCGCTTCTCTCTACCCCTTGAGGTGAGAGCCAGGGTGTATGGAATTTCAGGGAGGGAAGAGGGGTGGGGCAGAAGCACGGGCCAGGCTTGCTGGCCTGGCAGAGACTTCAGTGATAATGAGGGGCCGGTGACTGCAGCGTGCAAGGCCATCCCAGCACCACATTTGGTTCCCTGAGCACAGACTGGACTAAGCCCTGAATACAACCGAGTGTGGCCCCCAAACCAAAAACTGAAGCAATAGTACAGTGGATAGGGTGCTTGCCTTGCATGAGGCCAACTCAGGTTCAATCCCCAGCATCCCATATGGTCCCCCTCCAGGAGTGATCCCTGAGTGCAGAGCCAGGAGTAAGCCCTGAGCACCGCCAGGTGACCCTCAAAACATTTTATGGGGACTCAGATATAACCAGAAGAGGCAGGGATGTCTGGAGAACGAGCAAAGACACGTGGGTAGAGGGAGGTTTCTGGCACTTGACCAGCACATAAGGAGCAGAGAGGAGTTAATTAGGCATCCCACATCCAATTCAAAACAAACACCGTGGAGCCACCAATTATTGGCTTTACCTTCCAGAAATAATAGCCACCATAGGGGGCCAGGGCACAGTGGGTAGGGCTTTTGCCTTGCACATGGCCAGCCTGGATTTGAACCGTGACATCCTATAAGGTCCTCTGAGCACTGCCAAGAGTAATTCCTGAGTGCAGAGCAAGGAGTAACCCCTGAGCATCACTGGATGTGATCAAAAAACAAGAAAAAGGAAAAGTATAGCTACCTTCATCCCACTTTTCACCTAGTCTCCCCTGGGCCTCTTCATTCAAATCCCCATTTCCATTCTGTGCACTGAAGGGATCCTTTTAAGTCCTAAATTAGGCCAAAGTACTTATGGACTCAAGTGCTCTGATCAGATTAAGAGCAAATGCTTTTGTGACTGAAGAGATAGTATAGTGGTGGAGTGTTTAACTTGCAAGGTCCAGCCCCACCAAGAACAATCCCTAAGCACAGAGCCAGGAATAAACCCTGAAAACTTCCCCTCAGGCAATGACTGTAAGGCCCACAAGGTCCTATGCAATCTAGCCGCACTCCTCCCTTCTCTGACCACGCATCTCCTACCACTCCCCAAAGACCACTCTTCTCCAGCCATACTGTTCACCTCCAAGGCCAAGCACAGTCCAACTTCAGGCCTTGCACCTTTCCTTCCCTTTAGAGTTTTTCTTTCTCCCCTCCCCACATGCTCTGATAATCTGATGACCTTTCCCTGACCAGCTCATTTTCATCCTTTGACTTAATGGATTTTCGTGACTACCTTGTCTAAAATAAGGCCTCTTTATTAAGTCTGTCATATTACCTGGTACTTTTCTTTGTTGCAGCCCGTAATTATTAGTTTATATGTTTGACTGTCACTCCACTACATTTATAAGATGTGATCAAGAATTACTCATGTTGTGAACACATCACTTGGGGCCAGAGTGATAGTACAGTAGGTGGGGTGATTTCCTTGAATGTGAACAACTCAGGTTCAATCCCCAGTATCCCATAAGGTGCCCTGAGCACTGCCAGGAGTGATTCCTGAGTATAGAGCCAGGAATAACCAGAGTAGTGGGGGGAGTGACCCCAAAACAAAACAAAACAATAAATAAATAGATATTTGGTGCAAAGAGATAGTATGTGAGTTAAGGCATTTGCCTTGTACATGGCCAAGTCTGGTTAGGTCTCTGGCAATGGATATGGTCTCCCATGTGTTGCTGATTCTTGAACCCAGAGAACCAGAAGTAGCCCCAAAATACTTTTTTTTTTGCTTTTTGGGTCACACCCGGTGATGCACAGGGGTTACTCCTGACTTTGCACTCAGGAATTACTCCTGGCGGTGCTCAAGGAACCACATGGGATGCTGGGAATTGAACTCAGGTCGGCTGGGTGCAAGGCAAACGCCCTACCCGCTGTACTATCACTCCAGCCCCCCAAATACGTTTTTAAAAGCCTCAAAACTCCTTGAGTTGATCACCAACTGCTAGTACAATACCTAGTAATTTACAATTGGTTAGTGGAAGGGGGAACCCTACTTGGGAGGGAGGCAAGGCGTAGCTTACTGGCTGGCAGGGGTAGCTGGAATAAGCTGACACAGGACTATGAATGGAGGAAGAAGGAAGCTATGCCAGGCTGGAAGCCTAGGGGCCCATCTCCTATGGAGACCCCATGAGTCTGGACCCCCTCTCCTTTCTGTCTTTTGTCTCCACAGGACAATGCACCCCTGGAGGACCCCATTGGTAGGCGAGAGCTCAGGAGAAGGCCTGCCCTCCCTTCCCACCCCTAGACCCCAGGTCTCCATCCCTCAAGTCAGGAGGCCCTTAACCGTCTTTGCTGTTTATATATATATATATATATTATATATAAATATTTATCTGTCTCTGCCCTGTCCCCACTCCACTCCCCTCGTGCATTAGGGACTGATCTTGTGTGAGACATTCTCTTACCCCAAACTCTGCCCCTTTTTCCTTTGGCCCCTCTCTGTTCCCTGGCCCAGAGCCCTAAGGTTGGGAGACTCTGAAAGGGGGGACATGGAGTGGAGACCTGGGGGATGTGGGGAGGGCCTGACTTGAGACTTCCTCTTTGCATCTCTGGCCTTGATTCTTGCAATACTGAAACAGGAGACAAGAGAAGAAATTTAACTCTGAGATTGGAAGAAAGGCAGAAATTGGAGATCTTGGAGCAAAGGGACTAGTGATCAGAATGGACAGGGCTCTGGACATACTGGAGTTAAAGTTTAAAGGAGGATGCCCTGGAGCATTCTGGAACAAGTTTGGAAAGAGACTGAGGATATGGTTGTAAGAGGAGGTAGCTTTGAATGAAACAGTAGGTGGGCCCCAGAGTGGGCAGGGATTGGAGTAGAATGGGTTGTAACTTGGGGCTTGGACATAGGGTTCAGAAGAAGGCTGAAGCTTGGTTCTAGAAGAGGTCGAGCTTGAACCAGTCTGTGGGTGAGGTTTCTGAGTGAATAATTCTGGAATGGGTACCAAAGTCTGTGGGAGGGGTATGACTTGGCACCTCTGGAGGATTGAGTTTAATTCGAAAGCAGGATGATCTTGGGCCAGGCCAAGAAGAATGGGCTAAGGTTGGCTAAGGTTGTGGTCAGGCCTCTAGATGGGGTCAAGCTCAGCTTGGGGATATCCATGACCTTTTCAGATGGGGCAACCCACCCTGCATGTAATCCTTAAAAAACTGTTTGAAATAAGGCAGGTCTGTGTTGGGGAAATAGCTCAAAAGAGCTGGAACATGTGCTTTGCATGCCCAAGCCCCTCTGGGTACCTCCAGGTGTAGGCCTCCTCTGCCCCAACAAAAATGGGGATGGATTTGGTAGTAAGGGAATAAACAGACTTGGCTTGGGGCTGCAGGATGGATTTTCTTGTGAATGGAGGGGTGAATCGCTGGCGGAGGCTGGGACTGAGCCCAGGAAGACCCTAGGAGTATGGCTTTGAATATCAGGGATGGGATCCAGAGACAAGTGCTACCCATACACGTACTTTGCCCACCTCAGAAACAGGACAGGTAATCAGAGGACAGAGTCAACAGATCTAAAAGGGCCTGCCCACCCCTCTTCTTCCCTTGCCTCCTCCCTTCCCTCCATACCCCCAGTCCCAGTCCGGGGTGTTTGGAGGCCTGGTCTGGAGCCCCCTATCCTGCACCAACCTCTGCTGTGTCTGTGACGTTGGTAGTGCCAGTGATCGTGCGTTGCCATTTTGTCTGGCTGTGGCCCTAACCCCTCCCTCCAGACCTCCCCCTTACCCCTCCCCTGCCCTTTGGTATTGTTTGAAGACTCCCCTCCCACAGGAAGAACAAATCTGATCAATTCTCCTTCCCGAAATAAACTCCTTAACCACCTAGACCACATGACTCTGACTTCTCAGTGTGTCTTATTTCTGTTCATTTTATGGAACAATGTATCTTCTTTGCAGGTGGAAGTGGTGGGAAGGGAGAGAGAGAGGAGGCACCAGAAAACTTTGGCCCTTTGTCTGGAGTGATAATACTGAACGTAAGGTGCTTGCCTTGGATATACCCCCACTAGATTTGATCCCTAGCACCTCCTATGGTCCTCCAAGCACCACCAGGAGTAACTCCTAAGTGCAGAGCCAGGAGTAAGCCATCAGTATCTCCAGGTGTGGCCCCAAATGCAAAAATAAAGAAAAAGAAAATGGGGCTGGAGCGACAGCACAGCGGGTAGGGTGTTTGCCTTGCATGCGGCCAACCCATGTTCGATTCCCAGCATCCCATATGGTCCCCTGAGCACAGCCAGGAGTAATTCCTGAGTGCAAAGCCAGGAGTAACCCCTGTGTATTGCCGGGTGTGACCCAAAAAGCAATAAATAAATAAATAAATAAATAAATAGAAAACTCGACCATTCTACCTGCTGGCCACTGTTGTTCAACCAATCCCACCATTTAACTTATTTATTTAGGTTTGGGGATCACACATAACAGTGTTCAGGCTTACTCCTGGCTCATGCACTCAGAGATCACTCATGGCAGGGCTGAGACACCATATGGGGTGCTGGGGGTCGAACCTGGGTCGGCGGAGTGCAAAGCAAGTGCCCTACCTGCTGTACTCACCACCCCACCATTTTAACTCCCTCCAACAATGTTATGCTGAGCAAGGCAGCTTCTGAAAGCCTCCCCTGTGGATCATTCCAGATCACACTCCTCTCAGCCCTGCCCAATTGCTCCAGTGAATGCCCTCTTTCTAGGATTTGGTTCTAATTCTACTCCCTTACCCATGGGCCTCCTAGTCCTTGTGGGCCACTCCCACCCTCCTCAGATGCCCAAGGAATCCGAATCTTCAGTGCTTTCCGTTTCATTTTTTTGCTTCTCCCTCAGCGGGAGAACTAAGAGACCAGTTTTGAGGGTGTTCATTCATCTCAGCCCTTTCACCCTTCGCTTGGCAACGCCCCAGCCCAGGAGGGGCGGGAAGTGGCAAGAACCTACGTCACGCGGTGGAGGGGGGCGAGGGCCGGGGCGCCTATGATGATGAAAGACTCATCTGATGGCCGCCAGCGCCTAATTAGGGACCCCGCCGGGCGGGCGCCTGGGTTCTGATGACGGGCGGGAACCCCCATCCACCCAACCCCCCAGGCACAGCGAAGCCTGAGAGCACACGGCAGAAGCTCGCCGCTCTGGGACTGAGCTCCAGAGTTGTTGGGGGGTGGGGGAGGGGGAGGGGGGGAGGAGATTTTGAACCTGAGTAAAATGGAAGCAGGGGAAACGGAATTCAGATCTTCAGGACTGAGGAGCAGGACAGCGGGGCGGAATGCGAAAGGAATGGGGAGCCAGGCAGGAATCTGTGAATTAGAACCTGGCCTGTGATGTTCTCTCCAGAAATCTCAACTAATCGTGGTACTGAGAGGGTTGGGGCGGGGAACGGTGATCAGGGCTAGCTCTCTGATGAAGGTGAAGAAGCACCCCAACTGGGCCTGCGATGAGTTTAGGGACCCTCCTCACAGAGTTCATCAGAATAGCAGTGTGGAGGAAGTCAAGGTGGGCCTTAACCCCCCACCAAACCACCAAATAAGCGTGCAAGAGAAGGCGACATGAAGTGTCCATACAAATATCCTAGCGAGGGCTGGAGCGATAGTGCAGTGGGTAAGGCACCTGCTTAGCACTCGGTCAACCCAGGTTCGATCCCTGACATCCCATATGGTCACTCTGCCCTGCCAAGAGGGATACCTGAGCACAGAGCCAAGAGTAAGCCCCGAGCACCGATGGATGTGCGCCCGCACCCCGGAAAAAATAGCAAATACCCAGACAGATCACAAACCTGGCATGTGTCAGGTCCCGAGATCGATCCCCGTCACCACAAACACCACAAACACCACCTCTTACTGTTGGGTCGCTACTCCCAAGTTTCCCTTCCTCCACTGTCAAGGTCTTACGCTATGACGCTCTGGGAGAGGCCACGGGACACCTTGAGATGGGCGGGGGCGGGGAGGGGGTGCAGTCGGCTGCTCCGCAGCTACCGAGGGCTGCGGAGTGCTTGGGCCTTGTGCTGCACCGCGGGGTGCCCCTCCCCTCGAGGCCGGCCGGCCGACGGGGGCCGAGGGGGGGCGGACCCTGAGAGTTGCGCTCCTCCCACACCGGTGTCGGGTTTACGGAACCCAGTTCCCCCACCGGCCGGACGCGCGATGACCTGACGGCCGCGAGGATCCCGTCCGCCTGACCCGGCCCGGCTCGACCCTGTCCAGCCGCGCCATGTTCGCGCGGGGTTCCCGGAGGCGTCGCTCTGAGCGCGCGGTGAGCGGGACTTAAGGGAAGGGATGGGGGGACGGGGGTAAACTGAGGCCCAGGACAGGAGGCAGAGGAGATTGAGCATACGCCCCTTGGAGGGGATGGAAATCCGTTTCCCCAAGCTTCCTCGACCAGAAAGGCAGGGGCTGCTGCTGGAAGCGTGTGGATCAATTAACAACGTAGAGATATAGCCCAGGACCCCGAATCGTCTCTCCGCAGCCCCTTCATCCGCACCCCAGCGCCTTCCCTTTCCCGGTTGTGTGAGTTATGATGGAGTTTGGGGTTGAGGGTCAAAATATTGAGCCCTTTGGCCCCTAGGAAAGGGACCTCCCCTCCACCTTGTCAGAGGGTAGACTAAGGAATGAATTCACACGTTCTTGGGGTACTACAGTACTGAGGGTCAAGGTTTTGAAGGAAAAGGGCTTCCACGTCAGCTGGGGAGCTTTTTTTGTGGGGCACACCCGGCGGTGATCAGGGCTTACTCCTGGTTCTACGCTCAGGGATTAGTGGACCATTTATGGTGCCGGGGATTGAACCCGGGCTGCCTGCGTGCAAGTCAAGCAAGCGCTGTACTGTTGCTCAAGCCCCTCCCTAGTCGTGGGGATTTTGGTCGCCTGGGTAGGATGGTCTTCTTATTTGGAAGGGTTTTCTAGGTAAGGGCAGATAACTCAAAGAGCTGGATTCCTGTGCCCCCTCATGGGCCCCACCCACCGTCCAGCACCACCAGGAATTCCCCCAAGGCTTCTCCAGGTGGGGGCCTGGGTTTCTTGTCTAGTCCTAAAATATAGGGCTACATAGATCTCAAAGAAGAGTGAGCTGGGTTTCTGGAAGGATCAGGGACTACTGAGATCCCTAGGGGAAATTCTCCAGTTGCATAGGTCTGAGAGGGTGATGCCAGCATTTGGGTGAGCTTCTGAAAAGAGGGGCAGTGGGGAGTCCCCAGTGAGAATGGGGAGTCTCAGACTCCCTGACTGTGGAAGCAAACTGTTGTCGCCCTGAGTGGAAAGGGACTGCAATGAGGACCGGTAGAGGCGACTTAGTTCGCGGAGATGTGTTGGGGACCTGGATGAGGCAGAGGCTGGTGGGAGCCCTAAGCTGGCCTGGGAGGAGAATTCCTGGAAAAGTGAGTATATAGAAAGGTGGCATCAGCCGCCCCGCCTCTACCTGGATTGTGTCCCCCTCCCGCATGCTCCGGGCCTTGTCCCAGCCTGCCCAGCATTGCCCAGGTGGGACATGCCGCAGCCTGTGGTACATGGCTGGCGTCGTAGTGGAGAGGTGGGCGTTGACTTCTCCCTCCCGCCCCACCCCCGCGCCGCGCCCTGTCCCGCACCTGCCCCCGCCCACCACAGCCTCCAGAAGCTGAGGACCCTGACCGGGGCCAACCCTGCAACTCCTGTCGAGATCAATGCCCCGGCTTCCTGCTTCACGGCTGGAGGTAGGTGACCAGGCTGAGGTCTTACCTGGGTAAGCCCCGCCCTCGGGGGAATCCCCCAGAGAATCAGGTCAAGCCTCTCTGCTTGCTCCCACCCACCGGCTTGCTCCCACCCACCGTGGGAGCTCAGTTGGGAAAAACTCAGATCATGAGCCCGCTCTCCCCTCAGCTCTGTTGTGACTCATTCCTTATTGTTCAGTTCCCGGGAGGGCCCCACCCACCAGACAGCCTCTTCCAC